ACCTTTACCCTAAGGTTACCAGACATCCCCGTTTCCCGGAGACAGTCCTCGGATTTACAGATCAGTCCTCATGCAAAATCCATTGAAGTTGAAAAGTCTCCCCGAATTCATTGATAAAAAAATCTGATAACCTTACTTTAAGGCTATTTCTCAAATGCCCACTTTGGGCTGCCCATCCACGCACTGCAGAGCCTCTTGTGAGGCACCCCAGCCCCACCCTCCCTCCCTGATGAGCTCTGGGCACCAGGTTGCATCCATGGAGCAGGAATTCAGAGAGCAAACAGGGACCTCACTGACAACCACTGCAGATTGGCTGGCCCAGACAGCGGTTGCCAAGGGTTCAGAGACCAGTCATCTGTCGGAGGAGCCAAAGGCATCTGATTGGTGGCAGCTTTAGACTCTCAATGAGCCCAATCCACCAGGACTCAGGAAGACAGGAGGTGAGCGCATGGAAAAACAACAGCAGTAATAACTCTTCATAAGGCCAACCTGCTGACTGACTCAACAAGAATCCTTTAGTCACCTGTTTTTCAAAAGATTAAGGTGGAAATCATAGGCACCAGCTTCTAGGGGCCCAGATCTCTTTGCCCCCCCCCATCAGATTCGAGGAGGGCTCCCCCACTGCCGGAAAGCACCAGGGACATGGCTGCCACTTGGCACTTACTCACACAATCGCCAGCTCCCCCCACCTCTATCCTATCACAGCTCCGCTCTTGATATTTTAGAGGCTGCAGAGGAGGCAGCAGAGGTCCTCTTCATTTCGGTTAGGTCTGCCTGACGTAGAGTTCAAAGTCTCTCTGTATCCTTCCATGACTGTGGTGCAAAAGATGCAGCTTCTCTCCCCCAGGCACCGCAGTCCTCCTGCAAAATCGCTTCCGCACATCAACTTAAAAACACACACACACTGGCAACATAACACACTTGTTGTTAGGTCCTCTGAACGTCTTTAATTCCAAAAATATTTTAATGCTCTTTTTTTTCTTTTTGCTGTATTTTGCTTATTTATTTATTACATTAATAAATAGGTAAAGGGCCCCCTGACCATTAGGTCCAGTCGTGACCGACTCTGGGGTTGCGGCACTCATCTCGCTTTATTGGCCGAGGGAGCTGGCGTACAGCTTCCAAGTCATGTGGCCAGCATGACTAAGCCGCTTCTGGCGAACCAGAGCAGCGCACAGAAGCGCCGTTTACCTTCCCGCTGGAGCGGTACCTATTTATCTACTTGCACTTGATGTGCTTTCAAACTGCTAGGTTGGCAGGAGCAGGGACCGAGCAACGGGAGCTCACCCTGTCGCGGGGATTTGAACCGCCGCCCTCCTGATTGGCAAGCCCTAGGCTCTGTGGTTCAACCCACAGCGCCACCCGCGTCCAAGTTACATTAATATACCACCTTTATCTGCCAAGGATCTCATGGTTCTCCTCTTCCCCATTTCATCCTCATAATAACCCTGTGAAGTAGGTGAGGCTGAGAGATAGTGAGTGGCCTCCTCTGGCTGGGCGCCCTGTCATCCTGGAATGGGGAACAATAGGCCCAGTGGAACTGTATGTCTGGCTTTTGGCTGATGCTGGAAGCTGGAACAACAAAAGACTGTCTCTTGCTCTGGGCTGGACCCAAAGCTGTGACTTAGAAACCTAACTGGAGAATTAGGTTGGGGAATTAACGCGGCAAGCCCCTCCACCCTATACAATAGATTCCCCCAAAGCAGCCAGATGTTTCTCTGCAGCCTCCAAAGCCGCTGTCCACCCTCGCGATGCGATTCAGGTGGAATTGTTTCCTCATGAAACCATCCACTAGTCATCTGCAGTGACTAAGGAAGGCAGCGCCGCCGGTTCCCTCCCCCCGCCTTTCTTTCAGAGATTTATTGCTGCGCTGGTGGGGGCAATGGGATCCGGAGGCCCAGAAGGACAAAAGCAGATGCCCACCAGTCTGAGGGGCAGCACAAACATCCCATCCTCCGGGAGAAGTCTCACTGAAATGGCATTGCTCAAAGGGGAACGTCTCCCTCAAAAGGGGAAGAATGTGGTTTGCCCGTGGGTTGGGGGGAGAAGACACAGCGCCAGCCACCCATCTTTTTCTGAGCTGGCTGCTATTGAGCGGATGGCAAGGGAGGCAACTGTGGGAAAGACAGCGACGGAGGAGACGGGGAATTCTTGGCGTTGGCCTTAAGGCATTCAGAAATGTGTGTGTGTGTGAGAGAGAGAGAGAGGGAGAGAGAGAGAGAGAGAGAGAGAGACCATGTTTATCAGATCTCTCACTTGTATGTGAAACTCTCGAGGGGCCCTGTTTTCACACTTTTTAAACATTTTGAATGGAGCACTTGTTTAAAATCTCACCACTTTCGTTTATATGGCATTGAAACGCTTTTATTACTGGGCTATGGCAAGAAGTATTCTCTGCAAAACCATCCTTTTGGCTTTCTCCCTTCTTCTTCTTCTTCCTCTTCTTCTTCTTCTTCTTCTTCTTCTGGGTGAGGAGGTAGGTTGGGGGAAAGTTCCCCAAAACTTTAGAAATACTTCCGCAGTGTATATTCTTGCTTTCTCCCAGTGTCCTCTGCTGCTTAACAGGGACACCAAAGCTGGTATTTCCAAAGCAAGGCTCGGCCCCAGGCAGGATCCTGCAAAGGTTTTTCAAAGCAAACTGTTGCAGGCCACCCCAATCTACAAGTGATGAGAGAATCCAGGGGTTCCAGGTGCTTACGCAGGTTTTGTTTCCCCAGAATGAAGGTCAGTGGAGACTGTGGTGTCTTTAGAACATATGGTTTTATTTACACATCTATGCAACCTGAGCATAAGATGGAGGGGCTTGCAGAATTAACAGATCTTCCTTCTCCGTTATGTATGAGCATCAATCAGACAACTACAAAATGAAAGACAGTAATCAAAGCTTTGGATCCAGCCCAGAGCAAGCATGTCTCTAGGTCTCCAGCTTCCATCCTGCTTCTAGTCCAGCTCACTTACATACAACTCTGGCTGTTGTTCTAGGTCATGGGGGTGGATGAAAGTGTGGGAATGTTCAGGGATGCAGGAGAGGAGAGGATATATTGTCTGATTAAAGCCTTTCCAACTTGTGTTAACAAGTTCACAATTTGGCAGAGTAACATTCCCTTTTTTTAAAACTCAGCAGATGCGTTTGCTCAGGCTCGCTAAAGCCTCTATAATAACTGTTCTGGTATTTTCCCCTTATTCCCTCCTAAAAGATAAGACACGACACAGTATTCTATAAAAGTATAAAAAGGTTTACTCATGCATCATTCTGTTCACAACCGGATCCCAGAAGGCAGACTTAGCTTAGAAAAGTAACATATACCTATCAGTAAAGCGAGATGAGCGCCGCAACCGCAGAGTTGTCCGTGACTGGACCTAATGGTCAGGGGTCCCTTTACCTTTTAGTACTTTTGTTAGGTGGGGGCAGAACCGATGTGATTGGTCAGTCAGTTAAGCATTTCTATTGCTTTAGAAGAGTTTGGATTTGATACCCCGCTTTATCACTCCCCTTCAGGAGTCTCAAAGCGGCTCACATTCTCCTTTCCCTTCCTCCCCCACAACAAACACTCTGTGAGGTGAGTGGGGCTGAGAGACTTCAGAGAAGTGTGACTGGCCCAAGGTCACCCAGCAGCTGCATGTGGAGGAGCGGGGAAGCGAACCCAGTTCACCAGATTACGAGTCCACCGCTCTTAACCACTACACCACACTGGCTTTACTTGCTCTAGAAGGGGGGCAACTGCCCCACCCATCTATGCCCATGGCCACCTGTCAGGGATTCTTTAGCTGAGATTCCTGCATTGCACGGGGTTGGTCTAGATGACCCTTAGGGTACCTCCCAACCTCACAATTCTAAGGTTCTCTGAAATCTCTCCTAAACCCCTGTCATGGCTCTTTAAAAATTACTTCATTAGTAGGGAGAATTTTTAGGGCTTTTCTTCTTCAAAACTGCGCGAGGTGGGGCCTGAGAACGGGCTGCCCTTCCATCTCTCCCCCCCCCCCCCGACTTTGGGTGAATCATACTCCCCCTCCCGGGCTTGGGCCCTTTCCCAGAGAGAAGGAGGGTGAGGCTTTTGTGCCCTGGCTGGGCGGGGCTCTGCCGGCCCCCTTTGGGCAAAGTGCCTGAGGAGGGGGCGGCGGCGGTGTAGAGAGCACAACTGGCCTCTCTGGATGCGCCTCTGCAACAGCAGTTTGCATCCCGGGCGCTTCCTCGCTTTCAGGACCTTCTCTGCTCAACAGAGCAGTGCGCTGAGTGACACCGATCATGAGGGTGGCCGGGCCGCCTCCCCGCTCCCAGGTGGACAGGTGAGTCGGGGATGGGGCGCTTGGGGGCGTCCTGGGGGCGCTCGCCTCCCCATATTTCCATGCGCCCCCACGGAGTTCGCTGTGCTTCGACGGGTCGGGCGCTATCGGGGTTTAAGCAGAGGCTGTGCATGTTCGGAAGAGCCGAGGGGCGGGCGGCCGCGCGCTTTAAAGGCCCATCCGACGGCCCCCTTTGCGCAGCGCCGGACACGCGGTCCTCAAAGCAGTCGTCGACCGTGGCGAGTGAGGAAGGATAACGCATCACGCACCTCCCGGGGCGCTGGAGTTGTGGGGAGCGGTGGAATTCCAGAGCCCCAGGAAAGTTGGACGGGAGACACTTGGGCGGAATCAAGCTTCTGTTCAAGGGCCAGCGGCTGCCCTCCATTGCCCGTGAGGTCCCAACCGCTGCCTAGGAAGACTAAAGCACCCCAGGTGGCTCAGACAAGCGAGCCAAACCACATTTAGAGAGGGCCGCGGGGGGTGCGCGCGCGCGATCTTCAAAAAAGCTCTGCTGGCAGGTTCTCCTGGACACCCATCCATCTTCCAGAGAGCTCTGAAACTGAACCTCTCTGGTGCATTTGGGTCGCCTCTTGCGTTTTGAGACCTGGGTCCACCGAGACAGCGCCCCCTCCCTCCCTGGAGCCCAGGTCCTTCTCCCCTTCTATACAGCCTCGGGGTGCCCTGAGTTAAGGGGTTTTCTCTCCTTCACGCAGAGAATGAAAGCTGGCAAGCTGGTCGGCATGGTCTGCAGACTCTCGGCGCCTGGCTCTCTGCTTCTCGGACTGCTGGTAAATTTGCTGGAGGTGGTCGCGGGGGGGGGGGGCGGGGGCAGGCAGACGGCCATCCTTCTGCCCAATGGCTGGGTGGGAGCACCAGTCTCCCGTTCAAGGCTCCCGTGGGTCACGGACTGGACCAATTCATGAAGTGGTGGCCTTTCAGGGGCGACTTGCCAGGTGGTCCTTCTCTGCCTCCACAGCTGGAGGCAGCAAGGCTTCTGAATTTTAGTTGCTGGAAATTGCGGGAAGAGAGAGTGCTCTTGCGCTCCGGTCCTTCTTGCACGCTTCCCGCAACAAGAGGCAATGGGTTGGTCACTGTGAGAACAGGATTGCTGGTCTAGATGGTCCTACTTTGGCCCCTCCTCATGCTCTGATGTGGGATGCGGGTGGGTTAAACCACAGAGCGTAGGACTTGCTGATCAGAAGGTTGGAGGTTCGAATCCCAGTGACGGTGTGAGCTCCCGTTGCTCGGTTCCTGCTCCTGCTGACCTAGCAGTTCAAAAGCACATCAAAATGCAAGTAAATAGGTACCGCTCCGGCGGGAAGGGAAGCAGCGCTTCCATGCGCTGCTCTGGTTTGCCAGAAGCGGCTTAGTCATGCTGGCCACATGACCTGGAAGCTGTACGCCGGCTCCCTCGGCCAGTAAAGCGAGATGAGCGCCGCAACCCCGAGTTGGTCACGACTGGACCTAATGGTCAGGGGTCCCTTTACCTTTACCATGCTCTGATGTGGAGGTTTGGAGGACGGGTAACAACCTAGACAAAGCTTGCCTGCCTTAAAGGTCAACAAACGTTTGCCATCAGCCTCCGTAGATTCTAGTCTGCAAACGCTGCAGTTAAGTCATTCCAGGTCTTATTGAGTGGGGTGAAGAAGGGTCTTCTAAGGTGGTTATGTGTATTACCTTACTTGCTTCAAAAAATATTTTTATTATATTTATATCCCATCTTTTTTCTCCATGAACCCCAAGGTGGTGTCCATGGTCCTCCCCTTCCTTGTTGAATCCTCACAACAGCCCTGTGAGGTAGGCTAGGCTGAGAAGCAGCGACTGTCCCAATGTTCCTCAGTGGGTCTGCCCTACTTTCCAAAAAGCGCTTTGCTGTCCTTGCTCTTTGCATTCATGTCCCCCCTGTTCCTCCAAGGAGCTCAAGGCTCTCATCCACAAAACAGCCCTGCCAGGTAGGCTAGACTGAGAGGCAGAGGCTCCCCCCCCCCCAGGTGAGCTTCATGGGGGAGCAGGGATCTGAAGCCTGGCCTCCCTTGTCCTTGTCCGACCTGCTAACTGGCTCTCGGAGCCCCTCCTGGTCCCTCTGCGGAGTGAGATGCTGACCCACAGAAGCTGGAGTCCTAATAAATTTGCCCATTAAAAGAGCTGCAGCAAGGGACTGTTTTTGCCACGGTAGATAAAGCCATAAATCTTGGACAGTTTATCAACCTGTGTCCCCAAGTGCTGTTCAGCCCTGCGGGTTGGAGAGACTGTCTCTGTCCTGTTCACACAAGCACTTGGCCGAGTGAGGCACTTGCAGGATGTCCCGTGCTCAATTTCTAGAATCATACAAGTCTAGAAGGCGGCGGGCAAAGTTGTGACTTGGGGGAACAATCTGAAAGTCTTGGTGGAACCTTCAAGGTCAAGAAATTTATTGCTGCGACTGCAGCTCACTCTTCCAGGTGCCTGAATTGAAATCTCAGTCGGGGGAAGCGGTATGGTGAGAGCAGAATGGCAAGGAGATGCAAGAATTAGTGACAATTAAGGCTTAAAGGTAAAGGTAAAGGGACCTCTGACCGTTAAGTCCAGTCGCGGATGACTCTCGGGTTGCACACTCATCTCACTCTATAAGCCGAGGGAGCTGGCGTTTGTCCGCAGACAGCTCCCGGGTCATGTGGCCAGCATGACTAAGCCGCTTCTGGCGAACCAGAGCAGTGCATGGAAACGCCGTTTACCTTCCCACTGGAGCGGTACCTATTTATCTACTTGCACTTTGACGTGCTTTCGAACTGCTAGGTTGGCAGGAGCAGGGACCGAGCAACGGGAGCTCACCCCATAGCGGGGATTCAAACCGCCGACCTTCTGATCGGCAAGTCCTAGGCTCTGTGGTTTAACCCACAGCACCACCCGCATCCCAAAAAGTCATATAGCACACCCAATTTAAACATAATTTAAATAAATGTTTACAAATGTTTAAAAAGTGTGAAAACAGGGTCCCTCGAGAGTTTCAGATTCAAGTGAGAGATCTGATAAACATGCTCTCTCTCTCTCTCTCTCTCTCTCTCTCTCACACACACACACACACACACATTTCTGAATGCCTTAAGGCCAACGCCAAGAATTTCCCGTCTCCTCCGTCGCTGTCTTTCCCACAGTTGCCTCCCTTGCCATCCACTCAACAGCAGCCAGCTCAGAAAAAGATGGGTGGCTGGCGCTGTGTCTTCTCCCCCCAGCCCACGGGCAAACCACATTCTTCCCCTTTTGAGGGAGACGTTCCCCTTTGAGCAATGCCATTTCAGTGAGACTTCTCCCGGAGGATGGGATGTTTGTGCTGGCCCTCAGACTGGTGGGCATCTGCTTTTGTCCTTCTGGGCCTCCGGATCCCATTGCCCCCACCAGCGCAGCAATAAATCTCTGAAAGAAAGGCGGGCGGAGGGAACCTGTGGCACTGCCTTCCTTAGTCACTGCAGATGACTAGTGGATGGTTTCATGAGGAAACAATTCCACCTGAATCGCATCGCGAGGGTGGACAGCGGCTTTGGAGGCTGCAGAGAAACATCTGGCTGCTTTGGGGGAATCTATTGTATAGGGTGGAGGGCTTGCCGCGTTAATTCCCCAACCTAATTCTCCAGTTAGGTTTCTAAGTCACAGCTTTGGGTCCAGCCCAGAGCAAGAGACAGTCTTTGTTGTTCCAGCTTCCAGCATCAGCCAAAAGCCAGACATACAGTTCCACTGGGCCTATTGTTCCCCATTCCAGGAGGACAGGGCGCCCAGCCAGAGGAGGCCACTCACTATCTCTCAGCCTTACCTACTTCACAGGGTTATTAAGAGGATGAAATGGGGAAGAGGAGAACCATGAGATCCTTGGCAGATAAAGGTGGTATATTAATGTAACTTGGACGCGGGTGGCGCTGTGGGTTGAACCATGGAGCCTAGGGTTTGCCGATCAGAAGGTCGGCGGTTTGAATCCCCACAACAGGGTGAGCTCCCGTTGCTCGGTCCCTGCTCCTGCCAACCTAGCAGTTCGAAAGCACGTCAAAGTGCAAGTAGATAAATAGGTACTGCTCTAGTGGAAGGTAAACGGCGTTTCCGTGCGCTGCTCTGGTTCGGCAGAAGCGGCTTAGTCATGCTGGCCACATGACCTGGAAGCTGTACGCCAGCTCCCTCGGCCAATAAAGCGAGATGAGTGCCGCAACCCCAGAGTCGGTCACGACTGGACCTAATGGTCAGGGGGCCCTTTACCTTTTCATTAATGTAATAAATAAATAAGCAGAATACAGCAAAAAGAAAAAAAAGAGCATTAAAATGTTTTTGGAATTAAAGGCATTCTGAGGACCTAACAACAAGTGTGTTATGTTGCCAGTGTGTGTGTGTTTTTAAGTTGATGTGCGGAAGCGATTTTGCAGGAGGACTGCGGTGCCTGGGGGAGAGAAGCTGCATCTTTTGCACCACAGTCATGGAAGGATACAGAGAGACTTTGAACTCTACGTCAGGCAGACCTAACCGAAATGAAGAGGACCTCTGCTGCCTCCTCTGCAGCCTCTAAAATATCAAGAGCGGAGCTGTGATAGGATAGAGGTGGGGGGAGCTGGCGATTGTGTGAGTAAGTGCCAAGTGGCAGCCATGTCCCTGGTGCTTTCCGGCAGTGGGGGAGCCCTCCTCGAATCTGATGGGGGGGGCAAAGAGATCTGGGCCCCTAGAAGTTGGTGCCTATGATTTCCACCTTAATCTTTTGAAAAACAGGTGACTAAAGGATTCTTGTTGAGTCAGTCAGCAGGTTGGCCTTACGAAGAGTTATTACTGCTGTTGGTTTTCCATGCGCTCACCTCCTGTCTTCCTGAGTCCTGGTGGATTGGGCTCATTGAGAGTCTAAAGCTGCCACCAATCAGATGCCTTTGGCTCCTCCGACAGATGACTGGTCTCTGAACCCTTGGCAACCGCTGTCTGGGCCAGCCAATCCGCAGTGGTTGTCAGTGAGGTCCCTGTTTGCTCTCTGAATTCCTGCTCCATGGATGCAACCTGGTGCCCAGAGCTCATCAGGGAGGGAGGGTGAGGCTGGGGTGCCTCACAAGAGGCTCTGCAGTGCGTGGATGGGCAGCCCAAAGTGGGCATTTGAGAAATAGCCTTAAAGTAAGGTTATCAGATTTTTGATCAATGAATTCGGGGAGACTTTTCAACTTCAATGGATTTTGCATGAGGACTGATCTGTAAATCCAGGGACTGTCTCCGGGAAACGGGGATGTCTGGTAACCTTAGGGTAAAGGTAAAGGGACCCCTGACCATTAGGTCCAGTCGTGGCCGACTCTGGGGTTGCGGCACTCATCTCGCTTTATTGGCCGAGGGAGCCGGCGTACAGCTTCCGGGTCATGGCCAGCATGACTAAGCCACTTCTGGCGAACCAGAGCAGCGCACGGAAATGGCGTTTACCTTCCCGCCAGAGCAGTACCCATTTATCTACTTGCACTAGTGTGCTTTCAAACTGCTAGGTTGGCAGGAGCAGGGACTGAGCAACGGGAGCTCACCCCGTCACGGGGATTTGAACCGCCGGCCTTCTGATCAGCAAGCCCTAGGCTCTGTGGTTTAACCCACAGCACCACCCGCATCCCTTAAATATATATTAAGGCTTAAATATATGTTAAACTGGCACAGCTTTAACCTTTTACAGTAGCAGGTTGGTGATAATTGACCTAGAAGCCACTGAAGGAAACTTGGCTCAGAGGCACTTTATTCAAAGCACTTTTATTGCCCATATTGATGAGGGCTAATCTCCTACCCATCCCCAAATAAGGCAGTGCACTGTAATGGTTAGAGTCTTGTACTATCACCTGGGAGACCAAGGTTTGAACCCCCCTGCTCCGCCATGCAGCTCACTTGGCGACCTTGGGCCAGTCCCTGCCTCTCAGTCTAGCCTGCCTCTCAGGGTTGTTGTGGAGATGAACGGAGGAGTGTTGGGTAATATGCATAACCTTGAGCTCCTTGGAGGAAAAAGTGGTACAAACACGCAGTAAGTAAGTACCGTAAGTAAGTAAGTGAGTGAAGGAAGGAGGGAATTGCCATTGCTCCTCACCCATTCCTTTGCCACGCAGATTGCTGGCGGATGACTGAGAGGATGGGGGAAAGTCTCCACCAATGTCTCTTTTGCAAGGGGAAGGGGGTGGTACTGGTCTTACCTGGGAGAGGCCTGCTCCAAAACACAGCGGCTGAGTTTCCTTCACAGGTTGGCCTTCTCCCGAGAAGCACACTGGCGTTTGCCATACCGGCTGAAAACCGCACTGCAAGGGGTGAGTATCCTGATTTGCGCTTCTGTGCGTTTATCTGAAGTTCCTCCCTGGGGCAAGGCAATCTGAGCACAGGGCACCAATTCTGGCCCAACTGCACCACCTGCCAGTTAGTTTCCAGGGCCCAATTCAAAGTGATAGTCTTGACCTGTAGTACCAACTCAGGACCACAGTACCTCAAGGGCTGCCTCTCCCCGTATGAAATGACCCAGACCTTGTGATGGACACCTGAGGCCTTTCTCCAGGTGCCACCTCCATGGGAGCTCTGGAGGGTGGCAACAGGAGAACAGGGCCTTTTTGGTGGTGGCTCCCTATAGGTGGAATGCTCTGCCTGGGGAAGCTCACCTGGTGCCTTCATTTCATATCTTTGGTGCCAGACAAAAACACTACCTGTGAACATTTAAAATGGGTGGGATGTCTTAATGTATCCCTCACTCTCAGTTTTTATGTAGGTAGGTAGGTATTTTTTTCTGGTAAATCACTTTGAATTGCGATGGCAAAAAAAATGACTAATGCATTTATTTAATTATTTATATATAATATTTGGGTCTGGAATCCCCATTGCCTGTGCACAGCAGGAAAGTAAATAATAATAATGATAATAATGATAATTTATTTATACCCCACCCATCTGGCTGGGCTTCCCCAGCCACTCTGGGCGGCTTCCAACAAAATATTAAAATACAGTAATGCATCAAACATTAAAAGTTTCCCTAAACAGGGCTTCCTTCAGATGTCTTCTAAAAGTCTGGTAGTTGTTTATCTCTTTAAAGGTCAGCACCAACACTTTGAATTGTGCTCAGAAATGTACTGGGGGCCAATGTAGGTCTTTCAAGACCGGTGTTATGGACAGTGCCGTCCATGAGAGGCAAAACCAAGTCCGGGTTTGTATGCCATGTAAAACTCACTTCCAGGTTATTTCTCAGGGGCTACCAAAGGTCCATTTTAATCCAAGCGGGTCCTTATATTACATTAAGAATTTGGAGTTTGAGTTTTCCTCATCCCTCCTCACCCTTTTTTCCTTTTAATAATAATAATAATAATAATAATAATAATAATAAATTATTTATACCCCGCCCTTCCCGGTTCAAAAACTGGGCTCAGGGTGGCTAACAACAAATTTAAAACACTTAATTATAAAAGCAGCATAAAATACAGTATAAAAAACATGATAACAATAAAAATCAAAAATCAAAAATAAATTTAGAGGAAATAAACATTAGATAATCCCCAGGGCTAGCTGGCTGAATTAGTCCTACTTGGGCCAGCGAGGAGGCCAGGGGAGAATTAGCTGTGGGGTCTCAGAACGGGTAATCTTCATAAAAGAGGAGGGGGAGGGAAGAGAAGGGAGATAAAAGATCAGGTTGAATTCAAATTGAAAGCCAGGCGGAATAGCTCTGTCTTACAGGCCCGACGGAAGGAGGTTAAATCCTGAAGGGCCCTAGTCTCCTGGGACAGAGCATTCCACCAGGTCAGAGCCATCACTGAGAAGGCCCTGGCCCTGGTGGAGGATAGTCTGACTTCCTTAGGGCCTGGGACCTCTAAACTATGGTTATTCATGGACCTCTGCAGGGCATACCAGGAGAGGCGGTCCCGTAAATACGAGGGCCCTAAACTACAAAGGGCTTTAAAGGTCAAGACCAGCACCTTGAACCTGACCCTGTACTCCACCGGGAGCCAGTGCAGCTGGAAAAGCACTGGGTGAATATGCTCCCATGGCAGAGACCCCGTGAGGAGCCTCGCTGCAGCATTCTGCACCCGCTGGAGTTTCTAGGACAGCTTCAAGGGCAGGGACTATCTTGTTTTTTTCTTGATTTGTTGGCCACTCTGGAAGTTTTTTCAGCTGAACAGCAGGGTAAAAGCACTTTGGATAAAATGAAAGATAAAATGATGCCAGCCAAGGGACTTCTTGGCAGAGGAAGTTGAACTCACTTCCATCCCAGAATCATAGAATCAGAAGGGAGCGGGAGGGTCATTTAGTCCAACCCTCCGCAATGCAGGAGTCACAGCAGCTACTTTATCTTTCCCTCCATGTGGTTCCCCTACAGATCCTGGCTCTGTCCCCCAGATCATCGAGATGCTGGGAGACGTGTATGAATACGTGCCCATCCTCCAGGACTGGTGGCATGCAGACGGGTACTGCCAGCAGCGCTTCGCTCGGCTGCCATCTGAGCTGGTGTCTCTTGGGGAGAAGCTGCAGTCCTACCAAGTCCAGAGCGCAGTCTGGCTGGATGACCGGGAGGTGTTCCTGCAGAAGCCGAAGCAGAGGCGTGAGTAGAGATACGCTGCACTATTGAATCAAATGGCCCACCTGGTCCAGCAAACCGGCTCTCACAGTACCATGTGCACCTAGACGCCTGTGGGAAACCAGGGAGAAGGACATGGGCACCAGAGCCCTCTCCCTCCCCTCCTGTGGTTTCCAAGAACTGGTATTCAGAAGCATGGCTGCCCCCAACTGTGGAGGCCAGAGCACAGCCATACTGGCTAGTAGCCATTGACAGCCCTCTCCTCCTTCTCCTCCTCCTCCTCCTCCTCCTCCTCCTCCTCTTCCTCCTCCTCCTCTTCCTCCTCCTCTTCCTCCTCCTCTTCCTCCTCCTCCTCCTCCTCCTTCTCCTCCTTCTCCTCCTCGTCCTCCTCCTCCTCCTCCTCCTCCTCCATCTTCTCCTCCTCCTTCTCCTCCATCTTCTCCTCCTCCTTCTCCTCCTCCACCATCTCCTCCTCCTCTTCCTCCTCCTCTTCCTCCTCCTTCTCCTCCTCCTCTTCCTCCTCCTCCTCCTTCTCCTCCTCTTCCTCCTCCTCTTCCTCCTCCTCTTCCTCCTCCTCTTCCTACTCCTCTTCCTCCTCGTCCTCCTCGTCCCCCTCCTCCTCCTCCTCCTCCTCCAGGAATTGGTCCAATCCTCTTTTAAAGGCATCCGTGTTGGTGGCCATCAGAGTCCCATAGCTTAACTCTCTATGCTGCAAGAAGAAGGGCTTTCCTTTTATCTGTCCTGAATCTTCCATCATTCAGCTCCACTGGATGACCACAAGTTCCAGTGTGATGAGAAGAGAATTTTTTCTCTCTCTCCACTTTCTCCTGGCCATGCATAATTTTATTTTAAAAAAAAATCCTATGATGTAACCTGTTATGTACTGAAGTTCTCACCCTGGGCCAGTGGGGGGATACTGTAGATAGTTATGCAAATGAAGGATCGAAAGTGACGTTCAGTGATTGGATAGTTTTAGAAAGTTGTTACAGTTACGTTGTACTGGAGCTCTATATAAGCAGGCTGACTGAGCCCTTCAGTTCAGTTCTGTTCTGGCCTGTGAATAAACAAGAGCTGTTTGAAGAATCGCTGTGTCGTCTGATATGTTCACCCACAACTTAACATAACCCTTCCTTGCTTTTTCTCTCAAACTAAGAAGTCCCAAATACAGCAACCTTTATTCATACAGAAATCGCTCCGTCCTGTAGAGCGTTTGGGTTGCCCTTTTCTGAACTTTTCCCAACTCTACAACATGCTTTTTGATGTGAGGCAACCAGAACTGTTTTAAATGTTGGGTCGTCATCATCATCATCATCATTTTTAATTTGTATACGGTCTTTCTCTCTTACAATACTCGAGGCGGTTTACAAGCTGAAGAAACAAAAAATGTACATCTTATAACAATCTAATGCAATACAAAAATGTGATGATAAAACAAAACTTTAAAATAGGCCACCTACATCAAAAAAGTAACATTCAACAATCATTAGAATTGTATTAAATAATAATATCAACATATAAAAGTTAAACAGAAATCCACTCAACAGTTGCAATAAATAATATCTAAACTATAATCAATAAAACAGCGGCAAGCCACAGTACATAAAACAATACCATACACATTGAGAAGCAGAGACTAGAGGGTAGAGCAAGGCAGGTGGAAGGAGACCTTGCCTGATGGAGTCTCTCCCCTCACAGTTCTTCCTTCAGGACCAGCTCCCTTATGAGGACTCCTAGGGTTGGAGGGTGGGGCAAGACAGGTGGAAGGAGGCCTTGCCTGATGGAATCTCTCTCCTCACGGTCACATCCTCATCTCTCTCCCCCACCCCCAGGAAACATCTCTGCACCAATCCTGGTATTCAAGAACAAAACGGACACCAAGTTTGTGAAGGTCTTAGCTGACTTCCCAGAGATGCCCGCCGTGAGTGCCTGCGCCCACGTCCAGTGGGACCCTGAGGCTGTGGAGATCTCCACTGTCTTCTCCTACGCGGTCCCGGCTTTCATCAACGAGTTCCAGTTGCGTGGCTTCGTCGACGAGGATGGCTTCGTCCGGTTTGCCATCATCCTCCACGGGCACCACTCCCCGTACCTGCCCGTTTTTCGCGCCGATGGGCAGTGGCACCACTTCTGTGTCACATGGCAGCATCAGAATGGGGCATGGGCCATCCACGCTGACGGGAAGGAGAAGGCCTCAGCCACCGGGCTTTCAGCCTCCCATGCCGTGGATGGCCACGGGATGTTCATTATTGGGCAAGACCAGGATTCCCTGGGTGGGGCCTTCAAGGAGAAAGAGTCCTTCAGTGGGAACCTCACTGGTTTGCATGTTTGGCGGAGAGTCCTCAGCAGGGAGCAGATTGAGAAAGTGCGCTCCTGCATCCCTGTTCAAGAGAGCCTCGTGTTTGCCTGGAGCAGCGACATCCTCGAGGTGGAAGCGAGCATCCAGCAGGCCACAGTACAGCTCACCTGCCCAGGTAAAGCGCTCTCGGGTTGTGACTGCACCAGCCGTCTGGATCTGGTCTGTGATGAGCTGGTTGATTTGCATGTCCCTGTTTTCAGTTGGTGTGGCTGGTTATTTGCCTATATTGGATGGGGGCAGGAGAGGAAGCTGCCCCAGGACAGGGGTGGGGATCCCTGTGGCCTGCAGACTGTGGCCAGTGATGATGGGAGTTGTAGTCCCAACAGGAGGACCACCGGTACTCCTTCCTGGTTTAGGAGGCATCTTGGGCTGGAAGGGCTTTGAACTCTCTTGGGTCTCCATTGCAAAATGGGCTTGTTGAGATAGGTAGGTAGATACCTGCCGGGGTCTTTTGAAGATGTCCATGGCAATCAGGTTGTGTGACTTGGCTACCTGCAAGTACACAAATGGCAGAGTGTATTTCGAATAAACTGTGTGGAGCAGGAGCAGATGGTGGGGAGGGGCGATGGCTGCGACTGGACCTCCTGACGACTGAGTCAACGGCACTTACCTGGAGGCAGTGGGGGAGGGGAGGCATGGAGATGGAGCAAAGGCATCAACAGGAGAGCTGGGTGGAAGTAAGATGCTTTATAAAGACCTAGTGGCTGTGAGTGCCTGGGAGTTTTTAGGGAATAAAAAAACCGCAATTTTAAAACTAAAAATAGCGTGATTTGTGATTCTGGACCCATGACACCAAAATTGGGTAAACTTGTGCCAAAGTCGCATTTTGGTCTGATGTCTTGATTCAAAGCGGCACCTAGAACCCAAGATGTTGGCAACTCCGCCCTCAGGAAACCCCCTGCCGAATTTGGTGACAATGCTTCGAGGGGTGTCCCAACCTATAGAAAACAAGCAAACAAACAATTTCCCAAAACAACTAGTAGACATGGGGTGTTGCTCTCGTTCTAGCCCAATGGTGGCCATTAATTTGATTTTGAATTGATTTTGGAATGAATTGGTTTTAGAATTCTGTGTTACTTTTATTGCTGTTAGCCGCTCTGAGCCCGGCTTCGGCTGGGGAGGGCGGGATATAACTATATTATTATTATTATTATTATTATTATTATTATTATTATTATTCTCTCCCAGGGCCTGTGGAGGAATGCCGAATGTTTCAGGTCGCCCAGGGAAGCCTGGCTTCTGCCCCCTGCCTGCAGCTTCTGCCTTTTGTCTGCCATTACAAAAAAGGTACGGCGGTTCTGACTATCCTTATCTCCAGACTCAGACTGTGGCCCACGGTCCCCATTCCTTTGTGCCAGCAATCGGTGGACCGGAGGGAGGTGGGTGGAGCAACAGGTGTGACTCTTACTTTGGTCAGTATGGTCCCATCTGCACAGTGCATTTAAAGCACACACACCCCCCAAAAAAAATAAGAATAATGGGAACCGTAGTCCACTGAGAATTCTGAGAGTTGTTAAGAGCCCCCCTATTCCTCTCACAAAGCTACAATTACCAGAGTGGTTCACCCCCTCTTCCTGTTAATTAAAACACAAGCCACTTTTTATTAATGGGAATGTTTATTTGATCATGATAATGGAATATTTATTTATTTAAACGTTCATATTCCTCAGTCTCAAAGTGCCACAAGGCTGGGAGCCAGGGATCAAATTCCACTTCCCCCGGAAGAGAGTTCCAAGGTTTTGGAGCCAGCACTGGGAAGGCCCTGTCATGCCTTGTTCAGCAAGGAAACTGCGCCTCTGAAGCAGGTCTTCATCACTGGGTTGGTTTCCAGGGGAGAAGGAGTCCTTTTGGTATCTCCAGCTGTTGGCTCAGCCTGGATTTGTGGTCAGAGTGTGAGACTGGGGCCTTGAGAGACACCGGTTCAACTCCCCCCTTGACCACAAAGTGCTCTGGGTGACTTTGGGCCAGTTGCTCTCTTTTGACCTTGTCTACCTTGCAAGGCTGTGGAAAGAATTATTATTATTATTATTATTATTATTATTATTATTATTATTATTATTAAAATTTATATGCCATCCTGCATCTGAAGGGCAGTTTACAACATGAAAACACAAATTACATAGCATAATAGCAAAACAACAACACCCCTCCCCCGCTATCACACTTAAAAGGCCGTAGATGGCTTAATCAGCCAAAGCCCTGGTGGAAGAGGAATGTTTTTGCCTCGCTCCATGAAATGGGCAAGGTACTAACTTTGTAAACCACCTTCCACAACCTGTCCGGAGTTCAGCCTACACTCGAGTAGGACCCTGGTAGAGACACATGCCTGACTAGCATGTTCTCTCCCTCCTGGTCAATCGTTCGGGAGCTTCAAAAGCTTTCTTCAGCCCGAACATCACAGCGACCGATGCCAAGCGACACCGGCACACTTAGGGATCCGCGGAGTTTGCGCAGCTTGCGTGACAGACCTTAGCAACTCAGCATTTTGGCTAATCGGCTTTATTTACATATCAACACACACACGGAGCACTGCAACATGGCTCCCTCTCTCTCTAGCATCAGACAGCAAAGAGAAAAAGAACAAAGGACAATAGTCCCACTTCACGGAACACAGGAACACAAACATCCTGTCGCCGTCACTTCCCACTCTGTGGAGTCAAAACATAGACAACAATCCCATGACTGCAATCAGGGAGCTGGAATTCTAACACAACCTTCCATTGCATGTCTGTTGTTTTCCCCTCAGATCTTTATTTGCAGTTGAGGAAAACACAGTTGAAACCTGTCCCACAGCTCATAGCTCAGGTTAATGCGCGAGCGAATGCGACAGTGGTGAGTAAAGCATTGGCCTCATCCCAGACGCCTGAGGGCTTCCACCTGTGGCCCAGCGTCACTGTGTTGCTGGCCAGGCCTCATGGGCGCTGGAGCCTTTTCTCAGCCGTTTTCTCCTTACAAAACTAGCGTAATTTGTTGATTACAGTGGCTCTTCAAATAGTTCGTATATTTCTTCCAATCTTCTGTAAATCTCTGGTCCTGCAGGTTTCGAATCCTTCCTGTCATTTTGTCCAATTCCGTGTAGTCCATTAATTTCGTCTGCCATTCTTCTTTTGTCGGAATTTCTTCTTGCTTCCATTTCTGGGCTAACAATACTCTTGCCACTGTTGTTGCATATAAGAACAATTTAACGTCTTGTCTATTAATATCCTCACCTATAATACCAAGTAAAAATGCTTCTGGTTTTTTTAAGAATGTATATTTCAACATCTTTTTCATCTCATTATATATCATTTCCCAGAAGTTTTTTACTTTCTTACATTCCCACCTTCAGGATGATTTCTGGTAGGGGCCATTCGTAGCTCTACCTGGAGATGTCGATAGGGGGTGGGACTGAATCTGGAACCTTCCTCATCCAAAGCCAGGGCTCTTTCACTGAGCCACAGCTCTGGGAACACGTGAGTCTGGTTGTGGGGCACAGGCATCTATTGGCGCATCTTCTCATCTCACCTCTCCACACTGCCCCTCTTTCCTCCCACCCCCTGGATTTGTGGCTTCCCCACAAACTTTCCCCTAAAGTGCCTTCAGCTTGTGTGCTACTCCCAACCCAAAGTCCCCATATAACAGATTTTGGACGCACTGCTACTAAAAAATACTTCAAAAACGGCTTTGTGCAGACAGGGCCGTCTTACCCATAGGTGCTAGGGGTGCGGGGCACTTGGGCGCTGGGCTCTCAGGGGCACTAAGCTGAGAGTCCTGGGGCCTGAGAGTTGAGTCCAGGGAAGAACCCGCCCGTCAGTTGGAGCGACGCCGTGGGCTCTTCTGCCGCAGGCGGCTTTGTTCCGTGAGTGTGGGGGCGACCGAGCCAGCGAGACGCTGAGGTAGCTGGCCAGCTCTGCCCTCCTGCGCGCCTGGGACTGGGCAACCTGGGGGGCGGACACCAGGTGGATCTTTGCACCCTGGCACCGCATATGCTTAAGACAGACCTGTGTGCAGATCACACACATCTTAGTGGATTTTTCCAAAAGGGGAGACTCACACAAACCCCTTCACCCACCCTGCCCCCATTTACCGTATTTTTCGCTCTACAAGACGCACCAGACCACAAGACGCACCTAGTTTTTGGAGGAGGAAAACAAGAAAAAAAAATATTCTGAATCTCAGAAGCCAGAACAGCAAGAGGATCACTGCGCAGCGAAAGCAGCAATCCCTCTTGTTGTTCTGGCTTCTGGGATAGCTGCGCAGCCTGCATTCGCTCCATAAGACGCACACACATTTCCCCTTACTTTTTAGGAGGGAAAAAGTGAGTCTTATAGAGCAAAAAATATGGTAGTCCCCCTTCTCTAACCTGGGGGTCTTGTTTCTGGCTACAGATTCCCGAGAGTGTCTTCCAGGCAGAAGCCCGAGGTGTGGACGTTTCAGTAGCCGCTGGTTACCTAGGGGTGGTGGAGACGGTCCTGACGGACGCTGAGCCTCCATCTCTGGATGCAGCTGCTCTTCTGGGCATCTTGCAGCTGCTGAAGGAGGTCTCAGACTTAGATGCCAATGAGCCGCAGGAACTGGCAACGCTGGAGCAGCTGGGGCAGCACTACGTGGCAGTTGCCGGGGCAATCCTGGAGGAGCAGAACGCTGAGGAGTGGTCCGAAATAAAGCCGGTAAAATCATGGCTTCCTAGAAGTAGGGGTGGGTGGGTCTGGTGAGCCCCAATATTTGAGGCAGGAAATCCAGAAAGCTGAAGCAGCCCTGATAGTCCACCATCCCTTTCCGTCCTTGAGAGTATGTGGTCAGACGGGAGACCCTAGGGCCATGAAGGTGACAGAGGTGACCTTGGAAGGCAATGCAGGCCTCTTAGTAATGTTGATGGCATTTTACCATTGTACTGTGGAGAGTGCATTAACTTATGGTCTGTGTGTGTGGTTTGGGAGCTGCACGGTCAGGGGAAAAACAGTGCTGTCCAGGGTTGTAAAGACTGCGGAGAGAATAATTGGGTGCACTCTTCCCACCTTGGATCAAATCTACGCTTCCAGGTGCCATAAGAAAGTTGCAGAGATAGCGCAGGATTGTGCACACCCTGGAAATGATCTCTTTCACCTTCTGCCTTCTGGGTTATAAAGACCAGGACTAGCCGCCTGAGAAACAGTTTCTACATAAATGCAATTCTGGTTTTATACGCAGTATAAGGAGTCTTGATAGGAGTATATTGTATTTTAAAATGGGGTTTCAGAGTTTTTAGGGGTTTTCGAATGTCTTATGTAGATTTTTCAATTTCATTGTTCTGTATGGGATAATGTATCGTATCATAGTCCCACTGACCTCACAGGGCAGTTGTTGGGGGGTTAAACACGGAGGGGATACCTGGAGCAACTTAGAGGGTTTTTTGGGGGGTGGGGGAAGGTGGGATAGAAACACAATAAATAAACAAACACTAGATGGCTGTCCGGCCTCTGCTGGAAGATTTTCAGGAAGGTAGAAATATTTGTTGTTGTTTAGTCATTTAGTCGTGTCTGACTCTTTGTGACCCCATGGACCAGAGCACGCCAGAGCACGCCAGGCACAGGTAGAAACAGATAAGGAAATAAATATCCCTGGGTACACACCTTAATTAAATGAGTTGCATCACACCTATGCTCGCTGCAGTTAGGCTTCTGGCAAAAATCTAAGTTGTCAATCCCACTGTCTGCTGTGGCAGAATTTTACACAACTAAATATGTACTTTATTACATGATTTACTACATTATTTCACAACATCCATTTCAATGCAAAGGAAACGCAATTTAGTTTGGAAGGGCAGTTCATAGAATCAAAGTACTGCAAAGTTGGAAGGGATCCTCAGGGTCATCTAGTCCAACCCCCACAATGGAGGAATCCCAATTGGTTTCATATCATTGGCAGGCTGAACACAACAAAGGCGAATACCAATCATGTTCATTGATTTCATTATCTGATGCCTCGTACCACCCCCTCTGTGCGACTGGCTCCATTCTTAAACCCTCCCTGCTATCAAGAAGCTTCCCTAATCTTTGACCGAAATCTACCCTCCAGTAGCTTAAGCAGCAGAGAAGTCATAGAATCCTAGAACCCTCGGATTGTACAGTTGGAAGGGACCCCAGGGGCCATTTCGTTCCAACCCACTGCAATGCATTAAGCAGCCTTTGCTCTCTTCCATGGGGCAGCCCCTCAGAGACTGGAAGAGGGCAATAATAATAATAATAATAAGGCAGCCCTGTTGAGGGAAGTTTTGAATGTGTGACATTTTAATGTATTTTTAATCTTTGTTGGAAGCTGCCCAGAGTGGCTGGGGTACAAATAATAATAATAATATAATTTATTTGCTTCCAACAAAATATTAAAATACAGTAATGCATCAAACATTAAAAGCTTCCCTAAACAGGGCTGCCTTCAGATGTCTTCTAAAAGTCTGGTAGTTGTTCTTCTCTTTGACATCTGGTAGGAGGGCATTCCACAGGGCGGGCGCCACCACCGAGAAGGCCCTCTGCCTGGTTCCCTGTAACTTGGCTTCTCACAATGAGGGAACCGCCAGAAGGCCCTCAGAGCTGGACCTCAATGTCTGGGCAGAATGATGGAGGTGGAGACGCTCCTTCAGGTATACTGGACCGAGGCCGTTTAGGGCTTTAAAGGTCAACACCAGCACTTTGAATTGTGCTCGGAAAAGTACTGGGAGCCAGTGTAGGTCTTGCGTTCCCTGCGGGAGGAGGGCCAGGGAAGCCCATGGGCAAAGTTGGTTGATGATGATGATGATAAGGTTTGGGCAGCTGCTCCTGTGCTCCTCAGATCCTTGATGGACCCATGACAGTTGTGGAAAACATGGACAAGATGGTTTCCAGCCTCCATCAGCTCCTGAGTACAGAGAGGCCCAAAGTCACCATCCGGAGCAAGAACGTTGGTGAGTAGCAGCAAGGTTCTGAGGTGCGAGGGGGAGGGGGAGGAAGAGCCTGGGGAATTGTCAAAGCAAATGTGATGCCTGAAATTCAGTAGGAAAGGAATTGAAAATAAAACTGTGAATATCCTAATGCTGTTACTCAAATCTGTGGTGGATCCCCCACAGTACTGTGTAGAGTAAAGGTAAAGGTAAAAGGTAAAGGGACCCCTGACCATTAGGTCCAGTCGTGGCCGACTTTGGGGTTGCCGTACTCATCTCGCTTTACTGGCTGAGGGAGCTGGCGTACGGCTTCCGGGTCATGTGGCCGGCAGGACTAAGCCGCTTCTGGCGAACCAGAGGCCACTGTGTTGGGGGCCCCAAAAAATTTTAAAGGGGAATAAAAACCTGGATGTACATTTCCAAAATATGAGATAAAAAACAAGTAAAATAAAACCTCCATACAGTTAGAGCTTAATAATTATTTCACTATTAATATACTTCTTCTTAATTGTATTTCACTATTAATATACTTTTTATTAATTGTATTTCAATTCAACCATTACTTTGATAAAATACATATTTTGTTATGTGCAAATGGCTTGAGATACCTATTAGGTCCATAAATTACCATATAGCATATATTCAACACAAAAAAGCAGGAACAATTTGTTGTTGACAAAGGACAGCTGGACATATCAAGGGCCCCATTACCTTCAGGAGCTGAGGGCCTCACCAAACCTAAATCTTACATGAAGGCATGTAAGTCACATTTCCCTATTGCTGCAGGAATGAGGAAGCTTTTTCAGCCTGGGGGCCAACATTCCTTCTGGTTAGCCTTCTGAGGGCCACATGACAGTAGTGTAGGTGGAGCAACTACTATAAATAATTGCCTTTGTGCGGTAGGTTAGTTCCTACACACTCTCACACACACTGCTCTGGTGCTCAGGTCCTGCTCGAGTGTTCCTCACTGGGGCATCTGATTGGTCGCTGTGGGAACAGGGCTAGATGGACCACTGGCCAGGGGGTGCCAACTTGAATAAAATATTGTGGGGCGCCAGGTAAGCCCCACCTTGCATAACTGATCACATGACACAGTGCGCACACACCATTTGAATGGGAATGTCCATCCACTTTGTGGAGGCCTGGCCCCTCAAATATTTTATTGTGGGGGCCGAAGCCCCCATGGCCCCTAGGAGCAGGCTCCTGTGCCTCTGGCCTGACCCAGCAGCCAAAGAACAGCTCTTCTCAGCCTCTTCTCATGCAGGCTGCGATTTCTTAAGAGTCAAGATTTCAGGCTATTGTAACAGGCCATTTTCAGCCTGCAGGTTAGAGCTGGGTGACAGCAATGATCTGCAGCCACAAATGGCCTCCTATTTAACACCCTCTTAAGTCCCATCAGCTCCAGCCAGCATGGCCAATGGGAGTTGTAGTCCAACAACATTTTGGAGATCAGCCAGGATGGTGACGTTTGACGCAGGTGCCACAAGAGGGCGCCATGTGGAAGAGGAGATACTGAGTTCTTTGGTTTTGCAATTTATCTTGAGCTATGATAAGAAAATGACATTGATTGCAGATAAAAAAAATGCGCAGATTATATTCAAGGGCACAGCGCATAACTTGCTTATCTTCACAAAAAGAGGAAAGTTTTTCCTCCGCAAGCGAGCATTTTTCTGAGGCTAAGTCACAGCAGGAAAATATTTTTGCCCCAATTATTTATAAAGTGGATGGGGGGGTGGTCAGTGGGAAGAAGAGATCTCGAGTACAAAGCAAGGCTACTTTGCAAGAGCAGACCTACCAAGTGAAATATTGAGCAGAATTCTGTCCCCCCACTGTTAGACTAACAATGCAGGAATTGGAAAAAAACTTATGTCATCTGGTATTACTTAATTTCTAAATTTGTTATGGGGCTAAGCGTTATTGGGCCCACACATGTAGACACATTGTCCCTGCTCATAGATGTGCAGAGATGTTTTTAAGTGAGAAAGGAGTGGCGCTCATGTGTGGCGAAGGGGTTGTATTCAGGAGAGCCTCTCGCCTCCCCTTCCTTGCCGCAACTGCTGCCACCTGAGTCTTACTTGACGGTTAGATATATGCTCTTAAAAAGGTAAAGGACCATTAGGTCCAGTCGTGACCGACTCTGGGGTTGCGGCGCTCATCTTGCTTTACTGGCCGAGGGAGCCGGAGTACAGTCATGTGGCCAGCATGACTAAGCCGCTTCTGGCGAACCAGAGCAGCACACGGAAACACCGTTTACCTTCCCGCCAGAGTGGTACCTATTTATCTACTTGCACTTTGACGTGCTTTTGAACTGCTAGGTTGGCAGGAGCAGGGACCGAGCAACGGGAGCTCACCCCATCTCGGGAATTCAAACCACTGACCTTCTGATTGGCAAGTCCTAGGCTTTGTGGTTGAACCCACAGCGCCACCCGCGTCCCTAATATAGGCTCCACTTTTTCTGGGTCCAAATGCCCGTGGAATTCCTTTGAGGGGAAATGGCTTCCCCATCCGCTTTCCTATCACACTCTCTTCTCCTGCATTTCCACATGTGATCTTTCCTTTCTCATGAGCTTTGAAGGTGAGCCTCTCCACCTGTCTTTTAAATGGGTGGTCTCTTTGGCTGCTGAACAGGTCGGACCCAGTATCTTCTAAGATGACACTACCTTGACCCTTTGCTCCCCAGGAGTAGAAGTGCGACGTGTGTCTCTCGACCGAGCAACAGCTGATGGCGCTGCGTACATGATGCTGAACCAAGACGCTCCAGACCAGATCGAAGTCCCAAGGGAAGAAGTGGAGAGGCTGAGAGTGAGAGGTGGAGAGGGGATTTATTTATTTTTAATGTATTGCATTCATATGCCACTTGTCTTGATTCTCCCCCTCCTCATTTGGTCCCTGTGAGGGAGGTCAAGCTGAGAGGCAGTGACTGGCCCCCAAGGTCACCCCGGGGGCTTCCTGGCTGAGTGGGAATTCGAACCCTGGTCTCTTCCAGGTCCTGGGCCAACACTCTGACCCCTGCACCCAACGTCGGCAACTTAAGGCCCATGGGCCAGAAGCGGCCCACGAAGGCAGTTTAACCGGCCCCCAAAGCACCCCCAAACCAACCGATGTTGTAAATTACTATGTTAATGTTAAAATGAAAAGAAAGAAAGATGTAAATGGACTAAGTAAATTTTATGTGAAAATAGTTTTGGAAAACCGCTACAATGGAGTATATGGAAACTCAGCTAGGGGGATTCAAGGAAGTCATTCAACAATGTTAACAAAAGTGGAATTATTATAAGTTGGTTTGTTTGTTTGCGCTTGCCCAGACGCCAGAAATCACTTCTGCGCATGTCCACAGTGCCAGAAATGGCTTCTGTGCAGGTGTGATTTTCAGCATCTGGGCATGCGCAGAAGCGTTTTACGACACCAAAGACATGCGCAGAGGGAATTTCTGGCAGGGTTAGGGATAGGTTTAGGGTTAGGGTTAGGGTTAGGGTTAGGGTTATGTGTAGGGTTAGAGTTAGGGGTAGGGGTAGGGTTAGGGATAGGGATAGGGATAGGGATAGGGATAGGGTTATGTTTAGGGGTAGGGGTAGGGGTAGGGGTAGGGGTAGGGGTATGGAGAGGGATAGGGTTAGGGTTAGGGTTAGTTTTAGGGTTAGGGTTAGGGTTAGGGTTAGGGTTAGGGTTACGGTTAGTTTCAGGTTTAGGGTTAGGGATAGGGATAGGGTTAGGGTTAGGGTTAGGGTTAGGGTTAGGGCTCGGGTTAGGGATAGAGATAGGGTTAGGGTTAGGGTTCGGGTTCGGGTTCGGGTTAGGGTTAAGATTAGGGTGGCGCGGGGTTACGGTTAGGGTTAGGGGTAGCGTTAGGGGTAGGGTTAGGGGTTAGGGTTAGGGGTAGGGGTAGGGGTAGGGTTATGATTAGGATTAGGGTTAGGGTTCGGGTTCGGGTTCGGGTTAAGATTAGGGTGGCGCGGGGTTACGGTTAGGGTTAGGGTTAAGATTAGGGTGGCGCGGGGACTCTCTTGCACAGCTCCAGAAATTGCTTATTGGAATGCCCAGACGCGGGTAATCGCTTCTGCGCATGTCCGCAGTGCCAGAAATTGCTTCTATGCAGGTTTGATTTTCAGCATCTGAGCATGCGCTGAAGCATTTTGCAGCACCACAAACATGCGCAGAGGCAATTTCTGGCAGGGTTAGGGTTAGTTTTAGGGTTAGGGTTTGTTTTAAGGTTAGGGTTAGCGTTAGGGTTAGGGTTAGGGTTAGGGTTAGGGTTAGGGTTAGGGTTAGGGTTAGGGTTAGGGTTAGGGTTAGGGTTAGGGTTAGGGATAGGGATAGGGATAGGGTTAGGGTTAGGGTTAGGGTTAGGGTTAGGGTTAGGGTTAGGGTTAGGGTTAGGGTTAGTTTTAGGGTTAGGGTTAGGGTTAAGGTTAGGGATAGGCTTAGCGATAGGGTTAGGGTTAGGGCTAGGGTTAGGGTTAGGGTTTGGGTTAGGTATAGGCTTAGGGATAGGGATAGGGATAGGGTTAGGGATAGGGATAGGGATAGGGATAGGGTTAGGGTTAGCGTTAGGGTTAGGGATAGGGATAGGGATAAGCTTAGGGATAGGGTTAGGGTTAGGGATAGGGATAAGGATAGGGTTAGGGATAGTGATAGCGATAGCGATAGGGATAGGGTTAGGGTTAGGGTTAGGGATAGGGTTAGGGTTAGGGTTAGGGCTAGGGTTAGGTTTAGGTTTAGGTTTAGGTTTAGGGTTAGTTTTAGAGTTATAGTTAGGGTTAGGATTAGTGTTAGTGTTAGGGTTAGGCTTAGTTTTAGCGTTAGGGTTAGGGTTAGGGTTAGGCTTAGTTTTAGGGTTAGGGATAGCGATAGGGATAGGGATAGGGTTAGGGATAGGGATAGGGATAGGGATAGGGTTAGGGTTAGGGTTAGGGTTAGGGTTAGGGTTAGGTTTAGGGATAGGCTTAGGCTTAGGCTTAGGCTTAGCCTTAGGCTTAGGCTTAGGCTTAGGCTTAGGCTTATGCCTAGGCCTAGGCTTAGGCTTAGGCTTAGGCTTAGTCTTAGGCTTAGGCTTAGGCTTAGGCTTAGGCTTAGGCTTAGGATAGGTTTAGGGTTAGGGTTAGGGAGAGGGATAGGGATGGATAGGGATAGGGATAGGGATAGGGATAGAGTTAGGAATAGGGTTAGGGATAGGGATAGGGATAGAGTTAGGAATAGGGTTAGGGTTAGGGTTAGGGTTAGGGTTAGGGTTAGGGTTAGGGTTAGGGTTAAGGTTAGGTATAGGCTTAGCGATAGGGTTAGGGTTAGGGTTAGTGGTTAGGGTTAGGGTTAGGGTTAGGGTTTGGGTTAGGGATAGGCTTAGGGTTAGGGTTAGGCTTAGGCTTAGGCTTAGGCTTAGGCTTAGGATAGGTTTAGGGTTAGGGAGAGGGATAGGGATGGATAGGGGTAGGGATAGAGTTAGGAATAGGGTTAGGGATAGGGATAGGGATAGAGTTAGGAATAGGGATAGGGTTAGGGTTAGGGTTAGGGTTAGGGTTAGGCTTAAGCTTAGGCTTAGGCTTAGGCTTAGGATAGGTTTAGGGTTAGGGTTAGGGAGAGGGATAGGGATGGATAGGGATAGGGATAGGGATAGAGTTAGGAATAGGGTTAGGGATAGGGATAGAGTTAGGAATAGGGATAGGGTTAGGGTTAGGGTTAGGGTTAGGGTTAGGGTTAAGGTTAGGTATAGGCTTGGCGATAGGGTTAGGGTTAGTGGTTAGGGTTAGGGTTAGGGTTAGGGTTTGGGTTTGGGCTAGGGATAGGCTTAGGGTTAGGGATAGGGATAGGGATAGGGATAGGGATAGCGGAAATAAATGATGGGCAGCCTGGTCCCTGCCACAACCAGGCCACAACAAACTTCTGTTACTTCCCACCCAAGTCTTGATCACTAAAATATAACCTAAAACTGTCATTTAAAAAATCATTTTGGTAGTACAGCTTGTTCCCTAAGTTTTATGGCAGTCGCACAAAATTTGGCCACCCTGAGCGTGATCTCTAGATCCTTGTCCTCTACCAGGAGTTTTAGACATTGGAGTTTGGACCCATTTTGGAGATTTTAGCATAACAGGAGTGATAAATACCGAGCATATATCCCCGTAGAAATGGCAGCATAACAAGACATGAGAGACAGTTTCTACCTCCATCAAGCCGCAGGGGCAGACTCGTTCCACGTACGGTTTACCCTTGAATCTGCCCTGCAATAAGGCAGGTGGCAGCACGTGGAATCTAGCGAGGGTAAACGACCGTCTGTATTTGGGTATTTGTAACTTTGACAAATAATTTATTGGGTTAAATCCTCTCCATTATCTTTTATTGCTGGGTGTTTATTCATCTCGCTCACTGTTGTGTTTTATGATTTTTCTGATATTGTAAGTGAGCCGGAACTGGTCTGTGACCGTAATGATAAAATTCATTCATTCCCGCCCAGGTCTGCGCCAGATCACCATGACCAACACCTGGTATGGCTACAGTTCCCTCCAGCGCCTTCTCACCAGTGGCAGTGCTGTGCTCCAGGATGCAGCCGTGTCAGACGGGGGAAGGAGGTAGGTGAGCTGGGTCATAGCTCAGGTCTTTCCTACCTCACCCAACCTCCTGATTTATTTTTCACCCAGCTCCTTTAGTACCCTGCAGCTCATCAGGCCCTGGAGATCTGAATTCATTTAAAGTAGCCAGGTGTTCCCTTACCATCTCTTTTCCTATCTTGGACTGCAGCTCCCTCCATACATCATTGATTCAGTTATCACCAGGTTGGGCATCGCTTTCCTTGTGGGTGAAGACAGAGGCAAAGTAGGTGTTGAGTAGTTCCGCCTTCTCTCTGTCGCCCGATAGCCTTTCCCCGTCTTCTCCATGCAGAAGACCCTTCACTTGCTTGTTCTTCCTCTTGCTTTGGCCATAGCCCCCAAGCCCCTTTTTATTGTTTCTGATCTCTCTTGCAAGCCTGAGCTCATTCTGAGCTTTAGCCAGCCTGACTTTGCCCCTGCAACTGTTGGCTACTCGTCCATACTCCTCCTTAGTGATTTCTCCCTTTTGCCATTTCTTGACTCTCAGCTCATCTGTAAGCTCCTTATGCAGCCACAGTGGTTTCCTTAGATGCCTCCCACTTTTCTTTCTTGTTGGAATTGTCTGCAGTTGGGTGTCTTCAATATTTCTCCTTTTGGAAACTCCCATCCATCTTGGACTCCCTTCTCTTTGAGTATTTCTGACCATGGGATCTCACCCAGTAGCTGCTTAAGCTTGTTAAAATTGGCCTTCTCAAAGTCCAGAGTGCATGTCTGACTACCCTCAGCTTCCCCTTGCCTCTCTATCATGAAACCCAAGAGGACATGATCATTTCCTCCCAAGTTTCTGAGCACTTCCACTTCATCAATCATCTCCTCCCTGTTGGTGAGGACCAGGTCCAAGATAGATGATCTCCTTCTTGCTTCTTCAGCCTTCTGGGAAATGAAATGGTCAGCGAGGCAGTGGATGAATTTGTTGGACCTTACATTCTTGGCAGAGTTTGAATTCCAACAGATATTGGAGAAGTTGAAGTCTTCCATGACCACTATATCTCTCCTCTCCTCTGAACATGTGCAGAGGAGGGCGACCAAGATGGTTAAGGGTCTGGAAACTAAGCCTTACAAGGAGTGCTTGAAGGAGCTGGGTATGTTTAGCCTGGAAAAGAGGAGACTGAGAGAAGATATTATAGCTATCTTCAAATATCTTAAGGGCTGTCACATGGCTTCTTTTCTCCTGCTCTGGAGGGCAAGACTCAAACTAATGGAGATTCCGACTAAACATCCATGACAGATGGCCATCCAACGTCTACTTTATAACCTCCAAGGAAGGAGAGTCCACCACCTCCTGAGGGAGACTATTCCACTGTTAAACAGCACTTTACCATCAGAAAGTTCTTCCTGATGTTTAGTCAGAATCTCTCCTTTCTTGTAACTTGAAGGCACTGGTTTGAGTCCTCACCTCCAGAGTAGGAGAAAACAAGCTTTCTCCCTCTTCCATGTGACAGCCCTTGAGATATTTGAAGTTGGCTCTAACATCTCCTCTCAGCCTCCTCTTTTCCAGGCTAAACATACCCAGCTCCCTCAACTGTTCTTCATGAGACTTGGTTTGCAGACCCTGAATCATATTGGTCGCCCTCCTCTGCACACCTTCCAGCTTGTCAATATCCTTCTTGATTTGTGGCGCCCAGAACTGGATGCAGTATTCCATGTGTGGTCTGACCAAGGCAATGTAGACTCACCAGAGTTAGGTGGACCAATGATTTTTCTTGGTATAAAACAGCTTCCTATAGCAAATACTGGCACCATTTAGCCAAAGCTATGCAGGACCAATATGATTCAGGGTCATATTGTAAAGCAGAGACATCACCTTGCCAACAAAGGTCCGTATAGTTAAAGCCATGGTTTTCCCAGTAGTGATGTATGGAAGAGAGAGCTGGACCATCAAGAAGGCTGATCACCGAAGAATGGATGCTTTTGAATTATGGTGCTGGAGGAGACTCTTGAGAGTCCCATGGACTGCAAGAAGATCAAACGTATCCATTCTGAAGGAAATCAGCCCTGAGTGGTCACTGGAAGGACAGATCCTGAAGCTGAGGCTCCAATACTTTGGCCACCTCATGAGAAGAGAAGACTCCTTGGAAAAGACCCTGATGTTGGGAAAGATTGAGGGGACAAGGAAAAGGGGACGACAGGGGACGAGATGGTTGGACTGTGTTCTCGAAGCTACAAACATGAGTCTGACCAAACTGCAGGAGACAGTGGAAGACAGGAGTGCCTGGCGTGCTCTGGTCCAGGGGGTCACGAAGAGTCGGACACGACTAAACGACTAAACAACAACAACAAATGCAGGACCAGGTCTGCTCAATATATAGGTGGGTGACCACCTGGGAACCAGATGTATGTTTCCATGATGGAAAGAAGGATGTATATTAGGGTTGCCATGTTTCAAAAAGTGAAAACCCGGACACCAAAGTTTTTGCCTTGAGATGAAAACTGCAGAACCTAATTGTCTGGGTTTTTGGGGGGGTGGACACAAGGTGGCGCTGCCACCATTTGCATTTCAGATAGGGAGGTGGAGCTTCTGTGGGCATGGGAACGGCAGAAATGGTTTATCTGCTAGGCAGGTGTGTGAGAGTGAGTGTGGCTCGTTCACTCTTTATATTAATTAAAACGAGCGCTAGGCTGGCTAAAGGATAAGTTCAGGTCTGCCCAGGCAAAGAGATTTCCATATGTTAGCAATTCGTTTTGCAGCAAAAGCACCTTCAAGGTTTATTCTTGTATCTGATGCAGAGGGAAGCTCATGGCTGTTTAGGTGCCACAAATCTCGTCCGTGTTTATCTTAAGAATCTGCAGCCTGGCTTTTTCCTTAAAAAAATAAAAGTAAAATAAATATTCAGGGCACTTTACAAAATTCAGTATAAAATCCCAGCAGGAAATAACAAAAGTTTGCTACAAGAATCCTCAGGACAGCAATGCGTGTTCGTGAATTACTGTAAGCAGAACTGTGGACGCAGCACATCTACGAATACAAATGAATGGCTATTGAAAGCTCAGGTGAGCAGAATGAATTTGGCCCTGGAGTCTAAAAGTGAGGGTCATCATGGCACCTCTGTTGCTTGTGGAACGCTCTCCCCGCGGAGGTGGTGCCATCGTTACATATCTTCAGCGCCAGGCGAAAACATTCCTTTTAAACCAGGCCTTTGGCTTTTACCTATGCCTTATAGAGTGGGTGGGATGTTTTAATGTATGCCCTTCCCTGCCATATTTTAATGTATATATGTGGGTTGGTTTGTTGGTGAGTGGTTGAGTTGCTTTGGCAAAAAACAACAACACAAAAGTGTCTAGTAAATAAATAAGCAAACACTTTTTCCATTTCTGCCCCAGGTACTTGAGCACCCAGGCAGGCTCCTCCATCATCTCCTCCTCTCTGGTCAGCGACTACGAGGAAATCAGCACCGCTGTGCGTTACCGCCTCTGGCACCGGGTCCAGGTGAGGCTTTGCAGTCCAATCCTGCTGCAAATGGGCATCTTTGTGGATAAACATGTGGAGCAGGGGAGAAGAAGGCAATGGTTGTGGAAGGGCATGAAGTATGTGGAAGAGCCATAGCTCATTGACAGAGCAGAAGGTCCTGGGTTCAATCCCCAGCCACAGAGCCAGGTACGGCTGGAAGAGATTTCTGCTTGAAACTCCGTCCGTTGGTGTAGAGAAGTGGCTCCCCCACTTTTGGGGGCCACTGCCCCCTTGGTTTTATCAACTCATCCCCAGTGATCTTACTCTACCCTATAAAACACATTATTCAGATTAGCAGTTTGCATGACCCACTAAAAAAAGATCAAACAGTGTTGATTTCCCATTTGTTCAAAATGCAGTTGAAACTAGTAAGTTTAATTAACTCAGCAAAACGGATGAACTTGAATTGATCCAGTGATACCAGCCCTTCAGAGGGCCCCCCTGCTGCCCCCTTACCTCTCAGTGCCCCCCAGGTAATTCCACTGCCCCCCAGGGGTGCTACTGCCCACCTTACAAACCTCTGAGCTAAACAGGTGGAGCAAAGGTCTGATAACTTCCTATGTTCCTGCGAAGGGACACTGGTGCAGACCAGGGCTGCTCAAGATGTTTTGCTGCCTGAGGCAAAGGGTACGATTGTGCCCTCCTCGCATTCCTCACCCAGAAGGTGAGTGGACCAGCAGGTGAAAGAGTGAGAACAGAGTCTGACCTCACGCTTCAGAGAAGCAGGCTAGCTTAGGATGGCCAAGGCCAGGCCAGGCTGTGGGACACAGCCGGTGGCTTCAGGAAGAATTGCTGGAGGCTAATGACAGGGCCGGCCCTGGTCGACAATTACCATATGACTTTTTTTAAAAAAAGAGTACTGTGTTTTTGTGCACATACCCCAATCCTATGTTTGTGGATGACATGGAGGGTCAGAGACAGTCCATTAGGGAAAGAGCCCAGTCCCTGCTTCTCAGAATCTGATACCTCTGGGAAGCCCCCAAGAAGGGCATGGGGAAATTCCCCCCTTCCACCGCTGCACCCCAGCAATTGATGTTCAAAGCGTGCCGCTTCTGACCCTGGTCTGCATAGGCCATGGGTGTGGAACTGGATCCATCCAGCAGCCTAGAGCCAGGACTCTCCCTCCCTCTGTGGGTCCTTTTGGTAGGAAGGAAGAACAGCCCACCAGTCAGTTGCCCAGCATCATAGTGAGAGCCCGTGTGGTATAATGGAGAGAGCATTGGATTAGGATCTGGGAGACCAGGGTTCGAATCCCCGCTCTGCAATAAAGTTCACTGGGTATGTATGACCTTGGGGCAGTTGCTGCCTCTCAGCCTACCCAGCTGCCCAGACTGGTTGTGGGTATTAAATGGGGGAGGAGGAGACCCATGCGTAGCACATTGAGCTCCCTGCAGGAAAAGATAATATATATTGTAAATGTAAAATAAATAAAATAAATGCTTCAGGACTGAGCCTGGCAGCTTGTAAAAGAAAGTTCAGGGTTCTTCCTCTGGAAAGGAAATATTAGGAGCGCAGTCCCAATTCTCCATTTTCAGAGCGGCCCTTTTGGTGTTTGCATCTCTTGCATCCTGCGATGTTGGGGAGATGGCCAGGGGGGTGGGGCCAAATGAGGATGTCTCACAAAGCCTAATTAGGCCCATAGGTAGAGGTTCCATAACAGGAGTATATAGCCATTGTGATTGATAGCCGTGGGTAAAAAGGTAAAGGTAAAGGGGCCCCTGACCATTAGGTCCAGTCGTGACCGACTCTGGGGTTGCGGCGCTCATCTTGCTTTATTGGCCGAGGGAGCCGGCGTACAGCTTCCGGGTCATGTGGCCAGCATGACTAAGCCGCTTCTGGTGAACCAGAGCAGCGCACGGAAATGTCGTTTACCTTCCCACCGGAGCGGTACCTATTTATCTACTTGCACTTCGGTCTTTCAAACTGCTAGGTTGGCAGGAGCAGGGACCGAGCAACGGGAGCTCAACCCCGTTGCGGGGATTTGAACCGCCGACCTTCTGATTAGCAAGTCCTAGGCTCTGTGGTTTAACCCACAGCGCCACCCGCGTTGGTAGCCATGGGTAGCCTTGTCTAATTCGTTTTTAAAGCTCTCCATGTTGGTGGTCATCCCAAGGTGGTGGTGAGCCCTTTTATTATTTATTTATTTATTTCATTTATGTCCCCACCTTTTCCTCCATGGCACTCTAACCACTACACGCCCCAGCTCCCCTTCCTCAAAGTGGCCCATGTAGCTGCAGGGTGGCTGCCTTTGTGTAAGTGCTGATCGTGGTGGTGTGTTTGAACTGGCAGTGATCGAGAGGGCGGGGTTGACCCTGTTGTTTAGAGTGGATCCCCTTTGGGGCTTGGTCCAGAGCTTGCTTCTCTGTAGGGCTCAAGACTCCCACTGTTTCCATCCCACCGCAGGCTCTGCCAGACCAGTTTGTGGAGCCAGTGTGCGCCTTCTGGAACTTCAGCAGAAGGTAGGTAGCTCAGGAAAGGGGAACTGCCATTTTGGCTGCATTACGAAGGGAGCGATGGAGAGAGGAAGAGCTTCGCAGGCATGGAAGCTCAGATTGAGGGTGGGAGGGCAGCAGTCTGTAGGGTGGAGGGCCATAGAAGCACAGAGCTGTAGAATTGGAAGGGATCCCACGGGTCATTAGTCCCAGCCCCTGAAATCCAGGACTCACAAGTAAGGAATCCCTGACAGATGACCATCCAACCTCTGCTTTAAAATCTCCAGTGAAGTAGAATGAATGAACGGATCTTTATTTGCATCAGCCATAGGCCATAGCAATAATACAACAATACGATATACAAAAAATAAAAATAAGAAGTCAACTATATAAAATACATTTTAGGGTTTTGAATCAAAAGTCAAATTTGTTGTTGTTGTTGTTTAGTCGTTTAGTTGTGCCCGACTCTTCATGACCCCCTGGACCAGAGCACGCCAGGCACTCCTGTCTTCCACTGCCTCCCGCAGTTTGGTCAGACTCATGCTGGTAGCTTCGAGAACACTGTCCCACCATCTCGTCCTCTGTCGTCCCCTTCTCCTTGAGCCCTCCATCTTTCCCAGCATCAGGGCCTTTTCCAGGGAGTCATCTTTTCTCATGAAGTGGCCAAAGTATTGGAGTCTCAGCTTCAGGATCTGTCCTTCCAGCGATCAGCCTTCTTTATGATCCAGCTCTCACTTCCATACATCACTACTGGGAAAACCAGAGCTTTAACTATACGGACCTTTGTTGGCAAGGTGATGTCTCTGCTTTTTCAGATTTTGAATCAATAGTCAAAGAGTGGATGTTATTCTAATTGCCCCAGCTAAAAACCTTGCAACCTTTGCTGTCACCCCAATGAAGCAGAGTCCACCTCTTTCGGAGGGAGTCCATTCCACTGTCAAACAGCTCTTCCCGTCAGAAAGTTCTTCCTAATATCTAGTCATAATGCCTTTCTTGTCATCTGAATCCCTTGGTCTGGGCCCCACCCTCCAGAGCAGCGGAAAACAAGCTTGCCACATCTTCCGTGGGAGAGCATGTCAGAGGAAGATCAGTCTCTCATCTCCTTTCGGTCTCCTCTTTTGCAGGCTAAGCAGACCCAGCTCCCATGCGGAAGTCTGAAATCTGGGTCATAGTTCCTTCCTGTAAAACAGAGCTTTCCAAACTGTGTTGTGACACATTAGTGTGTCGGCTGCAGTGCGTAGGTGTGTCAGGCAAATGCTCCATACTCTCTACTTAGGGCTGGAAAGGAGTTAGTTTAACCTCCGGTTTCCTAGTAAAACTGAATTACTGTGTCGCGAAATGATGACGCATGTCTAAAAGTATGTCACCAACATGAAAAGTTTGGGAAGCTCTGCTGTAAAATCTCTGGTTCTGGAGTCCACAGCATGGCACCTCTGGACACCCTCAGATGGGGAAGAAATTTGACACGGTTCATAGTTAGAGGCAGACATACCTGATTAGCAGTTTCTGAAACAAGATGCAAACAAAAACTCAGCTGCTGTTTGAAATCCATACCTTTCACAATTTTTTGCAAAGCAAGTAATAAAATAAATACATACACTTGGGTTAAAAGTGTGAATAAAAATGCCCATATTAGTGAAAATAATATACAAACATGCGTTGTATTAGAGAAAGTAGTTTTGCAAAAATGGATTTGCCAGCCAGAATTGCATACACAAATGTGTATGTCAAGAGAAATTTGCACTAAAATGGCTGATGATTTCTCATGAGGACTTTTTCTAAATAAAAGGAAATTGCAAAGTCATGTGGAAGTTTGGAGAAAGGAACTCACTGATGGAAAAATGAGAAACTGACATTGAATGGTTCACTCATCCCTGCCTTGGTGCCTGCCAACACCCCCTGCCCCTCTGAGTTTTTCCGCCTCCCCTTTCAAATTGGGTTTTTATTGACTTATTTATTTGAATGTGTGTTGATGGGAAGATGTTGCCATGCTTTACCTGCTGCTTTGAGGGTGTTCTGTGCAATGTCAGTTTCCCCCCCTGTGAAATGGGTATTTATTTGTTCCCATGGCAGTTGCTTACATTTCCAAGTGTGCCTGAAAAATGGGAGACCCTTATGCCTCCTGTGTTCAGTCAGTCAACCAATTCACTCCCTTGCCTGAGATTGATAAGACTGTTATGTGTTTATTCTTAACACCCCAACCTGCTACGAGGAGCCTTTTGTTGCGGAGGGAGGCTCCCTCCTGCAAAGTTATTTGCAAATGAGTGACCTTTCCCTGGAGGCCCCACTGAATTATGCCTCCAGCCTGCGACAGAGGAGAGTTGCTTGGAGAATTATGGCCCGCAAGGAATGCAGGATGCTCAGTGCACCGTAAATATGGTCTGACGTGGGATGTTGTTTCCTTGTCTGGGTCATCAAGGAGCAGATGGTGGGGCTTTGCCAAAAACTCCAGGGGAGGGGGCTGGCCTTCACCAAAGGGGATCCTTCTCAGGTCCAGAACCTTTGTGCTCATTTGGAAACGTGGCAGCACTTGGGACTCAAGGCGAGGAGGGGGTGACATGTTTCGTTAAACTCAAGCGCGGCGGTGAGGACAGGCACCTTGCTTTGTTTTTAAGGGAGACACCGTGGCTCCCTGAAAAAGCAACTGCTCTGCATTTAGAAGGTCCTTGGTCCAATTCCTGGCATTTCCAGGGGGGACTGGGTGAGACCCCCCTGCCTGAAATCCTGGAGGGCTGCTGCCTGCCAGAGTTGACAGGGCAGAGCTGGGTGGATCAATACTCTGACTCAGCATAGGGCAGCTTCTTCTCATGTTCCTTTGGCTGAGGGGGCTGCTGAGGGGGCTTCTTGTTCCTTCTTCCGGCCATGGTGGCTGGGACTGGGCTTCCTGGACACGCAGCTCTGCAGTTCATTGGCCCAGTTCTTCCCAAACCTTTCCAGGGTTCCACAAACTGACCGCTGGTTCCGGCTTCCCTGTCAAAACCATTATTTAGAATAGCGGTTTGCTCCGCCCACTAAGGAGGACGACAACGCGATAAAATTCAAAGCAGCAGCAAATAATTGCACGTTTATTCAAAATCCAATCAAAACTGTTTACTTTCATTCTTGTGTTGGAGGGGCGTTGGGCTAGATGATGATGATGATGATGATAATAATTTATTATTTACATGCTGCCCATCTGGCTGGGTTTCCCCAGCCAGTCTGGGAGGCTTCCAACAGAACACTAAAATACAATAACCTATTAAAAGCTTCCCTAAACATGACCTTCAGGGTCCCTTCCAATACTACAATTCTAATTCAACAAAATTGATGAGCTAGATCCAGTGAGGTCTGATGAGTCCTTTGCACCTCCAGTACCCACTTCTGCTGCCCCCTCTCCTCCTAATACCCCTCTAAGTAATCTCACTGCTTAAACCCTTGGGGGGTGGTTGGTGGGGGTGGGGGGAGCACTCTGGTTTGGCTAAGAGCCCCCTGTTTGTCAGCAAGCCTGTCTGGGGCAACCAAAGCTCTGTGCTTCTCTCTGGTTTCAACAGCTGTTTGCTGCTGACTCCCCTCATTGGGTGCTGCTGGACTTGGAGATAATAATAATAATAATAATAATAATAATAATAATAATAATAATAATTTATTCATACCCCGCCCATCTGGCTGGGTTTCTCCAGCCACTCTGGGCGGCTTCCAACAAAATATTAAAATACCGTAATGCATCAAACATGAAAAGCTTCCCTAAACAGGGCTGCCTTCAGATGTCTTCTAAAAGTCATGTAGTTGTTTATTTCCTTGACATCTGATGGGAGGGTGATCCACAGGGCGGGTGCCACTTCTGAGAAGGCCCTCTGCCTGGTTCCCTGTAACTTGGCCTCTTGCAGTGAGGGAACCGCCAGAAGGCCCTCGGAGCTGGACCTCAGTGTCTGGCAGAATGATGGGGGTGGAGACACTCCTTCAGGTATACTGGACCAAGGCTGTTTAGGGCTTTAAAGGTCAGCACCAACACTTTGAATTGTTTGTCCTTCGGTCCCTGTTGGGCTTCTCCCCCTCTCTCTCCTTTCATGCCCTGCTAGCCCCAAAGGAGGAAGAGGAGGAGGCTGGTCCACTGCAGGCTGCTCTGTTATCACCTCCCACCTGGAATTCACCACCTGCTCTTGCAACCACACCACCAACTTTGCAGTGCTGCTGCAGGTCTACGAAGTGCAGGTGAGAGAGACTGAACCCTTTGCTTAAGGGAGCCAGGGGGCGGGCAGGTTGGGGGGCGGAGGAACAGGCCTTAGTGCCATCCCAAAATGTTTTTTCTGCCTGCAATGAATGGCAATGTGGTGCCTCTTTCTCCACCCCACATACAAAAGCCACAGGTTTGCACTGGCAGCTGGATAACTCTTTCACCACAGAGGTGTGTCTGGCACCTTCATTATACAGCTTTACTCGAATACTGAAGACATACCTCTTTACCTTGGCTTTTGACACTTGAGGTGTATGTATTTGGACCCATGTAATTTCTGTAATTTTTGTTAGGAGAGCTTGCAGCCCGGGTAAATTAGATTGAAATAACCACTTACTGTTTCTGGAGTTCAAAGGCTTTATTCATGCAGGAGCTATTAACAGAATGAGTAGGATAAAAGAGAGAAGTACCAAATATCTTGTCTCAACATGTTGGACGAGAGAACACAAAATGCTTCAGCTTTTAGTGGTGCAGTTAACTTATAGAGGCCCCAAGCAAGTGTTGGATAGATTGCTAGGCAAACAGCGTCCTCATGTGGTTTGAAGCAACACATGCATGAAATAGAAGCTCAAGAGAAGGAAATACATTTGCTTTTTTCCAACACTTTCAAGTTGTTTTAAAATGATTTCAATGTTGTGCTTTAGTTGTAGTAACCTGCCCTGGGACTTTGGGGTGATGAATGGGTAATAAATGGTAGTAGTACTAGGAGGAGGAATAATAATAATAATAATAATAATAATAATGGGGCAGTCCACCACACCTCAGTCAAGTGGGCTTTTTGAGGGCGGGTGGGGGTGGTTTGCAGGACATCCTGTGTGGCCTACCCAGCTCTATCCACCAGTAAAAGGAAATGGCTGGGGAGGGGCTTGGGTGGAATAGCCAGGGGTTGTACCTACCCCAACACCCACCAACTGAGGCAGCTGCCTCACTTTGCCTAACAGTAGAGCTGACCCTGCTTAGCAAGTTGTTCCTGTATGTTTGAGCAGAGGAGTGCAGAGGAGGAGTCAACGCTGAAGACCTTGACCTTTGTCGGCTGCGGTGTCTCGTTCTGTGCCCTGATCTTCACCTTCGTCCTCTTCCTGGCAGTTGGGTAAGGCTGGATCAGGGCCACGTCTCCAGAAGCAACACGGGTGCAGGATGGGGGCGATTTCCTTACAGAAGAACATCATGACACTCTGTTGGATCAGGCCAATGGGGGCCCATCTAGTCCAGTATCCTGTTCTCACAGTGCCCCCCCCCAGATGCCAGAGGGAGACCCCACAAGCAAAATCCGAGCACAAGAACCCTCTTGTGCTATCTTGGATACCCCCACACACCAATCTAAGATCTAGTCAGCTGCCCCAGGTCTGTGCTCTAAGAAGCAGTTGCAGCAGCCAGGAACCCCTCCCCCTCCCCCATACGCACCTTTCCCCAGTGGGCTGTGTGCTGGTAGCCAGAGACTACACCTGCATGGAAGATGCCTCTGCTCTTCCCTCTTCAGCCCCTTCCTGGTTTGGGAGACCAAGTGCAGGGGAGGCGCCTGGCGGTTCACTTGCCCGGCCTGCCTCTTCCTCCAGCTTTGAAGCTGCCTCTGCCTCTGATTCCTGCCTGCCACAGGCTCCCACAAACCACTGCCCCCCTCTCCTGAGTCCGACTCCAAGCCTCCTTCCCCCAGTGCACACTGGTCAGCGCCCTGCCAGTCCCTGCCAGATTCCTGCCTCCAACTGTGGAGACAGAGCAGAGTAATAATAGTAATAATAATAATAATAATAATAATAATAATAATAATAACAACAACAACAATAATAATTTATTTATACCCCGCCCATCTGGCTGGGTCTCCCCAGCCACTCTGGGCGGCTTCCAATCAAGTGTTAAAAACAATACAGCATTAAATATTAAAAACTTCCCTAAACAGGGCTGCCTTCAGATGTCTTTTAAAGATAAGATAGCTGCTTATTTCCTTCACATCTGAAGGGAGGGCGTTCCACAGGGTGGGCGCCACCACCAAGAAGGCCCTCTGCCTGGTTCCCTGTAGCTTTGCTTCTCGTAATGAGGGAACCGCCAGAAGCCCTCGGCGCTGGACCTCAGTGTCCGGGCAGAATGATGGGGTGGAGACGCGCCTACTGGACCGAGGCCGTTTAGGGCTTGAAAGGTCAGCATCAACACTTTGAATTGTGTTCGGAAACGTACTGGGAGCCAATGTAGGTCTTTCAAGACCGGTGTTATGTGGTCCCATCCCTAGTCCGCCCACTATTCCTCCATGAATTTGTCTCATCCTCTTTCAAAGCCATCCCAGTTGGAGGCCATCCCTGCCTCCTGTGGTACTGAGTTCCAAAGGACCGGACAAATTAATGGAGATGGAGGAGGAGGAGAAGGAGGAAGGCTATTGATGGCTCCTAGCCAGGATGGCCCTTCTCCAGCTCCACAGCGGGAGACAACAAGGCTTCTGAATGCTAGTTGCTGGAAACACCAGGAGGGGAGAGGGCTGTTTGGCCACTGTGAGAACAGGAATCCGGGCTACGTGGACCATCATGGACCTGATCCTGCAGGCATGCTATGTTCCTTATGACGGGGTGCAAAGCGCTCCCTGTTCTTGCTTGAGTACTTGGCATGAGTCGTTCCTGACTGTGGCTCCACCGTAGGGATCAGGCATTGCAGGGACTCTCACCAGCCCCAGCCAGCAGAGTGCATGGTCATTTGGGGGGGGGGAGCTGCAGGTTCTGCATCCCGTCTCCTAAGCGTGTGATGGGACTTGACCAACAGGGGACCTGGGTATCCGGAATGGCACTCCCAGAAGTGTTGGTTCTCCAGGGTGAGAGGCAGGGAGGGAAAAGGAGAGGTCCCAGATGGGAGGGGGCTGCTACCCTCTGTAGGTGGGGGTGGGGGGGTTAATAACTGCCTCTACGAGAAGTCTCCATATTATACGTATTCTGTTTGTAGCTTTCGTAGCTGTTCTTGTAGTGTGAAAAAACTTTGGTAATTTTTAAAAATTTGAACAGTCAAAAAAGAGGGGGCGTTGCACTCCCAACTTTGTTTCTTTTTTTAAAAAAATTATTGATACAGCAAGAAAAAAGAAAAAAACACAAATACCAAATTACACACAGGAATAACCATAGACACATAATTTTCTTAGCAAACAATAAAACATATATTGGTCTTAACACTAAAGACCCAACCTCCTGTCTAGTCCATATTTCGATTTCATATTACTTATTGCCAATACACACTTTTATCATAATTAAACTTTTTCTTAATATATCTAATTTCTTATATCTACCTTGCAACTATTACTGAAGTTCCTCGAATGCTGCAACAGAATTTAAACTACTATATTTATTTTTCAGATATTCTTTGAAAACCTCCCATTTTGAAACAAATTCCTGTTTTGATTTATTCTTTATTTTTTCTGATAGACCATCTAATTCGGCATATTCTGTCAGCTTTTGGATCCAATCTTGTATAGAGGGGATTTCATTACTTTGTTTCTTGACTCCCATCTCCCCATCCTCCCTCCCTGCAGTGTCCCCAAGAGCGAGAGGACCACAGTGCACAAGAACCTGATATTCGCGCTGGCAGCTGCGGAGGCCTTGCTCATGTTCAGCGAATTGGCCAAAACCAACCAGGTAGGAAGGGCAGGCAGCTGGGAGAGACCTCGTGGGGGTCTGCCAGCGGGACAGAGACCTGTTCCTGCCAAGGGATCCCTGGCCCCTCGCCCTCGCCTCCCACGGTCTCCTGCCCTTCCTTCCCTTCCTCTCCCCAGGGAGTGTGCTTTGCCGTCACGGCCTTCCTGCACCTCTTCTTCATGGCTGCCTTCGCCTGGATGCTGGTGGAAGGTCTTCTCCTGTGGAGCAAAGTGGTGGCTGTGAACATGAGCGAGGACCGGCGGATGCGGTTCTACTACGTGACTGGATGGGGTCTGTGTCCCAGTGGTGATGAGGCAGGGAGGGAAAGAGGGGGCAGGCAGCCAAGTCGACTTCTGATTCTCCGCCTCCTCCGTCTTTTGAAAGCCATACTCCTACGGATGGCTCAATCCAGTTTAGACAAACCCTGTTCCCATCTTAACCACTGTACGGTGAGGTGGATCTGTGACCGTGGCCGTTGGGTGATTAGTTGCCAGGAGCTACCCAAATGGCTCAGGCGACTGCCTCAGGCAGCAGGGGCAGTTCCTCAGGTATTCGCCCAGAGCTCCTCAGGTGTCCCCTCTGCCTCTCCTGCTCCGCCTAAGCCAGTCTGCTTCTCTTTTCTCATGGAATCTGAGTTGTAAGGGACCCTGCAATGCAGGTATCTCAGCTCAAGCGTCCCTGACAGGCGGCCACCCAACCTCTGTGTGGAAACCTCTAACCAAGGAGAGCCCATCACTTCCCAAGGGAGTCCGTTCCACTGCCTAGCAGCTCTTACTGCCAGAAGGCTCTTCCTTTGAACATAAGGAATCTTCTTTTTGCCATTGGAATCGATTGTTTCAGGTCTTATCTTCCAAAGCAGAGAAAAAGCAACGTTCCCTGCATCTTCCTTGTGTCAGCCCTTCAAATAAGATGGCTTTCACATAATTTCCATAGGTGAAATGAGATCCAACTGCTTCTTTATTTGGATCAGGTTCTGGGGTGATGGGGGGGGGGGGAAACTCGTCCATTTTTGCCCCTATGTGTTTTGGGCCAGTCCTAGGTGACTGTTCATAGCTCAAAGAGGGAAGGACAAAGGTGAAACACTAAAGACCTTTAAGACCTGTCCATTGGGTCCTCAGGTTGACCTGAAAGAAGTTTTACTTGAACCGGAAGCAGCTGGGACGGCCCTCCAAACTTTGGGGGTCTTGTGGGGGTATTCTGAAAAATGCTGTTGATGCCATAACAATGCATTAGAAATTGTTTTACACACATTGCCACACTTTATTAGTAGTTTTGCAATGCTTTCCAGTGTGACCACATTACAGTGGTACCTCGGTTTAAGAACAGTCCGATTTAAGAATGATTCGGTTTACGAACTCCGCAAAACCGGAATGGTGTCCTGGTTTGAGAACTTTACCTCAGTCTAAGAACGGAATCCGAATGGTGGAAGGGCACCGGCAGTGGGAGGCCTCATTAGGGAAAGCACCAGGGCCGTCTTACCCATGGGCACTAGGGGTGTGGGGCACCCGGGCACCAGGCCGAGAGTCCAGGGCCCGAGAGTCGAGTCCAGGGAAGAGCCCGCCCATCAGTCAGAGCACCGTGGTGCGCTCTTCTGCTGCAGACGGCTCTGTGCTGCGAGTTTGGGGGCAACCAAGCCAGCGAGACTCTGAGTCAGCCGGCCGGCTCCCCCCCCCCCCGCGCGCGCGCCTGGAACTGGGCAATCGGGGGGGGGGGGCGCCAGGTGGATCTTTGCACCCCGGTGCCACATATGCTTAAGACAGCCCTGGAAAGCACGCCTTGGTTTAAGAACAGTTTTGGTTTAAGAACGGAGTTCCGGAACAAATTAAGTTCGTGAACCGAGGTACCACTGTATGGCCATCCCGAGGGGCATTCTTGCCCGATCGCGTTGCAGAAGAGGGCTCAACCAGTTGCCCTCCAACTCTAATCATAGTATGAAAAGGATTTCAGCAGGGGGATAAGGGAGCCCGTGCTGATTCAGAAATGAGGCAGTATAACCATGGAGCAGAGCTATAGTCCAAAAGCTTTTGCATCCCCTCAAGCATTTTCTCTGATGAAAACAGGGACATCGTCTTCTACATCAGGAAGTTTCTCGCACTGCATGTATAGACATCACGCGCACGCCAGCATGGGTCACCTGGAGCCAGTTACAACCTCTCCGCTGAACCTACCTCGCAGAATTGTTGTAAGGAAAATGTGCGAGGGCAGGGATCATTCGCAACACTTTCCACAGATTGATAGAATGAAATAAATTTTAGCCTATAAGCTCCCTTGAGGGGGAAAGATGATGATGATAATGATAACGATAACGATAATGGAAACTGGGAGAATTATCCAGAACATACCAGCAAATAAATCCTGTTGAACTCAGTGGGACTTAGTTCTGAGTAAAAATGCTTAGGATTGCAGTCTAAGTCTTTACCCAGTTACCTGGGAATAAGTTCCATTGAATACAGTGGGACTTCTTTCTGAGTAGGTCATCTACAATAAAGGAATCAACACTCCACACATTTCCTAATAAATGGCTGGCTGCTGAAGCATTGCAATTAAATAATTCAAAGTGGATTTATTATATTTTCCGTCAAGATTATAGGAAGTGCTTCGTATGCCGGCCTCACCATTTCCTTCATTCGGTGCAGGTATTTTATTTTCAGTATAATTAGCACCCACCTGCCCTCCCACACCACTTTGAATTGTTCTCTGAGACGTGAAGGGGAGGAAAAAGGAAAGGTGGGACATTCCAAAATCAATTCAGAAACTAGGACAGCTTCTATAATTCCAGGACAGTCCCTGGTAAACTGGGACACATGTGTAACTGCCCTGCCGAGATACCACCATGAGCACAAATTGTCATGAATGCACAACAGAAAGGATGCGTGGAGGGGGCCCCTGTGTCCTGCTGAGAAGCAAAGAAAAATGGGCTCTTAGGAGGTCTCCTGAGACTGGCCAACTGGATAAGGCCCCCAGGTCCCACCCCAAGCCTTGGGCCCAACAGCTTAAGAACCCCTCAGTTGCCCCAGGGCAGGTGGTATGCAGAAGGAAAGTTGGAGTTCACCGTCCTTCCCTGCTTGCCTCTTCAGGGCTTCCTGTGGTTATTGTTGGTGTGACCCTGGCCACGTCGTTCAACAAGTACGTGGCAGAGAACCATTGCTGGCTGAACGTGCAGACGGATATCATCTGGGCTTTTGTGGGGCCGGTTCTCTTCGTCCTGACGGTAAGTGTGTTCTGACGGTAAGCCCTCCTCCTTTCATTGGCGGGGTTTGCAATGCAAAAGGTTCTTGCTACCATGTGTGGCAGTGTTAACGGAGAAATCTGAGGGCTCCCTTGGACAAAAAACAAGGATACCAGCCAGGAATCCCAGAGCGAAACAGCAGCCAGTAGGCTTGGTCTTGATTGAAGTCTGTCGCGACAGGACTCCCACCTGCCACCAGGTGGAACAAGATGGAAGCCCCCAACAAAAGAGAACCCAAAACTTTTATTAGTTGCTAATCCCCATGTTACTTCCCCCCCAAACTACATCACGATTACATCATGAAAGGGGAGGTCTGGTGCCAGGAATCTGAGCATCCTGGACCCTGCCCCATGGTTCCCCTTTCATGATGTAACCGTGATGTATGAGTGATGTAGTTTGGGGGGGGTGTAACATGGGGATTAGCAGCTAATAAAAGTTTGGGTTCTCTTTTGTTTGGGGCTTCCATCTTGTTCCACCTTGTGGCAGGTGGGAGTCCTGTCGCGAAAGTCTTCAATAAAGACCAAGCCTACTGGCTGCTGTTTTGCTCTGGTCTTCCTGGCTGGTGTCCTTGTTTTTTGTCCAAGGGAGCCCTCAGATTTCTCTGTTAAGAGCAGGACTGGGTGTGTGTGAGCAAATGTTGGGATTCGGTGGTTTTCAGACTCGGTGCCTTCACAAGACAAAGAAGAACTCTGTAGACCACAGGGTGCGTTTACTTTCCATGTGTGTGGGAGATAACTCTGATTTACACAGCAATATCCTGGGGGGGGGGCAGTGTTCCCGTGTTCCCTGAGAGGAGGATTCTGGGAAATCTGTGAGGAGAACCTGAGCTTACAGGGTTAAACAGCTCAGACTGTACGCCCTGCCTACTGTTGTTGTCCCTTTGCATTCTCTGCTCTCTATCTTCCAGCAGAGCAAAATCTTCCCCCTCCACAACTGCCACCTCTTAAAGCCTCTGGCTGCTGTTTCAGGTCCAGTCCCTGACCCTCTCGCCCCTCTCCTTTGCAGGTGAACACCTTTGTGCTTTTCCGAGTGGTGATGGTGACAGTCTCCAGTGCACGCCGGCGGTCAAGGATGCTGACCCCCAACAGCAGCTTGGAAAAGCAGATTGGCATCCAGATCTGGTGAGTCCCGGAGGCCCCTGGGGGCTGCCCCCGCCCCCTCCAGAGAAGGGCACCAGAGAAGGAAAAGGACACCTATCTGAATGCCATTTGCTAGGGGGGAGAAGTGTGAGAGCCAGTGGTGCTTGGAGGGTCAGACTAGGACCAGGGAGGCCAGGGTTCAAATCCATGCCTGGCCAAGAAGCTCACTGGGTGTCCTTGGAAGCCAGTCGCTGCCTCTCAGCCCAGCCTACCTCACAGGGTTGTGAGGAGGGGAGAACCATGTACACAACCTTGAGCAACTTTGAGGAAAAGGTGGGATATAAATACTTTAAACAATAAAACAGAATCAGAGGCCACATTCCCGTCATCGATTTAAAGTGTTGCAATATTTGTACACTGCCCTTCACCTGAAGGCCACAGGGCGGTTCACAACATCAAGTGCATCTCCCAGGATTCTCTGGGGGAAGCCACAATGGTTTAAATTGGTATCCTAGTGCTTTAGTGTGAACATGGCCATAGAAGTCAATTGTAGAGTTGTAGAGTTGGAGGGACGCGGGTGGCGCTGTGGGTTAAACCACAGAGCCTAGGACTTGCCGATCAGAAGGTCAGCGGTTTGAATCCCCACGACAGAGTGAACTCCCGTTGCTCGGTCCCTGCTCCTGCCCACCTAGCAGTTCGAAAGCAATTCCAAGTGCAAGTAGATAAATAGGTACTGGTCTGGCGGGAAGGTAAATGGCGTTTCCGTGCGCTACTCTGGTTCGCCAGAAGCGGATTAGTCCTGCTGGCCACATGACCCAGAAGCTGTACGCCGGCTCCCTCGGCCAATAAAGGGAGATGAGCGCTGCAACCCCAGAGTCGGTCACAACTGGACCTAGTGGTCAGGGGTCGCTTTACTTTTACCTTTAGAGTTGGAAGGGATCCTGAGGATCATCCATTCCAACCCCCTGCAAGGCAGGAATGTGAAATAGCAGCTGGTGCCCATTGGGATTAGTAGAGAGGAGGACAAGGAGATGAAGGCAGAGTGAATGACAGGCAGGGTCACCCCCTGGCGAGTTATAAGTAAGAAGACAGGCTGAGGTTGCTGGGGCCCCATTTGCCCCAATAGACCAGCTTGCACAGCTTGAAGCCATTGGTTTGAGTCCTACCCTCCAGAGTAGGAGAAAACACGCTTGCTCCCTCTTCCACCTGACAGCCCTTGAGATATTTGAAGATGGCCATCATGTCTCCTCTCAGCCTCCTCTTTTCCAGGCTACACAGACCCAGCTCCTTCAAGGGTTCCTTATAAGCCTTGGTTTCCAGACCCTTGATCATCTTGGTTGCCCTCCTCTGCACACCTTCCAACTTGTCAACGTCCTTCTTAAATTGTGGTGCCCAGAATTGGACACAGTATTCCAGATGTGGTCTGACCAAAGCAGAATAGAGTGGGACTATGACTTCCCTTGATCTGGACACTCGACTTCTGTTGATGCATTTGCCTTTTTTTGCTGCTGCATCACCCGGTGGACTCATGTTGAGCTTGTGGTCCACCAAAATCCCTAGATCCTTTTCCCATGTTCTGCTAGTCAGCCAGGTGTCCCTCATCTTATATTTGTGCATCTGCCTAAGTGCGGAACCTAAAACAAACCCCTGTGTTGCAATAAGAACCAAGCACAACAATACAAACACAATACCTAGGCTAATGGTTAGTAGAAAATATATAATAGAACAATGATATCATTCAGATTATAGGAGTCAGCCAATCAAAGCTCATATGTACAATATAACAGAGTGGTAACGAGGACCGTCAAGCCGTGTGTTCAAGACAGATGTCTAAGGACAGTCTCACAATAGTCTTTCAAAAGTTTCAACAGAAGACCTCTCAAAGGTTTCAAAAGTTCATTTTGTACTCATTTAACAAAAGCTCACTTAATAGTATTCCTCTGTATATTTGTTTTTCATGGGTCTACTTTGTTTCTGCATGCTATATATGCCATACTGTTCCTTTAAGTATATCGTTATTGGGAACACCTGTGACTTGCTCCATATGTCCTGTGCAATTGTGTATCAAGTATCAGCAGCTACACTATCTAGTGAGCACCGAACCTTAGCATGACTCTTTCTTACATATTCTGTTGAAGAATATTGGGTATGTACCTTTATTTATTCTGTTTTGTATATTCTGCTTTATTTTACAACGTGTATGCAGGTAGGTTAGTTCATTCATTCATCGGTTGTATGTATTGTATCTTATTTCCAACTGATGAAGACTATTACGAAACAGTAGTATCATTCCGGAGACTCTGTCCTTTTGAGGCTTTTGAGATGTCTTCCGTTGAAACTTTTGAAAGACTATTGTGAAACTGTCCGTAGACGGCAATGCGCTCGACATGGGGCTACCTTTGAAGGTGACCTGGAAACTACAACTAATCCAGAATGTGGCAGCTAGACTGGTGACTGGGAGCGGCCGCCAAGACCATATAACACCGGTCTTGAAAGACCTACATTGGCTCCCAGTACGTGTCCAGGCACAATTCAAAGTGTTGGTGCTGACCTTGAAAGCCCTAAACAGCCTTGGTCCAGGATACCTGAAGGAGCATCTCCACCCCCATCATTTTGCCCGGACACTGAGGTCCAGCGCCAAGGGCCTTCTGGCGGTTCCCTCACTGTGAGAAGCCAAGTTACAGGGAACCAGGCAGAGGGCCTTCTTGGTAGTGGCACCTGCCCTATGGAACACCCTCCCACCAGATGTCAAAGAGAAAAACAACTACCAAATTTTTAGAAGACATCTGAAGGCAGCCATGTTTAGGGAAGCTTTTAATGTTTAATAGGTTATTGTATTTTAGTGTTTTGTTGGAAGCCGCCCAGAGTGGCTGGGGAAGCCCAGCCAGATGGGCGGGGCATAAATAGTAAATTGTTGTTGTTGTTGTTGTTGTTGTTAGACATCTGTTCTGAACACACGGCTTGACGGTCCTCGTTACCACTCTGTTATATTGTACATATGAACTTTGGCTGACTCCTATAATTTGAATGATATTCTATTGTATATTTTCTACTAACTATTAGCCTACGTGTTGTGCTTGTATTGTTGCAACTGCAGAACCTGACATTTGTCCCTACTGACATTCATTCTGTTAGCTTGGGCCCAGTTCTCCAACCTGTTACGGTCATTTTGAATTCTGTCTTCTGTGGCATTAGTTACCTATCCAAATTTGGTGTCATCTGCAAACTCTATCAAAAAAGAAACGAGAGTCATCTGACATGACTTGTTTTTGAGACCTGTGTTGAGACTTAGTAATCACAGTAATCATCACCGGCAAAGACTTGCTCCCCTGGCGCTGACTTTGGCTACAGGTGAGTTGACTCCCTGCTTTCCCTCTTGCCTCCCACCCCAACCCCACAACCCCCTTTGTCCTCTTCCAGGGCAACGGCCAAGCCAGTGCTGGTGCTTCTGCCAGTCCTGGGACTGACCTGGGTGTGTGGTGTTCTTGTGCACGTCAGTATCACGTGGGCCTACATCTTCATTGTGCTGAACTCCCTCCAGGTAAGCTGCCTTGGAAGGCAGGCCTTCCCTGCAAAATATCTCTCTGACACGTGTGTATGTGCGTGAACACACACAGACACGGGGATCCGTTGCCCATGCTGGAGGCTGCACCTTGTGACGGCAAAGATGCCTTTGAGCACATGCAGAGTGCCTTCCCCCTCACCATCAGGGAGGAAGACCTTCAAAAGGCCAGCTTGAGCTTCAATCGTTCTCTCTTTGAACATTCTGCCCAGAGCTGGCCTTGCAATATCCAGCACTGTGCAGCAGGGGAGGCCCTGACCATACCAGCTTCCTGGTGTTTTGCCACGGCTGAAATCTCTCCCTCTTGCTCAGCGGCTGCTTCTCCTCCATCCAGCAAAAGCTTATTTCAGCAATGGTTCAATTCACACAGGTAACTCACAACTTTGGCTAATTAAAACTTGTGTGATTTCAACTTTATGTGCTAGCCAACTGGCCAGTTGCAAATCACGCAAATTAAGCGCATGGAAGTCTGAGAGTTTAAAAGCTCTTTCTGTGGCGTGGGGAAACCTTTTAAGCTCTGTGCCTTGCTTAGCGGGCAATTCCATGTGAGGAATTCCCAGAGCCCAGTAAGCAAGGAGGAGAGCTTCCAACCTCTGCCTTGCTTTGGGGGCAAGGACCGCTTGGCTCACAGCTTCAGAGAGGTAAGGTCACTCATGCGGGGGGAGGTTGCAAGGGTGGTTCTGACTAGACCTCACTCTGGCTTTACGCTCAGTCCCCAGAACATAACCCTCAAGCAAGCAGTGAGTGACCTGTATTGATTTGATTTGAATTAATTTTATAATGAAATGATTTTAGAATGTATTATTTTATTGTTGTTAGCCGCTCTGAGCCCAGCTTCGGCTGGGGAGGGCGGGATATAAATAAAAAATTATTAATTTATTATTTATTATTGAGAAAACAATGTTTCCTTCCCTCCAAAGTCTCTCTCTCCCTCCCCTCCCTCCTCCCTCCCACCCTTCTATAGGGGCTCCCTAGCACACCTGCCCATTTGAAGGGACCCCTTTCTAGTCAAAATACGACTAGATACGTGAATCAGAGTAGAATTACAGAATCACAGAACTGTAGAGTTGGAAGGGACCCTGCCATTTCCATCACAAGCCCAACCTTATTCAACGTGGAAATCACAACTGCAGTGTCCCTGATGGATGGGTGCCCAAGAAAACATCCAAGGGAGGAGAGTCCTTCTGAGGGAGTCTGGTTCTTGTTGTTGTTGTTGTTTAGTCGTTTAGTTGTGTCTGACTCTTCGTGACCCCTGGACCAGAGCACGCCAGGCACTCCTGTCTTCCACTGCCTCCCGCAGTTTGGTCAAACTCAAGCTGGTAGCTTCAAGAATACTGTCCCACCATCTCGTCCTCTGCCGCCCCCTTCTCCTTGTGCCCTCCATCTTTCCCAACACCAGGGTCTTTTCCTTCTCTTCTGTCTGGTTCTACTGTCTCATAACTGCCAGAAAGTTTAGTTGGAATTCCCATTCTCGTCATTTGGATCCATTGGTTAAGGGCCTACCCTCCAGAGGAGCAGGAAAAGTAATTTGGGAATCTCCTGTGAAAGGCTAGGAAGGAGGTGTCCATCACACAAATTGAGCTTTATTCAGAGAAGTAATTGCTTGCATGAAACAAGACAAGCGGACATTCAAAGGACCATACCTTCCTCCCCCAATCTGCTCTGCTCCGAGTGCCGGTGCCAATAAGAGGGACGGGAGTGTTTCTTCTGAGGATGAGCAGCCGCCCTGCATCATCAACGAAGGTTATATCGGTGCCAGAGTGTGCAGCGCTCCTGCCCCAGCCTGTGGAGGAGTGGGCTTGTTGCACAGATGCCGGCCACAATTAGTGCATCAGCTGCAACGCTTCCTGATAGCTGAAGGAACACAGGAAGTGATTCTCTCCTGATAAGACACCAAAGGAGGCAAAGCATCAGAGGAGCACGGCAGGAGGGTGTAGTAATTATGAGAGGAGACTGTTCTCCCCACCCAGTGCCAAGCTCAGGGACTCGAGAGCAGGATGTTGTTTACGTTGGGGGGGCAGCGGGGGGGGGGGAGGGATGCACTAGGAAAACTCTTGGCCGGCAGTTGTGTTTCTGAAGGTTCATCATCCGAGACTTCTGAGGCGGCTTCCTCTCTCAGAAAGAAACAGACAAAAGGATGGGTCATTTCTCACAACGCACAGTTAATTCATTCGTATTGTATTTGTTTGAACCGCTCCTTGTTGTGAGTAGTGCCAGCTCTGGAGCGGAAAACGCCAGATGTCCAGAGAGGAGGAAGAGGAAGAGGAAGGCTAGGCTTGTGCATGCAGTGCCACTTTTATTTTGAAAAATGCCCAAAGGCCCTTCATCATGACCAGGCAAAATGTCACAAAATAGTGAGGCGAGCTTCTGAGTCCACCAGAGCTCTTCTTCTTCAGGATGTGGGCGGGGGGGGGGGGACTGAGGGAAACAAAAATCTGGCTAGGGATTGAGGCCGTGTTGGTCCAAAGTTAATTTTTGCTGTATGCTGCCTTAGAAGGGGGCTGGTGTGGGGGCTCTCTCTCTCTCTCTCTCTCACACACACACACACGCCTGTGTTCTAACTTCAAAGTCTTGTCTCAGTTTGTCTCAGTTACCAGGAATAAAAAATGGACGGGACCCTTTCTCTCACTTTGTCTACCCCACACTTTCTCTTTTCTTTGTCCTCCTTTCCCCCTGGATGAATTAAGCCAACGGTCGCATGAAATCAGGCCAAGGGCTGGCAATTGCCCGTCTCTTTGTGAAAGGGACAGTTCTGCCCCTTGGTTGGGAGAGAGACATCGTTTGGCCTTCCCTATATGTCTGTTTGGGGGGCTAACAAAGCAAAGATTCTGACCCAGCGGCTGTTTCCAGGTCCCTGGCATGGATTCTTCCCTCTGTCTTCCTACAGGGTCTCTACATATTCCTGGTCTATGCCATCTACAACAGCGAGGTAAGGGACAGCCACACTACGCAAACGGGGCAGATTTGGCACCCTGTTCTCTCTGCAACAACTCTTCAGACTTTGAAAATGAGCTTGGGAGGATGTGATCAATGGCTTGTGAAACCAGCTAGGATTTCAGGGACCCTCATGGTGATGGCCTTGGGGGTCCCTGAAATCTGCTGGATCCTCCCATGTGTGTTTGTGTGTGTGGTGGCATTCTGACTACTTGCCATTCTGCTGGCAAGATCTCCTAGGGCAGGCATGGCCAAACTTGGCCCACCAGCTGTTTTGGGACTGCAATTCCCATCATCCCTGACCCCTGGTCCTGTTAGCTAGGGATGATGGGAGTTGTAGTCCCAAAACAGCTGGAGGGCCGAGTTTGGCCATGCCTGCCCTAGTGCCATCCAAGTTCCCACTAGATCTCATGCGAGCGGTTGCTAGTCTTCCACATATACGTGGAACCCTGGGAGCCAAACCCCCGTGTAAGACGCAGCCACACCGCAGAGCAGAAGTGAGGAAACCTCCAGCCTGTAGGACAATCTCAGTCCTGCACAGCCAGGTGCAAAGTCTGTTGCATGTTGGACAACTTTGCTCCCCAACTGACTCCTCTGTGGACAGATGGCACCCGACGGAGGTGGGCAGTTGCTGCTGTTTTCCCTGCCTTTTCCTCTTCAGCTGAGGAAATAGCTATATACGACTAGCAGGTGCATTTTGAAAACAATTAAATGCCAGGATTTCCCCACCACCACCATGGAGCCCCTGCCCCACAGGAATCAACCTGGATCCTGCAATTGTCATCTGAGGCTCTTCTTTGTCTGCACGCCCCCCCCCCCCGTGGCAACACAAGAACTGGCCTTTTCTGTGGTGACCCCCTTCTTGAGGAATGCTCTCCCCAGCGACCGTCATTGCACCTCTTTAGGCACCAGGCAAAAACCAGGCCTTTGGCTTTTAACTATCTCTACAGCCATTTAGAAAGGGACGCGGGTGGTGCTGTGGGTTAAACCACAGAGCCTAGGACTTGCCGATCAGAAGGTCGGCGGTTCGAATCCCTGTGACAGGGTGAGCTCCCGTTGCTCGGTCCCTGCTCCTGCCAACCTAGCAGTTCGAAGGCACACCAGTTCAAGTAGATAAATAGGTACCGCTCCAGCGGGAAGGTAAATGGTGTTTCCGTGCGCTGCTCTGGTTCACCAGAAGCGGCTTAGTCCTGCTGGCCACATGACCTGGAAGCTGTACACCGGCTCCCTCAGCCAATAAAGCAAGATGAGCGTGCAACCCCAGAGTCAGCCACGACTGGACCTAATGGTCAGGGGTTCCTTTACCTTTTACCTTTACCTTTACCTTTACTCTACACAGTACTGTGGAGGATGCACCACAGATTTGTGTAACAGCATTAGGATATTTGCAGTTTTATTTTCAATTCCTTTCCTATGGTCAGGGATCCCTTTACCTTACAGCCATTTAGAGTGGGTGGGACCTTTGAACACCCCCACCCCCACTGCCCCAGATTTAATGTATGTGTTTTGTTTCTGTAAGTCACGCTGAGTTGCTATGGCAAAAAGTGGTAATAAATTTAGTTAAATAATCATCATCATAAAGGCAGGAAGAATTTCCCTTGGCACTGCAATGCCGGTAACTGCTTAGCCCACAACAAATACAGATAAATGCACAGGGGGTGTGGTTGTGGTGGTGGTTGTTGTTGTTGTTGTTGTTGTTTAAAAAGTGCCGTTAGTGCCTGAGGCATCTTGTTGTGTGTTCATTCTGTGGGCTGGAAGGGGCCAGTTTCATACCAGTGCTTAATTTGCAGGTGCGAAATGCCATCCAGCGGATGAAGGAGAAGAAAAAGGCTCTCTCTTTCACAGTAGGTTTGTGGTCTGGAGCTGGGGGTCTCCCCCTGCCTGACCCCTCTCCCCTCCAACTCCCCCTAAAAACCACTGCATGTGAGTCAGCCAGTGCTAGAGACCTTGTGGGCTTCCAGAACAGTGATTCTAGTTCTGCCCTCTGGAACAAAATAGAGAACAAATCTGCTCTTTCTTATTCAGGACACCCCTTATGCCGGCCACTGCCCTGCAGCCATTAAAGTTAGCACAAAATAAGACCCTAAAGGAGAATATTTTAATTTTTTGAAGGAAATTTCTTTTCCCCCCCCCTTTTTTTTTGAAAGAGAGGGAAAAATTAAAAACAAAATATTTATTAAATTACCCTTTTATTGCTGCATTCCTGTTGGTTGCTGAAAGGTGGAAAATGTTTGTGCAAAATATATAGAATTTGATTGCAACGAATGAAAAACATCCCTGGTACACCCCCTTTTTTAAAATTAAAAGAAAAGGAAAAACAATTGTGACCTCTTTTGTCTCAATGTGGCAGGATTCTGTTAAATGCATAAAAAGGTGAAAAAATTGCATTTGTGTCCTCCACTAGCCTCTTGAGAAATCTTGGAAAGGTAACATCTAACTGGTTGAAAAGATTTTCCTGATGTAATATAGTGCCTTTTATTCTCAGTGTTCCTTGCGCCTTTGATGGTTTGAGCTATAGATTTATGTTTCCAGATGCGTTTTAAGCCCCCCTGGCTCTCTCATATCTTACAACGGCGTTCCTTCTGCGTCTCCTCGCAAGTATCCACACAACCAGCTTTGCCGTTTCTTCTTGTGAACCTAACATCCCGTGCCAGCCTTGGTTCAGTTCAGCTTAGCTTTTATGTGTTTGTCTCTTTAAGTTCTGTTTTCTTATGTGGGTTATATGGGGGGAAATACCGTATTTTTCGCTCCATAAGACCACAAGATGCACCTAGTTTTTGGAGGAGGAAAACAAGAAAAAAAATATTCTGAATCTCTCTTTTTTAAAAAAATAATATTTATTAAAGTTTCAATGGGAAAAAAATCACATTAATAAAAAAATTAACAATAAAAAGGAAAAATACAAAGTAGGAAAAAAAGAAAAAACAGTTAAAAACAATTCCATCTTTTCCTCACTTCTTTTACGTTTACTTGTTTCCCGGACCTCCTCATACCTCCCTCTTTTGTATTCCGATTAAATTTGTTAATCCAACAATTCCTTTCTCTCCTTTTTAATCCTAATCCTTAGTCCTGATATATTGTAACGTTAGATTTTTACATATTAAAAACCAATTTTTCCATATTCTTTTGTACCTATACAGCTAGAAACCACTTAACTTCAATCCAACATCATTCTAACATTCATTAATTTTACAATATTTCTGTAAACAGTCTTTAAATTTCTTCCAATCTTCTTCCACCGACTCTTCTCCCTGGTCTCGGATTCTGCCAGTCATTTCTGCCAATCCCATGTAGTCCATCATTTTCATCTGCCATTCCTCCAGTGTGGGTAGATCTTGTGTCTTCCAATGCTTTGCAATGAGTATTCTTGCTGCTGTTGTAGCATACATAAAGAAAGTTCTGTCCTTCTTTAACACCGATTGGCCGACTATGCCCAGGAGAAAGGCAAAAAAATATATTCTGCATCTCAGAAGCCAGAACAGCAAGAGGGATCGCTGCGCAGTGAAAGCAGCAATCCCTCTTGCTGTTCTGGCTTCTGGGATAGCTGCGCAGCCTGCATTCGCTCCATAAAACGCACACACATTTCCCCATACTTTTTAGGAGGGAAAAAGTGAGTCTTATAGAGCAAAAAATACGGTATATAAAGTTGGTTGGGTGATGGCTGTTTCTGGCTGACTGTTTCTTCTCCAGACATAAAGAGCACCAGAAGAGGCTGCTCTGGGTCAGGACAAAGGAGGCCCATCTATTCCAGAGTCCTGTTATCACAGTTCCCAGCCAGGTGCCTCCAAGGAAAACCCACAAGTGGGAGTCGAGCGCAAGAGCAACTCTCCCCAGGGACAGCCTTTGGCAATCTTTTGAAATATGGCGCCCTGTGCAAGGCCAACATTTGGTGCCCCAAAGCAGATCTTCTCAGTTATGGATCTTCTTGATTTTGTGTCCCCTGCACCACCCTAATGAATATAAAAAACTTCTGCAAGCAACTGCACTGTATATTGTTCCAAGCTGTTATCTCAAATCATTGCAAAATCAGTCAGCGCATAACTCCTGCTTGCCTCAGTGAAAGGGAGGAATATATTTTTTCATGCTGTGTCATATTAGCGAAAGCCATCTTGCCTCCTCTTCCATCTTCATCAGATCTTTCAAGTCTTAAGTAAAGCTGTGCAATTAAATGCCTAATTATAAATAGAAGTTGGCCTGTACTCTTTTTAAAAAAAACCAATTTAAGTTCTTAGTGAGGCTTGGCATAGAAAACGATACAGAGAAGATTAGCATGGCCCCTGTGCAAGCGGATCTTCTTGATTTTGTGTCCCCTGTACCACCCTAAATCCAGCACTGCTTTCCGCCCCCCCTCCGTGGCATTCGGGTGCCTTGCTGCCTCCAACTGCGGAGGGCGGAGCGTGGCCTTGGGGGGCTGGGAGCCGCCTGTCTGGGGGTGCGGATGCTGTACAACTGCTTTGTGTCATTTCAGAACTGTTCGCACCCCATCAACTATCTGTCAAGCCCTAGGAACACGTCCTGGGAGGTGGGCAAGTTCAGCCCCTCCACCCCAGAGAATACGGCCTCCCCCTCCTCGGAGAAGGACTCTGCAACGAAGAACAGCAGCGGCAAGGGTACAAAGGTGGCGCTTGTTCCACCTGCAATGAAATTAGCATCTTTGACTATTTTTGTTTTGTTTTGTTTTTGCATCCCGGCTGATCCTCCTTTCTCCCTCGCACAGGGAACTTCAGCGCCAAAATCCCAGCGGGACTTGCATCAATTATGTCTCCAGAGCGGCCGGTATGTAGCTCATCCCCACCTACCCAGATTATTTGATTTATTTATTTATTTACTTGCTTATTGCGCTTATATGCCGCCTTCTCTTCTGAGCAGCTCCAAGGTGGTCACATGGTTCTCCTTGACTCCTGAAGTTATTCTCACAGCAACAGCCCTGCAATGTAGGCTAGGCTGGAAGGCAGCGACTGCCCCTCACAAGGTCTCGCCCAGTGAGCTTCTTGATGGCCAGGAGAGAGGCTGGAATCCTGGCCTCCCAGTCCATAGTCCAGCACTAACCATTGTGTTGCACTGGAAGCTGCTTTGTTCCAGGCCGCACCCTTGGTCCTCCTCCTCTGATAGGAGGCCTTGACGCAGATGTACCTGGAGGTGCGGGGGGGGGGATGTTGAACCTGGGACCACCTGCAGCTGCAGCCTCTTCCTCCCTCCCTTCTCCTTAAGGAGCAGAGCTCCACCTGTTGGTTAGAAGAAGCCATGAGGGCTGGTCGCGCATTCCAAGTGGCGCTTGAGCCACTGCTGGGCTGAGATTTAGTCCTTCAGCTTCTCCAAAGTTTCCTCCCCCTGTGAAAGAGGCTTCTGTTTTCCTACCTGCGCTGCCGGGGACTGGACTGGTCCCCCTTGGGATCCCTCCCAAATTCTGATTCCACTTTGTTCTCAGAGCTCTTAAGAATGTATTTAGGATTCCAGTGGGTGCAGAATTTGAAACTTACCTTATTGTTGTGAAGTGGCCAAGGGTGGTGTGTGTGGGTGTGGGTGTGGGTGTGTGTGTGTGTCCCCCGAAGGAAATGTTTCTTCTGCACTGATCTGGACCCCCACCCCATGGAAGGAGCTATCTCATGATGAGGCCTTCCTTCCCCATTGAGAACTCAGAATGACTGATGAGATGCATAGCTGTCAAGTGTCCCTTATTTGGCGGGACACACCCTTATCCCAGCGCCATGTCCCGCTTCTGTCCCTTATTGATGAGGCTTCGTTTGGCTGCTGGCTGGGCTTTCTGCCTTTGGCTCGGAGGGGCTCAGAAGTTGAACATCCCTGTTCCCCGAAAATCCCTTATTTTGGCTGCTGATCCCTTATTTTCGAGGCTGCTGGTCCCTTATTTTCAAATCTGTAAGTTGACAGCTAAGATGAGATGGCTCTGTAGAATGAGCAAAAAAAGACAAGCGCCCGCTGGCTGCCTCAAAAGTAGGAACAGAGGAAGATGCTTTGCACAGAGTCAGACCCTTGGTTCACCCGACTCAGTACTGTCTACACGGACGGGCAACAGCTTCTCAGTGTGTCACCTGGGGCCTTGCCAGGCCCTTCCTGGACTGGACCCAGGACCTTTTGCCTTAGAAACAGGTGCTCCACCGCTAAGGTATGACCTGTCCCATAAAACTAGGTCCCCAGTCAGAACCAGACCATGGGGCCACCTGACACAGCATAGCTCTCCGGGGTTTCAGTCCCCCCCCCCCCCCGCCTGCATCATGGAGTTGCCAAGTATTGAAACTGGAACTTTTCGTGGGCTTTCTGCCATTGAGCAATAGCCCTTGCCCGGGACGGAAGAGGGCTCTGGTGCGCCAGTCCTGCTGTCGGGTTTCTCACAGCAGCTTGGCCGCTGTGGGAACAGGGTGCTGATCTGTTAAGGCTCTTATTACATTCTTATGTTCTCTGCCCCACCCGTGAGAGTTTCCCCTAAATATATTTTCTCTGCTTTGATGATTTTGGAATGCAATTTCTTTTCTCTGCAAGTGATAGAGGCGGTAGGGGGAGGAGAACTTTGCCCCCCCCCTTTTCCAATGCAGTGTTAAACTGGAGCCAAATATAGCTGCCTGCTGTCTCCCCCACTTTGTGGCATGTCCTCAGTATCTGCTGGCGCTGATTAGGTGCCCTAGCCCCCTTTAACCGCCTTGTTTTCCTCCCATGGTTCCTGAGAGGTGGACTTTCCCCTCCTCCTTCCAGAGTCCCACCTTTATCATCTTGCCTTCGCAGGCAGGGAGCAACAATTCGTTTTAGAGCTGTGCCAAAGGCACTGGAGTGTAGGAACACGGGGGGCTTTTTAAAAAGGCACCCTTCTCTCCCGAGAGCCTGGGCGACCAAAACAACAAGCCCACCTAAAAGGGTCACGGCTACTGAGCTGCCCCTAAAGCAAGCAGGCGTGTTGCGGAAAGATTGCCAGGCGTTGCTAGAGACAGGGTTGACTCCATGCAAGGAGGGCAACTTGCTCATTGTTCCATCAAGCTTTCTGCTCACAGCGGCAGCCTCCAAGCTGACGGTCTGAATGAAGGACTCTGAAAAGTCAGAAATAGGTTTTCAAAGTTGATTACTTTTTTTTGGCCCTGTTTGTCCCCCGCTATCAAACTGGATTATGCCAAGTACTAACTATTCAACTCCCAAGGGCACTAGTTGCCTCTCAGCCAAATAAACAGTGCTCATCCTCCCCACCTTGTTTTGTTTTTGTTTACTAAACCATCTGAAAAACAGGCTGGGGAATCTTCTGGCAAGGATGAACCCTGGGCTCATTTTGCTGCCCTGATTGGCCAAGCCGATCAGCGGCTGAAATGGAAACCCATCAGCTTCTCCCCACTGACCCCGGGTGTTGGGCAAGAGGGACCACGCCATTGCCTGAGCTCCTAGGAACTCAGCCTTTGGCTCAGGCAAGGGGGATTAATTTTGCAATTTGCGCAGATTTCTGAAATGCCAAGGTCGGTCGCTGCTGATTCCCATCTGTTAGTCCCAGAAGCAAAGATACGATCAGCTGCACACAGGGCTTAGAATGTTGATTAATTTCGTTGTTGCTTTACATCACGGAGAAACAACAAGAAGAGAAACACATAATTAAAAAATAGAAGACTGAGTATAAACATAGAATTAAAATAAAACCCGTTACTGTCATGAGCAGGATAATATAGATGACTGAATCAATGAAATCCACAGATAAGCAGGTGGAGGTGACCATGTGCTTCCTTATTGACATGTGTAATAAAATCTTAAAAACAGTGGTACCTCGGGTTACAGACGCTTCAGGTTACAGACTCCGCTAACTCAGAAATAGTAGCTCGGGTTAAGAACTTTGCTTCAGGATGAGAACAGAAATCGCGCAACAGCAGCGGGAGGCCCCACTAGCTAAAGTGGTGGTGGTGGTGTTTAGTCGTTGAGTCATGTAAGCCTCTTCGTGACCCCCTGGACCAGAGCACACCAGGCACTCCTGTCTTCCACTGCCTCCCGCAGTTTGGTCAAACTCATGCTGGTAGCTTCCAGAACACTATCCAACCACCTCGTCCTCTGTTGTCCCCTTCTCCTTGTGCCCTCCATCTTTCCCAACATCAGGGTCTTTTCCAGGGAGTATTCTCTTCTCATGAGGTGGCCAAAGTATTGGAGCCTCAGCTTCAGGATCTGTCCTTCCAGTGAGCACTCAGGGCTGATTTCCTTCAGAATGCATAGGTCTGATCTTCTTCTTGCAGTCCATGGGACTCTCAAGAGTCTCCTCCAGCACCATAATTCAAAAGCATCCATTCTTCGGCGATCAGCCTTCTTTATGGTCCAGCAGCTAAAGTGGTACATCAGGTTAAGAACAGTTTCAGGTTAAGAACGGACCTCCAGAACGAATAAAGTTCTTAACCCGAGGTTGCTGGATCAGGCCAGTGACCATTGAATCCAGCACCCAGTTCTCACAGTGGCCAAGCAGGTGCCTGAATAGGAAACCAGAACACGAGCCATATCTCTCCAGCAACTGGGATTCAGGATCCCTGCTGCCTCTGACTGTGGAGGCAGGCAGAGCCATTGATAGCCGTCTTCTCTTCCATGAATTCATCCAACCCTTTTCAAAGCTGTCCAACTTGGCAGCCATCACTGCCTCCTGTGGGAGGGAGTTCCACGGTTTAACTACGCACTACATAGAAGACTCCCTGGAAAAGACCCTGATGTTGGGAAAGATGGAGGGCACAAGGAGAAGGGGACGACAGAGGACAAGATGGTTGGACAGTGTTCTCGAAGCGACCAGCATGAGTGTGACCAAACTGTGGGAGGCAGTGGAAGACAGGAGTGCCTGGCGTGCTCTGGTCCAGGGGGTCACGAAGAGGCGGACACGACTAAACAACTAAACAACAACATTATGAAAGACTTCCATTTTTCTGTCCTAGATCTTCCCAAGCAAGCCAAACCTCTGCAAATATATCCCTTTTACAGGACGGAGAGCTTTTCTGTTGTGCCAAAGAGGGACAAACCAGGATCCAAGCGGCATCTACAGAAGGAAGAGCTGGGTTTTGACATCGCCTGCAGGCACTGTGCTTGTTTCAGCTCCCTGTTATCAAAATACAGGGCTAGGAAGGGCCTGGGGAGCCAAGCCCCCTTACTGCCGTAGGGCAGGGAAACCCTTTGCCTTGCCAGTGTGGCTCACACGCAGTCCCTGAGTATGCCAGCCTTAATGGCAAGAAACCTGCCTGTTTTATTAGGGAAAAGGGAAAAGAATGTTAATTCACAGTTTGCAGCCTTCTGAGATGAAAGTCAGGAACTGTGCAGTGTAGCATAGCTCCCCGATCTCCGGGTCGAAAGGAAACCCCTAGCTCACACACTTCCAAGACGACCTACTTAGAAACAACTGGAGGTTTCTAGTCCTTGTTATGTAAAACCTCAGATTCTCAGTATGATAAATAATAATAATAAAATTTTATTTATACCCCGCCCTTCCCGGTTCAAAAACCGGGCTCAGGGCGGCTAACAACAAATTTAAAACACTGAATTGATGCAACAAAAAACAGCATAAAATACAGTATAAAACGTGAATAACAATAAATTCAGAATTCAAAAATCAGTTTGGGGGGAAATCCATCCAATAAACATTAGATGTATGGAGCATTTGAAATGAAGGCTTACTTACTTACTTACTTGCATTTATATCACGGCTTTTTCTCCTAGGAGCTTGAGGCAGCTTCTCCTCGTTCAACCCCTGCAAGAATCTCCCTGCAAGGGAGGTTAGGCTGAGAGAGGCAGTGACTGGCCTGAAGTCCCACCCAGGGAGCTTCATGGCCCAATGTGGGGACTTGAACCCTGGTCTCCCAGGTCCTGGCCCAACAGACTAACCACTGTGGTTAGGGCAGCTGATAGGGAATGCACTAAAAAGTGGGGGGTAGTATCTGATGGATGAGAAGATACATAAACCTCTGTGCGAACAGATATGGATGAATGATGGCTATGTTCTGCCTCCGGGTCAGAGGCAGTAACGCTTCTGAATGCCTGTTTCTGGAAGCCCTGGTGCTCTGGTCCTGCTTTTCCATAATGGGCATCTGTTTGGCCACTGTAAGAACAGGAGGGCTGGATGGATGAACCCCTTTGGCCTGATCCATCAGAGGCTCTTCTTGCGTTCTCACATTCTTACTGCTGCACAGTGGTACCTCTGGTTACGTATTTAATTCGTTCTGGAGGTCCGTTCTTAACCTGAACTGTTCTTAACCTGAAGCACCACTTTAGCTAATGAGGCCTCCTGCTGCCGCCACACGATTTCTGTTCTCATCCTGAAGCAAAGTTCTTAACCTGAAGCACTATTTCTGGGTTAGTGGAGTCTGTAACCTGAAGCGTCTGTAACCCGAGGTACCACTGTATAACCTTGCCGTAAAACAAATAGGAAGGAACGCTAAAAAACAGGCCAGACATTGCACGTGACCTCCCATGCAGGCTTTGTGAAAGCAAGTCTGTGTGAATGCTCAACAAACAACCACTGAGAAGAGTCCCACGCCTCTTGCGCTGATTTCAGCCTCACAGGCTGTGCAGTGCAGGGAATCAAACAGTAATTCCGTCAGTAGAGCGAGATCAGATGGCTACCAGGTAGACTGACTTAGACTGCTTCATGTTTGCAAAGCACTTTTGCATTGGTCTTACGACACCAGAGGAAGCTGGGTGGGTGGCTGCTGAGTCTTGCAACCATTTATCTACCTGTTGATTTGTTCTCCCTCCCTCTCTCTCCCTCCCTCTTTCTCTCTCAGGCTGTTCAACTGACTGCATTCAAATCATCAGGTAATGCTTTTCCCATCTGCTCTTTTCCTGGCCTTACCTGAGCGTTCTGTGTCACCTGATTTTCACTTTCTTTGATGATGGGAGTGGGGGAAGCCACCACTCTTTTTTGTTTCTGCTTTAAAAGTCTTTGTTTAGTATTCCTCCCAGTCTTAGACATTTGCACTTGCTGATAGTGCTGGCAAACAGACTGAGGTGGGTGCAGAATCCTTGCTGGTGAGAGGGACGTTGCCTTGATTTCTAAAAGCTCTGTATAGGATGGGTTCAGGATAATAATAATAATAATTTATTGTTTATACCCTGCCCATCTGGCTGAGTTTCCCCAGCCACTCTGGGCGGCTCCCAATCGAGTGTTAAATACAATACAGCATTAAATATTAAAAACTTCCCTAAACAGGGCTGCCTTCAGATGTCTTTTAAAGATACGATAGCTAAGGGACGTGGGTGGCGCTATGGGTTAAACCACAGAGCCTAGGGCTTGCCGATCAGAAGGTCGGCAGTTTGAATCCCAGCGACGGGGTGAGCTCGCATTGTTCGGTCCCTGCTCCTGCCAACCTAGCAGTTCGAAAGCACATCCAAGTGTAAGTAGATAAATAGGTACCGCTCCAGCGGGAAGCTAAACGGTGTTTCCGTGCGCTGCTCTGGTTCGCCAGAAGCGGCTTAGTCCTGCTGGCCACATGATCCGGAAGCTGTACGCCGGCTCCCTCGGCCAATAAAGCAAGATGAGCGCCGCAACCCCCAAGTTATCCGTGACTAGACCTAATGGTCAGGGGTCCCTTTACCTTTAAAAATAAAAAATAAAAAATACGATAGCTGCTTATTTCCTTGACGTCTGATGAGAGGGCGTTCCACAGGGCGGGCGCTACTACCGAGAAGGCCTTCTGCCTGGTTCCCTGTAACCTCACTTCTCTCAATCAACCTGAGTTGACCCAGCCCTGCAGAAGGGTTGCACAAATTTCACAATTTTCTCAAAACACACCAGACGAGCAGCTGTGCCAAATAGTTCCAAGTGCCTGTGCGGTTCATCTCATTTGGGGGGGGGGGGGGATGTACAAACCTGAAGTGAGGCTTGGTTCCTGGACAGTGGGCTGAGCAGCGTAGCACCAAACCCCCCAATTGCTCACATGGGGGGAAATCAATGGTGGCGCTTTTTTCTTTGTGTTTTGTTTTAGAAAACTGTTGCTGGCACTCACCATGAAGTTGTTACAGTAAGTGCTGCACTTTTAACGGGGTTGGGGGAAGGTGCCGGTACTGAGTACCCTTGAGTAACCCCCCCCCCCCCAAAAAAGAGCCCTGGGGGGAAATAAAACAACGAACCCAGCGGGAGCGAGAGGAGAGGGAGCCACAGGTGCTGTGAGCACTCAGAGGTCGCTGACCCTGCATCAACAAAGCCCCTATTTCCCTGCAAATTGTTTTAAGCTCACTAAATAGGGACTTATTTTCTTTAGTTGTAGGTCTGAACAAAACCTAGACATCTTGAGATGAGGGCCCTTGTTCAAATATTTTGTTGGGGGCTTGCTTGTGGGTGTGCAACCCCCACATGTGTGTTTGTACACACTCTTGTGAAGCACAAAGTCTTTGCCCGTTCATTTCTGCCCCTTTCTCTCTCTCTGCCTCTTCCACCCAACCCTTTCTGCCTAAACAATCCTGTTTAAAATACGTGGCAAAGCATCTAGTCAGCCAAAAGGATACCCATGAAATTAAGGTCAGGCAAGAGTTAGATCTGGAACTCTGGCTGATTTTGCAAAGATGTCCAACTCTCATTTGCTGAGCCATATCAGCAGCAAGGACTTGCTGATCAGAAGGTTGGCGGTTCGAATCCCTGTGACAGGGTGAGCTCCCGTTGCTCTGTCCCTGCTCTTGACAAGCTAGCAGTTCGAAAGCACGTCAAAGTGCAAGTAGATAAATAGGTACCGCTCTGGCGGGAAGGTAAACGGCGTTTCCGTGCGCTGCTCTGGTTCACCAGAAGCGGCTTAGTCATGCTGGCCACATGATCCGGAAGCTGTATGCCGGCTCCCTTGGCCACTAAAGTGAGATGAGCGCCACAACCCCAGAGTCGGCCATGACTGGACCTAATGGTCAGGGGTCCCTTTACCTTTACCTATCAGCAACAAAATTTCTTTCCCCTGCCTTCAATTATTATACTGCTCAAGTGAAGAAATTTTGGAGGAACCAAGAATGTGGAAGGACTGTGAGGTTGGGATTGTAGCTCAGTAGTGGAACACCTGCTTGGCATGTAGAAGATCACAGGTTCAATCCCCAATGACTTCTACAGGTAGGGCTGGGAGGGACTCCTGAAACCCTGGAGAGCTTCTGCCAGTCTGTGCAGACAATACTGAGTTCGATGGACCAATGATCTGACTTGGTTCATCCTATTGCTCTGTCCCTGCTCCTGCCAACCTAGCAGTTCAAAAGCACGCCAGTGCAAGTAGATAAATAGGTACCGCTGTGGTGAGAAGGTAAATGGCGTTTCCGTGCACTCTGGCTTCTGTCATGGTCCTCCGTGTGCCAGAAGCAGTTTAGTCCTGCTGGCCACATGACCCGGAAAGCTGTCTGTGGACAAACGCCGGCTCCTTCGACCTGAAAGCGAGATGAGCGCTACAACCCCAGAGTCGCCTTTGACTGGACTTAACCATCCAGGGGTCCTTGACCTTGACCCTGATTTGGTATAAGGCTGCTTCCTGTGCTCCTGTCACTCAAAAGGGATTCCTGGGTTTTTAGTCCTAAATGTATGCCCTTCACATCAGGCTCTGGTGGGCGGATCTTGGGGTTCTGATCACAACAACCACCACCACAATCCTGCAAGCCTTTAGGTTAAGTCATTAGGTCAAGTCCAATATATGAATATGATGCTTTGGGTGGACTCCATGCTAACAAAGGCTCTTTCCTGCCTCTGCAGTTCAGATTATGTGTCTTATTTAGCCACTGCAGGAAAAGGATGCTGAATTCCATGGGCCACTGGCCTCACCTAGCAGGCTGTCTTACGTTCCTATGTAAACTTCGTGGTAAAAGGTAAAGGTAAAGGGACCCCTGACCACTAGGTCCAGTTGTGGCTGACTCTGGGGTTGCGGCGCTCATCTCGTTTTACTGGCTGAGGGAGCCGGCGTACAGCTTCTGGGTCATGTGGCCAGCATGACTAAGCCGCCTCTGGCGAACCAGAGCAGCGCACGGAAGCGCCGTTTACCTTCCTGCCGGAGCGGTACCTATTTATCTACTTGCACTTTGACGTGCTTTTGAACTGCTAGGTGGGCTCTGATGGCCACCTGACATGGTGACTATGCTCTGCCTCCACAATTGGAAGTAGAAAGGCTTCTTAGAATCACACAATGGCAGAGCTGGAAGGGACCCCAGGGTCATCTAGTCCAACCCGCTGCAAGGCAGGAATTGCAACTCTGGCAGGTGGCCATCCAACCTCTTCTTTAAAACCTCCAGTGAAGGAGAGTCCACCCCCTTCCAAGGGAGTCCGTTCTGCTATCTAACACCTCTTACCATCAGAATCATAGGGCTGTAAGGGACCCCAAGGGTCATCTAGTCCAACCGCCTGCAATGCAGGAATCAGAAGGTTCTTCCTGAAGCTGGAGCTGCAGGAAGTGAGAGGGCTCTGGTGCTCGAATCCTACTTTCTGGTTTCCCACAGGCATCCGGCTGGCCACTGTAGGAACAGGAGGCTGGGCTGTTCTTCAGGTTTATCTGGCCATCTGTCTAGGTGGGCAGAGACTGAACTTGCCAGACTTTTGTCCCCCAGATGTTTTGGTCTACAATTTCCATTGTGTCCTTCCAGGCAGCACCAGGCAGGTAAAGCCTGAAATAGACAGATGTTGTTGTTGTTTAGTCGTTTAGTCGTGTCCGACTCTTCATGACCCCCTGGACCAGAGCATGCCAGGCACTCCTGTCTTCCACTGCCTCCCGCAGTTTGGTCAGACTCATGCTGGTAGCTTAGAGAACACTATCCAACCATCTCGTCCTCTGTCGTCCCCTTCTCCTTGTGCCCTCCATCTTTCCCAACATCAGGGTCTTTTCCAGGGAGTCTCTCTCTCATGAGGTGGCCAAAGTCTTGGAGCCTCAGCTTCAGGATCTGTCCTTCCAGGGAGCACTCAGGGCTGATTTCCTTCAGAATGGATACGTTTGATCTTCTTCTTGCAGTCCATGGGACTCTCAAGAGTCTCCTCCAGCACCAGAATTCAAAAGCATCCATTCTTCAGCGATCAGCCTTCTTTATGGTCCAGCTCTCACTTCCCATACTGGGAAAACCAGAGCTTTAACTTAGACAGATAAACCACGTCTAACAAGCTGTGGTATGTTGTAGCTGGATAACCCTGGACTCAAGGGCTCCCTTTCTGTCAAGACCACCAGTTGCCCCCTTCCCACCAACTGAGGCCACTGACCACTGCTTGACCACTGCTTCAATATCCCTGAGATGGAGCTAGGAACCAAGCAAGTAAGCCGCTTTGCCAACCCTGATTTAGAAAGAAAAGGAATATTTCCCACCTGGGCCCCTTTGCCTTTTAAACCCCCTGAAGTCCTTGTACCATCATGACTGCAGGAACAAAAGGGGATTTTGCTGCTTCTTCCCTGACACTGGGCATATTTACCTGAGAATAAGCACCGTTTTCTCGTGGAAAAGAATGGCATAATTTTCAAAGTAAAAACAATTTTGAAAGAACTTATTTTAATCACGCACACTCCTGGCCAACCACCCACAGGCTATACAATAAGTGAGAATAATGGAAGAGGTGAAGCAGTGATCAGTTTTCTTCATCTGAAGGCTTTGACCTTAGCTGTGTTTATGGTTTATTTACACCATTTATTTGCTGCCGAGGTGGCATCCAAGAGCAGACATAAAAAGGGGGGAAAGGAAAGGAGGGGGGGAAACAGGAGCAGGGTAAGACAAAAAGAGTTACGCAGAGCTAGGAGAGGCGAAGAACAAAATCTGTGACCTGTTTGCAACCAATTGCTTTTCAGCTGCCTTGCAAAAAATATATTATTTTAAACCCACGGATAGTTGTGCTTGATTCCTGGGCATCTGCTATGGCGTTGTGAAGAAAGAGATATCATTAAACCAAGACGGACACAATTTGTTTGCATTGGGAAGGCTACAGTCCCTCCCTCTCCCTTTGAGAGCTTCTGGACCCATTCACAGCACAAGAGGCTACAGGTTCCTGCCTCTGAACGCAGACATGCACCTTCTAATGAGTTTCTGGCTGCTTTATGAAGACATGATCTTCTGTCAATATTCATTACACCCCATTATGCGGGGAGGGGAGGCCCCTGGGAAGTAGGGGAGTGGTGGGGGGTGCTGCTACATATTTGCACAGACAATAAGAAACACATCTTTTTCATCTTGGTGAAGAAGGCAATCGCCTCAGCCCCCATCTCCTCGAGTGTCAGCCCATTGTTTCCCTGTGATAATTTCATTATCCGCTTTGAATACATCTTGTTTGTTGCTAAGCTGTGCATAGCAACATGTGCCTCGTCTCCACAGCTGGGCACCCGAGCAGCCGAGAAGAAGCCATTCTGACGAACTGGAGCTCACACAACGTACCCGACTTGGATTTTGTTTATATAAGCAGCAGGCAGCCCTCAAGCCCCAGGGGCCGGGCAAAGCAGCGGTTCAGAGGCAGACTTTGGCAACATCCGCACCCACATACTTGGGAGCGATGCCGCTTTTAACAGCCGTGGATTCTGCCCCCAAAGAATTCTGGGAGCTGTAGTTTGGGGTGCTGAGAGTTGCAAGGAGGCCTCAGTATTCCTCCTCATGAAGCTACAATTCCCAGAGTTCCCTGTGAAGACAGGTTTCTTCTTAAACCACTCCGGGAAATTGCAGCCCTGTGAGGGGAGTTGAGGCCTCCTCAGCACCCTTCATGGAATGCACTCCCAGAATTCTTTTGGGGGGGAGCCATGACACTTTAAAGGGGAAGTAACCGTGGTTAGGGACGCGGGTGGCGCTGTGGTCGAAGCCACTGAGCCTCTTGGGCTTGCCGATCAGAAGGTCGGTGGTTCGAATCCCCACAATGGGATGAGCTCCCGTTGCTCTGTCCCAGCTCCTGCCTACCTAGCAGTTCGAAAGCACATTAAAGTGCAAGTAGATAAATAGGTAGCGCTCTGGCGGGAAGGTAAACGGCGTTTCCGTGCGCTGCTCTTGTTCGCCAGAAGCGGCTTAGTCATGCTGGCCACATGACCCGGAAGCTGTACGCCGGCTCCCTCGGCCAGTAAAGTGAGATGAGCGCCGCAACCCCAGAGTCGTCCGCGACTGGACTTAACTGTCAGGGGTCCCTTTACCTTTTTAACAATGCTTTAAGTGTATGAAGGTGGCAAGGGAGTTGGATTTGGAAGGACTGTTGATGCTGGGGAGGCTTTCCACCTGAGGTGATGGGCAAGATGGCGCCTCCTCCCCATTCCAGATACACTGTTGCATCGGGAGCGTTGGAGGGCCCTGATCCTGCAGCCTCCAGGACCTGTGATCCCTGACCCAGTGTGGGTTCTGCTGTTGGCTGTGCTGATGCCTCTGTCTCTTCTCCCTTAGGCTTATGAGAGGAGCTGCCCCAGGTGATCTCCTCCACCACCACCCCAGTTCAACACAAATGATCGAAGAATTGCATCAAGGAGACCAGAAGGCTATGTGCAGCTGGCTGTTTCTTCCTCTACTTTCCCAATATCTGGCATTGAACAGGCTGGGCTTTGGCCCCTGGTTCACTGGCCAGGGGAGTATTTGCCAGGCGTCCTTCTTCCCCGACTCATCCATTCTGGTTTCCTTAAATCTGTTGATGTCCTCCTCTCACGGACTGTGACTCTTGCTGGCTTTTCTTATTGTGAGCTTTGTATGGCCTTGGAACCTGGGAGTTCACAGCCAAAACTCACCCCCCACCCCACCCCCAGCCCACTTTGCTTTCTGTGTTTTTGGCGAGAGATAGAGCTTTGTTTTCCTATGCGAGAAAAGTTGCGTCACCCTGCTCATGTCCCTACAAGACGTGCCACTGGTTTCTCATTTTTGAAAAGCAACAACCGAGTGAACACAGTGGAAATGCATTGAGACTTGACCCATGGCTGAGCTCTCCTCCCCGTTGCTTGTGAGGGAGCCAGTGTGAGGGTTAGGGGTCTCAGGCTGCGATGTGGGGAACTGGCCTTGAATCCCCACTTAGTCAAGCGAAGCTCACTGGGTGACTTTGGGCCAGCCACTGCCTCTCAGCCAAACCTATCTCACAGGGTTGAGAGGATGAAAAGGGGGGGGACCATGTACCCCTCCTTGAGCTCCTTGGAGGAAAAGGTGGTATTCAAATGTAATTAATAAATAACGACACTTGTGGCCCTGTTAAACGTTCCCAAAGTGGCACGTAGAAATTGCCCACTGAATCAGCAACGCACTATGGGTCTGCACCTCCATTCCCTCTCGCTTCCACTCTGGTGGCCTAAATTGCACGTCCCCCTTTTTTTGGGAGCCCGCCACCTGCCGCCCAAGGCACCTCATGGCCTTCCTCTCTGCTTTCCTGCCTACAAGGGCTTCCTCATCCCCAGGGTCTTCCTCCATGACGCCAGAGGATTAAACATATTTTCAGTGCCAACTCTGCGGAGTCAACTCCTGCCTTTTCTCCCGTTCCGAATTTGCTTTGTGTTCTTTAAGTGTCTCAGTGCTCTGAGCCTGATGTTAGAAACCTTTAGATTATTATTTTTTAAAAAGTAATAATATTGTGACACAGTTTTAAAAATGGTGGAGCCATGTTTTTGCAAACTAACCCGTCTCCTGGTTTTCTGCTCTTTCCTGTGTCTTGCTCTGTTGTTGCTGCTGTCTGTTCGTCATTTTAACAAACTGATTGTATGGATTCGTGCCTGGCTGACTTGAGCTTCCCTTGGAGGGAAAGTGGGGTTTATTAAACTTTCAGAATAACTACTAAGGTTTCTGGGCTGCTGCTTTGGAATGTGATCAGGATCGTCCCCGTGTCCCCCCCCCCCCCCCGAGAGAGGGAGAGAGGGAGAGGGAGACAGAGACAATTTGCTCATTACACTAAGCAAACCTCGATCATGGTTTATTACAGCTTGTGGCTTGTCTGGATGAGACCACGCATGCACCCTCATCCTGGTCACATCCTTGCTGGTGGCAGTGATTCAGCCACCAAGATCAGAGGATGAGCAGAGCAGTCACAGTCTCCTCCCTGTGCCCTGTCTTGGCTTAGCATCACGTGTGAACCAGACAGTCACAGGTAGTCGTTCATTTGCACCAGTGCCCGGCCATTGCAGCTTGCACAATGGATCCACCAAACAACAATAATTCAAGCCAGCAGATAAAGAATTCAGCAACTCGTGACTCGAAGCAGCCCACATGGCCAGCCAAAAGTTTTGCAGGCTGTTCCACCAACAGGCTATCTCGATTCGAGAAAAGTCCCGTTGCCAAAAAAAATAAAAAAGTAAAAATGAGTAATGGCTCTCTTCCTCCTGCCTTGAAATTTGGCAGGAAAGAAAACGAAACTCAGAACAGTGCAGTGTCATTTTCGTGGGATTTGGAAAGCAAACACTTCCATCCAGCTCTGCCTCACGCTTTTGCACGAGACTTTAAAGGAGCTCCCCTGATCTGGAGTGCCAGGGGCCCCCCACACCTGTTTAAAAACATAGCCCAGATATAACACCTTCCATAACTAAAAACATGGTGGAATGTGGCTTTGAAGAGGGATGGGGGGATTTGTGTCTCTTAATCTCTTTTTGGGCTCCCAGCTCCCTTCAGCCCCAGCCAGCATATGACGTGGAGCCCCAGGTGTCCCTATCTCCCAACCTCTCTTGACCACTGGCCTTGGAGACCCGGAGTCTGATAGTGCCTGAGAGGCCTGGCAGGCAGATCTTATCGGGGGGGGGGGGTCGGCATGATCCCCACCCCACTACTGGCGCTCTCTCCCTCTCCCTAGCGCTGAGGTCATCACTTCGCAAGGGGTGGGGAAGCGGACTGAACTGCTCAGTGGCCATTGAGCCACATGGTCAGTCCCTGCTAGGCTCCTGCCCTGCCTTCCCAGAGAGCCCAGCAAAGGCCTCTGTCGAAACTAGAGGGAAGTGGGTGAGTGGGAGGAATTCCTCAGAAGAGCTTTTGTTGAGGACATTTCTGAGGTTTTCCTTTTTCTCATGCCCCCAAAGCGAAGGCCCCTTTATAATAATAGTAATAATTTATTATTTATACCCCGCCCATCTGGCTGAGTTTCCCCAGCCACTCTGGGCGGCTTCCAACAGAACACTAAAAACAGAATAACAATAAAATATTAAAAACTTCCCCAAACAGGGCTGCCTTCAGATGTCTTCAAAAAGTTTGGTAGTTATTTTTCTCTTGGACATCTGGTGGGAGGGCGTTCCACAGGGCGGGCGCCACTACCAAGAAGGCCCTCTGCCTGGTTCCCTGTAACTCGGCTTCTCGCAGTGAGGGAACTGCCAGAAGGCCCTCGGTGCTGGACCTCAGTGTCTGGGCAGAACGATGAGGATGTGAAGACGCTCCTTCAGGTATACTGGACCGAGGCCGTTTAGGGCTTTAAAGGTCAGCACCAACACTTTGAATTGTGCTCGGAAACATACTGGGAGCCAATGCAGATCTCTCAGGACTGCTGTTATGTGGTTCCAGCGGCCACTCCCAGTCACCAGTCTGGCTGCGGCATTCTGGATTAATTGCAGTTTCCAGGTCACCTTCAAAGGTAGCTCCAGGTAGAGCACATTGCAATAGTCCTTTGCAGAATTTTCTCTACATATCACTCAATTGTGTACAAGGGGCTCACTGAGTGTACATGGGGCCCACCACTGCCCCTGCCTCCCATAATCATTCCCAGCAATGCCTTTGCATCCAGGATACTGTGGGGACAAGGGGCTGCTTCTCAGGGGTGACTCTGAGACCCACTCCCCAGTAAAGCCAGACTGGCTCCCTCCTTGTTGTTCTTCTGTCCCGGTAGCTGAAGGCTTTCTTGTTCCAACAGGCTTTGGGGAACTGACTGCTTTTAGGGAAAGAGCTGGTGCTGTGCTGGTTTTGCTGCAATTATTGGTATAGTATTAATACACACACACACACATTTCTATCAATGTTTAATTGGCTTTTAATGATTGTTCTTTCTATGTTTTTAGCGGTTCTTATTTTTATCTGTAAGCCACCTTGAGTTCTGTTAGGGGGAAAGGAGAGGTGTAAATACCGTATTTTTCACTCTATAAGACGCACCAGACCATAAGATGCACCTAGTTTTTGGAGTAGGAAAACAAGAAAAAAAATATTCTGAATCTCAGAAGCCAGAACAGCAAGAGGGATCACTGCGCAGTGAAAGCATTCATTCCATAAGACGCACACACATTTCCCCTTACTTTTTAGGAAGGAAAAAGTGAGTCTTATAGAGCAAAAAGTACGGTAGTAATAATAATAATGGCCAAGTGGGGGATATGAATGCTGGTCACCCAATTCCTAGTCCAGCACTCTTAACTACAGTAACCTACTGGCTTGCAAACAGGTGAGAAAATAGGTGTTGAACTCCACCCCCTGCATAATTGTTTTGGGAATTTTCCCTCCCCCTAGGGGTCACACATCTTTGCTCACAAATGTGGGCAGAGGATTTTGAGAGGCTGCTTGTTTAGAACAGTAGAGGGGGACCCTCAGCCTTAAATCACCATGTTTGCTGGTCAGGTGTTGGTTTAAATGTTTATACTGATTGATTTGAAAAAAGGGGGAGAAACCTCTCAAAGAGGTTTACAAAAATAATGAAACAATAAAAGCACAGGCCAAAAAATGTTAAAAGCAACTGTTTACAACATTTGGAAAAAAAAAAAGAATATCAATTATAAACTAAAACCTATCAATAAAACTAGCAAAAACAATGTAAAGCACATGTAAGCACACTGCACATCCGGTTGGGTTTGTCTGAACGAGAAAGGTTTTTCTGGCAGATACCAAAAAGGATGCTGGGAAGGTGTTTGCCTGTCGCCAAGAGTCACGGAGTTCCCAAGGGGGTGTGACTGCACTAAAAGATTGATTTCTTAACGAACACAGAAAGAGACGGGGTGGTGAGATTTGGAAGCCAGGAACATCCACTGGTTTGCCAGCCCTGGACTCCCAATTCCCATCCCCGCTTCCTGTTGGCTGATGGGAGCTGGGAGTCCAACATCGTATGAGCAGGGCTAAGCCACAAGATTCCTGTCCCTGGTGGCGCAGCTCCAGTTTCAACATATAAACCTTCATGGGGGATGAGGCAGAGTGGGAGCATCTGTGGCCACATCACCAGACCCAACCGCCTATTTCTGCTGCTCTGCCTTCGTATCAACCACCTCCTTTTTGGCTGCAGAGAGGCTTGCCTCTTTCCTGCCCCCACCAAACTCCCAGCGCAGATTTTGTCCCAGACTTCCTTCTGGGAGGAATGTGGGACCCCCCCACACACACATCCCAGATGGACTCAAGCCAGGTGCCTTATCACAGTCAGCCTCTTCCCCCAGAAACATTTGCCGTCCATCATCTGTGGGAAGAGCTTTCTGCTTCTCCTGCCTGTCCAGGCGCTTTCCAGTCCTTGCATTGAAAAAATGGTGGCTCATATTTTAATTTTGGTGCCAAGGCAAATGCCATTGCAGAAGGCCAGCATTTGCCCACTGAAGCCAATTAGTGCAGGAGACTAATGAGTCTTTAGCTGAGGATTATGGGGAGGGTGGTGTGTGTGTGTGTGTGTGTGTGTGTGTGTGTGTGTGTGTGTTTGCCTTTCCATACAGAGCCGGCCAACTCTGTCTGCATAAGAATTGCCTCAAGTGTTACATGTCTGAGCAAACTCCCCCAAAACTGCTGCTATTCCAAGGCTCACTTGTGAGGACACGATTCAAACAGCTTCAGCCATAGGAGGCCTGTAAATAGCCTGCCTACCACCTGCTGCCAAAAGATGTCCTTCAGAGAGGGAGAGAGATGTGAAGAGATGGGGATCTGGCCCTGCTGGTGGAAACTTCTTGCATCCAAGGTGTTGACCACCCATATGATGCTCTCATGGCAGGACTCAGCCCTGAACCTGTAATTTGGTGATAAATGGAGCAGAGTCTCTGAGCAGGTACAGAGTGCCTTTCTCCACCCTTTCTCCACCACCCTGAATGGTACCCAACCAAAGATGTGGACTTTTTTTGAGGAGGGGAGGAAAAGAAAACACGCACACACAGAGCTATAAGTGAATTGAAAAATTTATTGGAATGTCTTATTTGGTAAGATAGTTCACCACTAACCAATGCTCAGAAGGACCTTCTGAGTAAAATGTTGAGAAGGGAGACACTTAAGAGCACTTTTTATTTCATAAGGGAAAAAAAACATAATACAGGCAGAGCTTGGCACTTCCAAACTGTCTTCTCCAACTCTTTCGAACCAGAAGAGACACGCAAAAGTAGTCCAAACATTATATGTGGAGCAGAAAATGCAGCGGTGTAATCAAAACCCACAGGGGGGGAAATGAAGCGATCACAGCAGCATTGTCAAAGCGTCTGAAGGCTTCTTCATCAAAGGCTCTGCAAAGGTCTGGTGGGAAGGCACACAACAGCCTCACAGCTGCTCCTCCACAGAGCTGTGGCTTGGCTCTGACGGGGCGCCACCAAATCCCAGGTCAGAGAGGAGCTCCACTTGGTCACAGGGCAAGGGTGGGTGGGGCTGAGGGCTTCCACTGAGAAAAGGGGAGCAAGGAGAAAACAAACACGGAAGCCCTGCCTTCACCTGGTGCAACCTCTGCTATAAAACAACTGAGTCATTCCTGACATTTTATTACTGTTTTCAAAGCAAGAGGAACAACAAGTAAGTGGAAGGTCTTCTGCATGGAGAAGACGGGCAAAGGCTATCGGGCGACAGAGAGAAGGCGGAACTACTCAACACCTACTCTGCCTCTGTCTTCACCCACAAGGAAAGCGATGCCCAACCTGGTGCTAACTGAATCAATGATGTATGGAGGGAGCTGCAGTCCAAGATAGGAAAAGAGATGGTAAGGGAACACCTGGCTACTTTAAATGAATTCAGATCTCCAGGGCCTGATGAGCTGCACCCAAGGGTACCAAAGGAGCTTGCAGATGTGATCTCAGAGCCTCTGTCTATGATCTTTGAGAATTCTTGGAGAACAGGTGAGGTCCCTACAGACTGGAGGTGTCCCCATCTTCAAAGAGAGGGAAAGCAGACCCATGTAACCACTGACCAGTGAGCTTGACATTGATACCAGGAAAGGTCCTAGAACAGATAATTCAACGGTCAAACTGTGAGCACTTAGAAAAGGATGCTGTGATTTCTAAGACCCAGCATGACTTTCTCAAAAATAAGTCATGCCAGACGAATCTAATTTCTGATCTTGATCAAGTTACAGCATTGGTGGATCCAGGGAATGCTGTGGACATAATATATCTTCATTTCAGTAAGGCTTTTGACAAAGTCTCCCATGATAGTCTTGCAGATAAGCTGGTAAACGTGGGCTGTAGATCTGTAGCTGGTTGACCGACTAAACCCAAAGAGAGCTCACTAATGGTTCCTTACCATGCTGGAACAAAGTGACAAGTGATGTTCCACAGGGTTCTGTCCTGTTGTTGTTCAATGTCTTTATAAATGACTTGGATTAAGGAATCTGCAGGTGGGGAGGGATAGCTAATGCTGCAGACTCAGGATTCAAGATGACTTTAACATATCAAAGAACTAACAAAACTAACAAAATGAATTTCAGTAGGGACAAATATATGCTTCTACACTTAGGTAGGAAGAAACAGCTGTACAAATATAAGAGGGGGGCTAAGTAATACATGGGGAAAGGATATATGGGTCTTAGTAGACCACAAGTTTATCATGAGTCAACAGTGTGATGCAGAAGCAAAAAAACCGAAGCTATTCTAGGCTGAGTTATCAGAAGTCTAGTGTCCAGATCAAGGGAAGTGATAGTCCCTCTCTATTCTGCCTTGGTCAGACCACACTGGGAATACTGCGTCTTGTTCTGGGCTCCACAGTTTAGGAAGGATGTTGACAAGTTGGAAGATGTGCAGAGGATGGTGACCAAGATGACCCAGGGTCTGAAAACCAAGCCTTATGAGGCGAGGTTGTTGGAACTGGGTATGTTTAGCCTGGAAAAGAGGAGACTGAGAGGAGATGGCTCACCATCTTCAAATAACTCCAGGGCTGTCACATGGAGGATAGAGCAAGTTTGTTTCCTCCAGCTCCAAAGGTTAGGACCCAAACCAATGGATTCAAGTCAAAAGAAAGGAGATTCCAGCTCAATATCAAGAAGAATTTACTGACAGTGGAGCAGACTTCTATGAGAGATGCTGGACTCTTTTTTCCTTGGAGGTATTTAAGCAGAGGTTGGGTGGCTACTTGTCATGGATGATCTGGTTGAGATCCCCTGCCTTGCAGGGGGCTGGACTAGATGACCCTTCCAACTTTACAGTTCTAATGTCCTTGGGGGTTCAAGTCATGTTCCAGGAGGGCTCGTACCAAACCTCAGCAGGCCCTCTGGAAGACCAACAAGACTAAACTCCAGATGATCCCAATCAGTAGTTTCAGGTAGATGAAAACCAGAGCTCCCCAACCGAAGCAGAGAGTGTGAAAGCACATTGCCTGCCAGGTGAGCCCAAGCAGACATGGCACAAAAAGAGGTTTTAAGATCCTTGCCTGAATTTAAATATTGAAATTTCAATCAGCCGACCTTCAACCGTATATGGTTGAAATCACACCAGATTAGATGCGCATAATATGCTACTGTCCTGCAGTCCCAATAGTTGGGGCATAGGATTGGCCAGGGCTGCAGAGCCTCCCGTACAAAAACACTCAAAAAGATATTGCAATACAGTGGTACCTCGGGTTACAGGCGCTTCGGGTTACAGACTCTGCTAACCCAGAAATAGTACCTTGGGTTAAGAACTTTGCTTCAGGATGAGAACATAAACTGTGCAATGGCAGTGCAGTGGCAGCAGGAAGCCCCATTAGCTAACGTGGTACCTCAAGTTAAGAGCCGTTTCAGGTTAAGAACGGACCTCCGGAACGAATTAAGTACGTAACCAGAAGTACCACTGTACAGGAATGCAGCCTCTTGTCCCAAGCCCCACAAGAACACTGGTGTCTGTGGGTCACACCCTGGTGTGATGCTCCTCAGAAGGAGATGGGGGAGCCCTGTGAGAGGGGTACGTGTGTCTGGGTCTCCATCAAACCACTCGGGGTAGTAAGAGCTGCCTAGGTCGTGGACTGGGCAAGCAGTGCTTCTAGCTGGGTCTATTTGTCCAGCCAAAGTAGTGGTTGTGTTCAGAGGTGGACGAAGGAAGACCCCACCCCAGGAAGCACACAGAAAGACGATCTGAGCACCTCCTCCAAAGGTACAACGGCAAAAAATACATTCAGGAAACAAACATCGATTATTGTATCCTCCCAACACAGAGTAGAGGCTCAGGGAATGTGATGTGCACGGGAGGGGGAAGAATATATATAGATATATAGATATATGAATGCAATAAACAGATAACAAAATGAAAATAAAAGGAGCACCTGACTTGCTCAACTCATAGCTGCAAGGCCTCCGAGAAAGGTCTCCCAAAATGAAGCCCCAAGGGGAAGAGGGGCTTCAGTGTATCTGAGGCACAACAAACTCGCTCTCATGGTGGCCCATGGGCCACAGAAATCATCCTTGTGGCCAACAAGGCCACTACCTGCAGAGGGACAGGTGAGGTGCAGGGGCCTTCCAATGGGTAGGGGTGCTGGGCCTTTTTCTCTCTTTTCTCAGCCACCTAGCTAGAGGACCATGCCTGGAGAACAGGTGGAGAGCTTGGGCAGATGCCTCCACTCTCACACACCCTGGGAGAAGACTTCTCTTCCGTCCAGTTAGGAAAGCAAACTCCCACCCAAAGTGTCCCCTAAATGGCCTCCAAGGGCAGTCCCCACACAGCTTAGCCCCATGGCTTTTAGAGAGTGAGAGCCTGGGACTCGGGAGGAATCACACCAAAATGCAGGCAAGGGTTGGGCTTTGTAGGAAAGTTGGAACTGGGAGAGGTCGCCTGTGGGGAGGGGACGACGAGACACTCACCCTTCCTCCCTGTCACCTGACAACCCCCCCCCCCAATCCTCCCTGCCACCACCCTTGCCCCTCTGCTGCCACGAGTCTCTTCCCCAGACGAAGGGGGGACGGAGAGCCTTTCCGGGCGCTCTCAGCTCCGCTTGGCGTGGAGCATCTCAATCAGGAGGTTGTTGCAGGGCACGTCCCCGCTCAGGTGCTTGTGGTACAGGTACTCCTCCGCTTGCATGCTCAGGGACCGGATGTCAGACAGATGCATCAGAAGCTGGCGGAACTTGTCTGTGGTGTGCGGGTAGTTGCAGACGGTGTACTGCATCAGGGCTGCGTGAGCCTTCTCCTGGGCTTCCTTCACCACACTCGAATTCTCCAAGTATTTCACATCTGCAGCGGGGGGGGAGGGGAGGGGGGAGGGGAAATAAGGGGGGACACGCATTGAATGGGGTAACCTCTCTTGAACAGAGGGACTTCCTCCTGGGCACACAGGCCGCAAACATGGAAGTTGTCGCTTGCAAAGCTCGCAGAAGCCATCGGCTGATATCTGCAAAACGGCTGAGGTTGATGGAGAGACTCACAGGGGAAAAGAGAAAAGGGAACTTGATGTGACCTGACGGAAGCATATACAATTGCATGTGGTGTGGAGAAAGCAGAGTTTTCCCCCCCTCCCTCTCGCCTGACGACACCAGAACTCGTGGGTGTCCAACGAAGCTAAATGTTGAGATTAGGACAGAGAAAAGGAAGTAGTTCTTCATGTAAAGGTAAAGGTAAAGGTACCCCTGCCCGTACGGGCCAGTCTTGACAGACTCTAGGGTTGTGCGCTCATCTCACTCTAGAGGCCGGGAGCCAGCGCTGTCCGCAGACACTTCCGGGTCACGTGGCCAGCGTGACGAAGCTGCTCTGGCGAGCCAGCACAGCACACGGAACGCCGTTTACCTTTCCGCTAGTAAGCGGTCCCTATTTATCTACTTGCACCCGGGGGTGCTTTCGAACTGCTAGGTTGGCAGGCGCTGGGACCGAGCGACGGGAGCGCACCCCCCCGCGGGGATTCGAACTGCCGACCTTTCGATCGGCAAGTCCTAGGCGCTGAGGCTTTTACCCACAGCGCCACCCGCGTCCCTAGTTCTTCATGTAGCGCAACATTAAACTATGGCACTTCCTCCCACAGGAGGCAATAAAGGTAAGGGTATAGGGACCCCTAACCATTAGGTCCAGTCATGACCGACTCTGGGGTTGTGGCGCTCATCTCCCTTTATTGGCCAAGGGAGCCGGCGTACAGCTTCCGGGTCATGTGGCCAGCATGACTAAGCCACTTCTGGCGAACCAGAGCAGCGCATGGAAACACTGTTTACCTTCCCGCCAGAGTGGTACCTATTTATCTCTTTACACTTTGACGTGCTTTCGAACTGCTAGGTTGGCAGGAGCAGGGACCGAGCAACGGGAGCTCACCCCGTCGCGGGGATTCGAACCACCGATCTTCTGATCAGCAAGTCCTAGGCTCTGTGGTTTAACCCACAGCGCCACCCGCGTCCCAACAGGAGGCAATGATGGCCACCAATTTGGAGAGCCTTGATGGAGGTTTGGACAAACCCATGGAGGAGGAGGAGACGAGCCACAGTTACTGCGCTGTGTCTCCGTGGTCAAGAGGCAGCGAGGCTTCTGAATACCAGATGCAGGAAAACACAGGAGATGAGATCTGCTCTTGTGCAAGGATCCTGCTTGCTGGTTTCCCACAAGCATCTAGTCAGCCACTGTGAGAACAGGACTAGATAGCACATTGGCCTGATCCAGCTAATGGCTCTTCCTACCTTCATAAGCTTCATCTGCCTGGATGAACAAGGACTGACCTCGCCAGCCTTATATTTTGCAGATGAGCATCACGCTGGTAAAGGCTATGCGAAATAAACAAACTTTATCGGACAATCAGTTCTTCTTCTTGCATTATGGTGTTCCCTAAACAAACCTTCACTTCAAAGCCGCTCTGTTGTGTTCCTCTCTAAACACCGGCTGGAGGGATTGGGGCTTAATCTGTTTGGCCTTCCCAGGTGACAGCAGGGCTCAGCTGACATGGAAACCGTGATCCAAGGTGCCTGAAGGAGCTCAGCCAAAAAGCAAGGGGAAGGAGGATGAGAGAGACAGGTGTGAAGGTGCAGCGATAAGCATATCCCTCTTAAGCTGTGCACCTGCCGGAAAATGTGCCTGCTCATGTACACTGCTCTTGAAAACTCTGCAAAAGCTGCCAATGCAAGCGTCCTTCCTTGGGCCTGACTTCATCAGTGGGGCGTGGAGGGGGGCCACTGGGGGAGGGCAGGGGCCAAGCAACAGCAGTGGGGCTCCAGCTCAATGCTGGGCAGCCACCTGTTCTCGCCATCTCACAAGGGGGAGATGAGGCAGGGCCTTTTCAAGGCTAGCTGGGAAGTCACAGCGGGCACTCTGGGGGAGCCACCAAAACCTCTCCTCCCTCCCTCTCACTCCCAACACTCAGCCTAGAACCACAGAATTCTGGCCTCCCCCCCAAAAGGGAATTGAAGGGGCTTTGGAAAAATGGTGGTGGACCAGCAACAAACCACAAATACCGTAGAAGAGCCCTTGGGTCTCATCAGGCTCGGTCTTGATGAACGAATTGATGTAAAAATGAGAAATGACCGAAAACTTTGAGGCAGATTACATGCTTGTGACCAGCACTTAAATATGATTTGGGGTGATGTTGAGGAGACCGTGACAACAATAGAAATGGATGAAGAAACCTATGAAGAGATTTATAAATCTACCAAAAGGAATATTCCGATGCTGTTTGTCTGAGGAAATGGGAGTTGTGGCTCCTCCACTGAGGGTTTGGCTGAAACCATGAAAAAAATGGTCATCATTTCAAAAATGTTGGACCTCTGGACACTGTCTTCTGATACCCTTAAACATTAAGATTCTGCCCTTAATTCTGAAAGACCACCCAAACCTGACTGTTGTGAAGGCGTAAGATCATTTGGCATATAAGTTGATATAAGGGGTTTTTCCTGAAATAACTTAAGTGCAGGTGTCTTCATGTATCAAATCAGTGGATAGAACCATTTTAGTTGCGCTTGTGGCTGCTGATCTTTTTAAAGAAATAAATCTGTTTGGGTTGTGTGTTATTTGTATGTACGTGTTTATAAGCACTTTCCCCATTTCGGGGGGGGGGGATTAAAGCATTAGAAAAGGTTTGGGAAAGGGCCATCAGAATGACCAAGGTGAGGATGGAGCCATAGATGGAGGTTGCAGCTCTGGGGACTTTTTGATTTGGAGAAAAGGTGAGTAAGACGCAGTGTGGCAGAAGTATATAAAACCATGGAAGGCACAGAAGAAAGAGGGAAGTTATTCTCCCTCTCTCAAAACAAGAGAACTCAAATGAAACTGGAGTTTGCTGGCACTGAAGGACAGCAGAGCCCCAGAGCCTCAGGCAAAGCCCATTCCAAGCCCTGAATCTGGGACCTCCTGCAGGTGAAGCAGGTGCTATCCTGCAAAACTACGGCATTTCCCTTAAAAACAGCAGTGAGATTTCAGTCCTCTTGGTTCTGAAGAAAGGGCTGGTTTAAATACCTCACCCTAAGGCTTGCACAGTTCCCAGGGGATACAACCGAGCCTAACCACATGTAACTGATAACAACAACAACATCATATTGCTTCCTGCTGCATCCCACCTGGGTAGAATTTTAGGCTGTAGGCTCCTTGGGGCAGCGACCTGCCCTTGTGTCCTCTGTAAAGCAGTTCTGGGTGGCCTGGTGCCCTCCATACATTGCTGGACACACAGCTGCCGTAGTCCCTGACCAGGCTGGCCACGGCTGGTGGCAGTTAGAGGACTGCATGGCTCCCATTCCTGTAAAAGCACACAGGACTTGCTTCTCTCAGCCGTGCAAAGTTCTGGATCCAGCCCAACTAAAGGCCAACAAGGCCTTCCCAAAAGGTGGAGTGCCAGTATCACAATGGCATTAGACAAACCTGTGGTGCGACACTTCTGGTGTCCTGACCTCAAAAAGGGATGCGCAACTGGAAAAAAGTTCAGAAAAGGGCAACCCAAAGGATGAGGTGGATTTAGGGGAGCGCAACCAGTTTGTCTGCACTGGGCGCTGAGCTGAGAGGGCAGCATGGGGGGGGGGTGCTGCAACAATATGAAACGGAAGGCAATAGGTTGGGGGGGCTGGATTTTGGCGCTGCACAGGGCGCCACTGAAATTTGGAAGCCCAAAGTTCACTGGGGATGCAGGGACTCCCCTGTGAAGAAAGGCTGCAGCATTTGGGACTTTTTTGTGTAGAGGAAAAGTGAGAAAGAGGCAGCAGCATAGATGCTCATAGAATTACACGTGGCACAGAGAAAGCAGACTTTTCTTCCTCTCTCCTCATGCTAAATCTTGGGGGTAGCCAATGAAGCTGAAAGTTGGAAGATTCAGGACAAATCAAAGGAAATGCTTCTTCACACAGAGCAGAGTAAAACTATGGAACTCCCTCCTGCAGGAGGCAGGGCTGGCCACCGATGTGGACAGCTTTCCAAGAGGATTGGACAAGTCCACGGAAGGAGGGACTACCCATGGCTACCACCCACGATGGCTGTCCTCTGCAAATGCTTTTCAATACTGGTATCAGCCTTTCTCAGTCTGTGGGTCCCCAGATGCTGTTGAACTACAACTCCCATCACCCCTAGCTAGCAAGGCCAGAGCTCAGGGATGATGGGAGTTGTAGTCCAACGACATCTGGGCAACCACAGGTGGAGAACCACTGTATCAGCCTTTCTCAGTCTGTGGGTCCCCAGAGGCTGTTGAACTACAACTCCCATCACCCCTAGCTAGCAAGGCCAGAGCTCAGGGATGATGGGAGTTGTAGTCCAACAACATCTGGGGACCCACAGGTGGAAACAGCAGGAGGGGAGAGGGCACTCTCTGGCGCTTGGCCGCTGCTTGTGGGCATCTCACTGGCCACTGGGAGAACAGACTGCAGGGCTGGGAGGGCCACGGGCCCCATCCTGCCTCAGGGCTCTTTCCACGTTCCCCTGACCTGGGCCTTGTGCTTAGCACCTGAGGTGCTGACTGCCCCCTTTCATTTCTGAGTCACTGCTGGGATAATCAGGCATGCAATTATGGAATCTCTTCATCTGCATAACATTATCGTGGTTTTCGTTTCCAGGAGAAAGAGGGGGAGGGGGACACGCAGCCCTCACACTCGCACACCCTAGAAGTTACGCTGCTGAAGCCTTCTCTTCCCTACCACCCCACCCCCCCACCCCACACACACACTTTGAGGTGGAGCAACAATAGAGGGTTCGTCTTGATCAACTCACCTGGTTTGCAGAAGAAACCCTATTCACGGTTTAATTGAATATTTGAATAATCTTTTCATTCCTGCAAGGCATAAAGAATGTTGTCCAAATAACATCGACGCGCTCCATTGAGAGAGCGGCTGCAAAGACTCCGTCCTGCGACAAAAGCCGCCCCACACACAGGCGGAGCTGCCGGGACAATTTCTATGCCCTCAAGAGTTCTTTGCATTCAGCGCCGCTTTTGTCTGCTGGAGGCTTCTGATAAATTGCAATCGCTTAAGGGAATGCAGGCGCATAAAAGCCGCTCTTGCTCCGCATCCCCTCAAGTGGCTGGCTGGAGAATGGAAGTCAGGCGGGCGCGTGTGGAGGGAGGGGGGGTCAATCCATTAAGCTTCTATTAAGCCCTTCTGGAGAACAAAGCTAACCTGTGCCGTCCCTCATAAATATTGCTGTTCAGAGGAGCCCTAATTTTAATTAAACCTCTTTTACCTGCTCAGGAGAAAAATCTATTTAGACTCAAATGGCGCCCTTTCCTCCCCGCTCTCGCACGCCTGTGTTTGTGCATGCACACACACACAAACACACACATACACACAGATGCCAAGTGCAGATTGTGAGCTGGAGAGAGAGAGAGAGAGAGAGAGAGAGAGAGAGAGAGAAGACATTCTTTTCTTCAGGGCAAATGCAGCCGGCATATATAAGCGAGGAGGTGGCAGCTCCCGTACAGCCGAGGGCACGCGGCTTGCAGCATAATCGGCACCACGCTCAGAGAGGGAAGTTGGGCACGGGGCATGGGCAGAGGGCAACCCTTTGTTCCTGGTTTTCTTCAGGGAAGGAGAAAAGCTTCCACACCGGCAGCTGGAAGTTTTAACGCAATGCGCAAAAAGGGAAGGGAAGGCATCATGGAGGTGGGGGGGGGGGGTCCTTTGCCGCGAAGCCAAAGAGAAACACCAGTTGCTGAAAACCCACAGGAGGCCAGAGTGTGCTGGCACTCAGGTCCTGCCCATGGGCTGCCCATTGGGGCATCTGTGAGACCAGGGTTCTGGACTCGATGGGCCCCCTCTGGCCTTACCCAACGGCAGAGCTTGTCTTGTATGCTCTGAAGAAGATCATTTGACTCAGAATTCTTCTGGAAGGAGGAAAGGAAGCCCTTCCTCACACAGTGCATGATTAAACCATGGATCTCTCTCCCCCAGGACGGCCACCAACTTAGATGGCTTTAGAAGAGAATTGGACAGATTCGTGGAGGAGGAGGGGGGGGCTATCAAAGGCCGCTAGTCACAATGGTTTTGCTCCACTTCCATCGCCAGAAGCAGAGGTGCCTCTGCCTTCCAGTTGTGTGGAGAGAACTCTGTTTGCTGCCTTTGCTCAGTTCCGGAGCTTGAAACCTTGCTCTCTTTGGGAATGGGGAAGGCTGCAGTTCCTGTTGCTTTGCACCATGTGGCTAAGGGACAAGGCAGGGAGGTGGTGGTATTTAGAATCTTTTGAGCGTGTTAAATCTGAAGCAGCCAAACCTGCAACATTCTCTTGCCTGTTTATGGAGCTTTGAGTTCAAGATCAAAGAGCTAGAGAGCTGCGCGTGTCTAGACCAGTTCTTAATTTCCATTATTGCTCAAGTTGCAACCTTTAGCTGGTGGTTCTGACTTCCATACCCCGGTCTCTTGACCACTGCAGGAAGTGTCCCTAGAGGGATGCTGTACAGAACGTAGCATGAAACAGTTTCACAGCTGTGCCACTCTGCGGCTGGGTCATAACTGGCTGATGGGAGGCAGGTCCATAGCTAGGGGGTGGTGAGGTGGGCCCCCGCCAGGCGTGCAAGCAATGGGGGGCCAAAATCAGCTTAAAATATGTCCATAAATATAAATATTGATTATTGCCTCATAAGAATACAGTGGTACCTCGCAAGACGAATGCCTCACAAGACAAAAAACTCGCTAGACGAAATGGTTTTTTGTTTTTTGAGCTGCTTCGCAAGACGATTTTCCCTATGGGCTTGCTTCGCAAGACGGAAATGTCTTGCAAGTTTGTTTCCTTTTCTTAACACCGGTAATACAGCTGCGACTTGACTCGAGGGCAACTCATAGAACGCGGTGTGGTAGCCTTTTTTGAGGTTTTTAAAGACTTTGGTGATTTTTGAAGCTTTTCCAAAACTTTCCCGACACCGTGCTTTGCAAGACGAAAAAATCGCAAGACGACAAAACTCGCGGAACGAATTAATTTCGTCTTGCAAGGCACCACTGTAGAGGGTGAATTGAATGGGGGGGTGGAGGAGAGGTGGAAAGAAGAGCTAATTTGTCCGTGGCTCAGGGGTGCAATCTGGACGGTTCTTCCAGGGGCACAAGATCACCTAGCTATAGCTCTGGCAGGAGGGAAGAGTGTTGATGTGCTCAAGCCCTAGTTGTGGTTTTTCCACCAGGGCACCTGGCTGGACAATGTGGAAACAGGAGGTTGCCACTGGTCTCATCCAGCCTTGATTTATGCAAAATAAAGAGGCTTGATTTGCATTCAGGTTGCACAATTCAGGTACAGAATCCCGGGCGGGTTTTAGGCATGAAATTGGCAAACACAGCATTTGCCGGAAGGAGGAAACTTTTCTTAACCTTTTTTCTCAAAAGGAGCCTGGACTACAGCTTTGGCAGACGTCCAGGAAGGATACTGCTGTTGGTGTCATTTCCCTCAGAGAACTGCAGCGCTGAGCACTTCCACAGAACAGGCAGAAGCTCTGCATTTCAGTCGCTGGGTTCAGCTGCCAAATGGCATTCTATGGGTAGAGGCTGGGATAAAACAGCAAGCCTGAGACCCCAAAGAGCAGCAGCTGCTGCCGGTCAGTGTAGGCAATGCTGGGCCAGACAGACCAACAGCCTGAGACTTCAGCACTAACTTCCCAGCCGCCCCAGGGCTGGTGCGCAACCTTGCAGGCCTAGCAGAGGCAGCCAATACCACCCTCAACCACTCCTGGTGCAACCATTTGCAGGAGAGGTTGTGGAGGGGGCGGAAGTGTCGCTCACACCCACACAGACGGCCCTGCTCCACTGCCATGCGCAGGGGGGGAGGAGGCAAGGCTGCCTGAACTGGTGCAAATCAACTTCTGAGCAGAAAGAAGGGGTCTTTGGGGGCAGGGATCAGAGGCAGGTACCAGTCAAGACAAAACCGACTCCTTTGCAGACCGCACTCCCACACTTCCCTGTCAAGGTCAGAAGTTGTGCACAGTTCCTCTGGGCGATAGGCAGGGCTGTAATCTCCAATGGCTGACCACATTCGAGGCTGTCCCTGAATTCTTCGGAACACAAGCACAGATGAACAGTAACTGCTTCATGGCCTCAGCTCTCAACAAGACGCTCAAGGAGACTGCCAACATCCATGTTTTTGGAAAGGCCTGTCCAGCAATGTTCCAGTTTACCAGCTGCTGGAGGCCGCAAGAGGTCGGGGGTGGGGCCCTCATTGCTTAAGTCCTGCTTGCCTGGGCACTGTGAGAGGAAGAGGCTGGACTCGATGGGCCTGGTCCAGCAGCCATGGTCTTAAAACATCCTTCTGGCGGTAGGGAGAAAGCAAAGACAAAGGGGGCTTCCAGCCCCATCCGCCAGACAGACGAACCCACAAGCAAAGCAAGTCTCCTCCAAACACCTCTTGTGGTTGAGATCTCAGGGTGGGGGGGAGGCTGAAGCACAAAGCTCTCCATGTCAGCCCCCGTTTGCTCTTCCCAGGTCCCTCGCTGCCCCACCCACGCCCCTCGGCTCTTACCAAGGCTGAAGAGGATGAGGAACTTCAAGCAGACAAACTCCTGCCTGTCCACCTGGAGAGAATGCAGGTGAGCCACCAGCTGATGCGCTCTCAGCATCAAGTTGTTCAGGATGGATCCCGCCTGCATGGTAACAGTCGACATGTTCACCTGGAAGAAAGGAGAGGTGGGCAGGGTTCAGGACCCCCGAAAAGTACCATCTTGTCAGGGGAACAAGGATGTTCAAGACCTGGGTGGTGGGGGGCGGCCTCCACCAGAAAGACTTTTGAGCAAGCAGCTGTTAAGGCAGCAGTTAATGGGCTGAGTTGTTGACTAAATTACAAGAAATATGGTTATATCTGGGTGCTGGCTGTACACAGAAGGATAAGTAATAACGACCAAAGTCTAACTAGCCAGGCGATCCAAAGCAGGCTGACTCACAAGTGATGTCCCTTAGCATCCCATAAGGCTTCCTCTCAAGTAAGTGTGCAGAGAACTGCAACCCAAAGTCTAAATATGTGCAATGGAGTACTTGCAAATTCTCTTCCCCCACCCCCGGCCTCTATCTCCCTCTGCCATGGGGCAGGGGACTGTGTCCTCTTACACTCTGTACGTTCCTGGCAAGTCATCGTTCTTATCTACCCACAGCAATAACAGCTCTCCATATCTGCTGTTTTTTATGTAGCCAAAACATGCTTGGTGGTGGTGGTGGGATTTTGGGGTGGAAGAATGTAGAGGGAATGCCCACACACACACACACCCCCAAAAAAACCAGATGCCCAGTGGGCAAAGAAGGCTGACCAACTTTTGGGGGTGGGGGCGATGAGACAAGGGGGTGGGCATGGGGAAAGGAAAGGAAGTGGCCAGAATCCCGAGCAACAGCAGTGGCACTTCGCGCTACGACATTTTGCTGCAGCATTTCTGAACAGGGCCATTGCGGAACCTGCAGACACTAGTGCTTTTACCTCCTGGCCTGTCACCAGCAGGATGCTATGCTCCTTCCCATGATGCACTTGGCGGAAAATGTAGTCAAAGACCAGCAGCTCGCTCCAGCAGTTTTGCAGCAGCTTCATCTGGTCACCCACCTGGGAGGAAGAGGAGGAAGAGGAGGAAGAGGAGGAAGAGGAGGAGAAGGAGGAAAAGAAAACAGCTGAGAAGCTTCCTCCAAAGAGGATTTTGTAATAGCAATAATAATAATAATAATGGCATTTGTATATCATCCTTCATCCGAAAATCTCTTGGCAATTCACAACATAAAAATACAAAATGAGAACACAAAATACATTAAAAAAAACTAAAGAACCAATAACCTTCCTCCCACAAAGACATTTAAAAGGACATAGAATGTCTGGCGGAAGAAAACCCCCTAAACATATAGAACGCAGGCGCCAGGTGAGCCTCCCTGGGGAGAGAATCCCACAAAGGGGGAGCCACTGCAGAAAAGGCCCCGTCTCGTGTTGCCACCTTCTGGACCTCTCGTGGAGGAGCCACATGGAGAAGGGCCTCAGAGGATGATCTTGGGGTCCAGGTTAGTTCGTGTGGGGAGAGGCAGCCCTTGAGCCATTCAGGCTGTAGAGGCTGAAACCAGCACTTTGAACCAGGCCTAGAGACTAACTGGCAGCCAGTGTCATTTGGTCACCCTCCATGTAACACGCTCAAATGGTCTCGTCCCAGTGAGCGCCCCCTGGTCACCAAACTCTGCACTAGCTTAAGTTTCCAAACCATCTTCAGAGGCTGAACTATGCATAGACGACAGAAGTTAGGCTTTCCCCGTCCAGATAAGGACATAGCTGGCCACCAGCCAAAGCTGATGGAAGGCACTCCACACCACCAAGGCCACCTTAGCTTCAGGTGACAGCAGAAGGACCCCAAGCTACATACCTGCTCCTTCAGAAGGTGTGTGACCCCATCAAGAGCAAGAATCTGACCGGAGTTCTCCGCTCATGTTCAAGCCACTTCCTAGCTTGTTTCCTACGCCATGAAGGAGGAGAAGGAACTCCGGGCATTTGTGTCAATGGTCTTAGTCATTCAGATATTCCGGGGCTTTGACAAGAGTGACATGACCTTCAGTATGCAGAGCAGATGTTCTGCCACTGAGCTGGGACCCTTTCCAGGTCCAGATCCTGCTAGGTGTTACAGATCACTTAAACAAGAGGCAACAGGGCATGCATTTGATGTAACGACTCTTCCCTCACTTTATAGGGCCTTCTCGGTAGTGGCGCTCGCCCTGTGGAATGCCCTGCCTTCAGATGTGAAGGATATAAGCAGCTATCTTCTTTTTAAAAGACATCTGAAGGCAGCCCTGTTTAGGGAAGTTTTTAATCTTTAATGCTGTATTGTTTTTAACACTTGATTGGAAGCCGCCCAGAGTGGCTGGGGAAACTCAGCCAGATGGGCGGGGTATAAATAATATATTATTATTATTTTTATTATTATTATTATTATTATTATTATTAGCAGGGCCCCAGGACTTCAGCAAGACCTACAGAGGATGCCTGCCCACCCTGCACCCTGCAACCCCGCCCCCCCCAGCTGAGCACACTGATGGGTGCCTTGTGGCTACACACAGCCACTTTTTAAAAATTTTGTGCACAGCACCTGACCTAACACCATTCTGGGATCGTTCAAAGGCACCTAAGAACCAGAGGTGCTTAGAAGGCTGGTCCCCACAGCCAGGTAAGCCCACCTGACAGAGAAGGCCCCCCACCAGCAAACACTTGGGCCCCACCTAAACCTGGAGCCAGCCCTGCCATAACTCCATGGGGCAAATGCAAAGTGTCCTTCAGTGGCTTCTAGGTCAATTATCACCAACCTGCTACTGTAAAAGGTTAAAGCTGTGCCAGTTTAACATATATTTAAGCCTTAATATATATTTAAGGGACGCTGGTGGTGCTGTGGGTTAAACCACAGAGCCTAGGGCTTGCTGATCAGAAGGCTGGCGGTTCGAATCCCCGTGACGGGGTGAGCTCCCGTTGCTCGGTCCCTGCTCCTGCCAACCTAGCAGTTCGAAAGCACATCAAAGTGCAAGTAGATAAATAGGTACCCCTCCGGCGGGAAGGTAAACGGCGTTTCCGTGCACTGATCTGGTTCACCAGAAGCGGCTTAGTCATGCTGGCCACATGACCCGGAAGCTCTCTGCGGACAAACGCCGGCTCCCTCGACTTATAGAGCGAGATGAGTGCGCAACCCAAGAGTCGTCCGCGACTGGACTTAACGGTCAGAGGTCCCTTTACCTTTACCTTTAAGCCTTAATTGTCACTAATTCTTGCATCTCCTTGCCATTCTGCTCTCACCATACCGCTTCCCCCGACTGAGATTTCAATTCAGGCACCTGGAAGAGTGAGCTGCAGTCGCAGCAATAAATTTCTTGACCTTGAAGGTTCCACCAAGACTTTCAGATTGTTCCCCCCAAGTCACAACTTTGCCCGCCGCCTTCTAGACTTGTATGATTCTGGAAATTGAGCACGGGACATCCTGCAAGTGCCTCACTCGGCCAAGTGCTTGTGTGAACAGGACAGAGACAGGCTCTCCAACCCGCAGGGCTGAACAGCACTTGGGGACGCAGGTTGATAAACTGTCCAAGATTTATGGCTTTATCTGCCGTGGCAAAAACAGTCCCTTGCTGCAGCTTTTTTAACGGGCAAATTTATTAGGACTCCAGCTTCTGTGGGTCAGCATCTGGGGCAGGCATGCAGGGCCGGGGCCCCACTCCACAGAGGGACCAGGAGGGGCTCCGAGAGCCAGTTAGCAGGTCGGACAAGGACAAGGGAGGCCAGGCTTCAGATCCCTGCTCCCCCATGAAGCTCACCTGGGGGGGGGGAGCCTCTGCCTCTCAGTCTAGCCTACCTGGCAGGGCTGTTTTGTGGATGAGAGCCTTGAGCTCCTTGGAGGAACAGGGGGGACATGAATGCAAAGAGTAAGGACAGCAAAGCTCTTTTTGGAAAGTAGGGCAGAACCACTGAGGAACATTGGGACAGTCGCTGCTTCTCAGCCTAGCCTACCTCACAGGGTTGCTGCAAGGATAAGAACGCAGGCGAGGAAGACACACACAGACCATGTGCACCGCTTAGAGCTCCTTGGAAGGAAGACAGGAAGGAAGGAAGGAAGTGCAATGAATTGTTTCAGCCTCCCTACCTCCTCCTCGAGCTCCAGGGGCAGTTTGTGGGGGCAGCTCAGCAAGGCTGGCTTTGGAGACCCCACCACCAGCCCCCAGCTGCAAAGCAAGCACAGCCCCCAGCGGGAGAGCACAATGGCTGCTTGGCTCATCTGCACTCTTATCTGAATCCCTTCGCGGGCCCAGCATCTCGCCCAGTTCTCAACACAGTGTCTTGCTGGGCGCATCCCCCATCCCTGAGGGAGGGAGAACCACCCCGTTGTTTGCACACAAAAAGGCCAGTGTCTCTCAGGAGGCTGCTGTCGATACATTTTGCCCTCCGGGACACAGTATGTGCTCCTCCAGCGTGAAGGAATGCGGAGTGGAAGGAACCGGCTGTTAGGGAAAGCCCCCACTTCACTCCCTGGTGCCAACGGGGTGCCCTCTCCCCCTCCCCTGCATGCCCAGGAAGGATGGGGGCAGGTTGCAGAGGGGGGGTGCTGCGCTGCTAAATCCATAGCAGTCTTTTAGAGGTTTGGGGCCCCAGAGGATACCACCTGGTAGCCTTTCACAAGTTGTATTCTCTCTCACACACACCCAGGCATCAGCTGTACACCCAGGAGGAACATCATAATAATGCCGTCTTACGTGGTGTGACGCTGTGGTCTAAACCACAGAGCCTAGGGCTTGCCAATCAGAAGGTCGGCGGTTCGAATCCCTGTGATGGGGTGAGCTCCCATTGCTCGGTCCCAGCTCCTGCCAACCTAGCAGTTCGAAAGCACACCAGCGCAAGTAGATAAATAGGTACCGCTCTGGCGGGAAGGTAAACGGCATTTCCGTGCGCTGCTCTGGTTCACCAGAAGCGGCTTAGTCAAGCTGTCTGTGGACAAACACCAGCTCCCTCAGCCTATAAAGCAAGATGAACGCGCAACCCCAGAGTCAGGGGTACCTTTACCTTTACCTTTACCTTTACCCTACTGGACTGTGGAAAGGATCACTGCCTTGTACTCAGTCAGAGCGCTGGTCCATTTGGCACACCTAGCATACCCTGACTGGCAGCCGTGGCTATCCAGGGTCTCAGGAAGGGTGTGATCCCAGCCCTACCTGGAGATGAGGCCACTGGGGATTGAACCAGTGAACTTCTGCATGCAAAGCAGGGGCTCTACCCCCAGAGCTGTGGCCCTTCCTCTGTCAAGACTTGCAAGATGCACTTTGGTTAAATGAAACACCCCAAAAAACACTCCGGGGCCTCTCCAAACCAGGGACGGGGACACAGACACACACACACACACTGTCAGGTATGTTCTGCAATAGTAATATCTCATTAGTGGTGGATTTGTTCTGGACGAAGTTCTTCCCAAGTTCCCATATTGTTGACACCTGGAGGGGCATCTCTTGTGCTTTATACCTCAACAAAAGTGAGACAAAACAAACAAATAAACAAATGGGAACATTTGTGGTATGCAATGTTGCAGGATTTCAGCAGGAAGTTATGGGACTGGCACTGATTGGAAAGGAAGCAGTTTGTACCTGCAAACGTTTCAGTGAGGACCACACTGCACCAAGTATAGCAAGACTGCACATAAGCTCCCAGATGCCTCCATGAGGAGGACAGGTCATCACAAACACGCCCTCAAATGCAAAGCAAACCCTGGCATCCCCACTGCCCAAGGCGGCTGCCGGCACAGCCAAGCCAGGGGTTCAGCTTCTCCAGGGACACCACCCGCAGAGAACAGTCTTCAGTCTAAGAGGCAGAAGTGAAACTGAAGCTGGATGGGTGAGTGTCAGGGGGCACCTCCCCCCCACCCACCCACGCACAAAAAGGAACACTTCCGTAAGCAGGGCAGTTTATTATCAGTTTAGTTTACGTACTTAGATAATTGTGAATTGTCCCATTGTATAGTTCTCTGGGCAAAGCAGACTAAAAAGTTTATTCCAACCCCCCAAAAGGGTTCAGCTGAAACACAGGACAGTCAAAAATACCACAGTAAAATCCAAAATCCAGCAGAGAAAGTAAAACTGACTCCCAATCAAGCTTGTCATAGTCCCAAAAGCTCTGGGCAGTGTCAGTTTGGACATTAAGCCCTTCCCTCATTTCTCCCTCTGCCCCACAAAAGAGAGCTACTGGCTGCCTTGGCCCCCTTTCAAGCTCCCCTCAGGCCACCTGCTTCCCCAAAATGTTGCTACTCTCCTGAGGCAGACACCTTGACAGCGTTGGCAAAAGTGAGCAGAGCATTTCATGGACTGTGAAGATGCACACACACACACAGCCCTACACTTCCTCCCGAGAGCTCTGGCGTCTGCACCCATTGTGCAAGGCACTTATAATAGAAAAAAGACAGATGTGGAAGAAGGGAAGCAGAGGACGCCGGGATTCCCCAGCAGAGAGTGGCAATAAAGCAGGAGCCGGGAGAAAAGAAAAGCTTTTATAGGGTTTGCACACTTACACTGAGAGAGATTGCTCAGGGAATGGGAGGTGGAGTTGCAGGAGACTTCCAGGACTCAACATTCCTGCCTCAGCCAATGCATAATCCCAGGCCAGGAACTGCCCCACTCAAGCAGGTCCTGTTGCTAGCAATGTCTATGTGCTCCTTATTTGCAAAGACGTTAATTACACCTGCCCACCTAACAAACCTAGAGGGGAATAAGGCTCCCATTGTTGCCATTTTGCAGATAAGCAACTGAGAACGAGGGCAGCGGTTGAACCTGCAGCCCGCCTTCCCAGACCTCAGAGACCACCACTTTCTCTTTCGACCTTGCCGGGGGTCTCCTCTTCCCTCCCTGCCCTACAAGGGTGTAAGCAAAGCACTATCTCTTCCAGCCCACAGGGTGCAAACAAAGTAATACCTGTTTCAAAGTGTGTGCATGGTGCAAACAAGGAAGAAATGAACATCAACAAAGTGCAATTCCCACAGTCTCTTTTTGTCATGAGATCACCTCCTTTGCACATGCAGACTGAGAGTTTGGTTTAGGGACCTCCATGCTAATGGCCAAGGCACAGATCTCGTCCAGGAGACCTAAGCAGAGACAGCTCACACCAATCAAAACATGATGCTACTGGAGCCCGTTGCTTGATGGTGTTAGGCAATGAACCTCGGTTCACAAAGAGTCAGTTCTAACTGCTAGGAAAGGCAGAGTTTCTCCACACCCCTGACCCACCAATTATCAACAGCAGCCAAAAAGAGGTATAATCCGTGTGTGTGTGTGTGTGTGTGTGTGTGTGTGTGTGTGTGTGTGTAGGCTAGTGGGGAAAGGAGAAGGGCTTTTAATTGTCTTCGCAAACCTTCATAACAGCAGGATGCAATGTGGGCTAGGACTCCACTGCTTGAAACTGACAATTAACTCCTTGGTAGTTACAGAAAGTGTCTTTTCTGGCATCAAAGCTTTCCAAGAGGAATTGGGGTGGGGGGTGAGAGACACCTACAAGCCCGTGTCCCTCTGACCGATGACCTTTGGTGCACAGCGCTCCAACACAAAGAGCACTGGTCCCAAGTAGCTATTTAGAGGTGCAAATTGTTTCAAGGTCTGCGTAATGTGCCTGGCTTGTGTAACAAGGGTGCTGCAGAGTTCAGGGAGTACAGAGGGAATCGGTGCCTTGAACTGCAAGTGGAACAGGCCAAGGACACAATATGGACGCCCAGCTCTCACGGTGGACAACCAGGTGGCTCTATTGGTAAACCAGCAAGCAGGATTCAACCACAGCAGCCCTCTGCCCCCTCCTGTGCCAGTTTCCAGCAACTGGCATTCAGAAGCATTCCTGCCTCCAACTGTGGAACTCCACGAGATTTGAAAACCTCGAGCAAAATTCTTCCATGCAAGTCACCTGGAGGGGTTTGAACACACCAGTTTTGCCTGCGTGTCTGCGTGTGTTGGAAGACTTGCAGCCTCCGCCAGAGGCAGGTTTAGGGGAGCAGGACCAGTTCAGTTGCGCTGGGCGCAGAGCACTGTTGGGGGCACTGCAACTATGATTTAGAAGGGAGGGAGGGAGGGAGGCGGAGGGGCTCAGAATTTGGGCGTTGCACAGGTCACCCATTGCCCCTTCTCCCAAACCAAGGAGAGCCCTGTGGAGCTTGGGGCTGCCCACTGCTTCCACTGCCCTTGCTTCTGCGCCGCTGAGAGCAGCCACAAAAAGGGGGGAAGGCAGAGGAGAGGCAGCCAACCCCCTGATCTCCAAGTCACAGAAATGTCTGCAGGTGCTCGTTGCCTCATCTAAAAAAAGGACAGTGTAGAGTTGGGGTGTATGGCATGTTAGGGGAGGGGCAGGACCTCATGTGGGGGGAACACATGATGCTCCTTCTGAGGCAGTCCATCCCCCTTTGGTCCCCACTCTGCACTCAGCTCTCAACTGTGGCTCCCAGAAGCTGTCAGCATGAGACAGGAGCCACAAGCCCAGCAGCAATGGCCTCGACTGGCCGGCTAAACCAGGTGAGGGGAGCTGGTGGGTTTCAAACCCTCAGTGAGTTAGGAACTTCCCCTGCCTGCGAAGACAAGGTTCTCACGCATTGAGTATTGACCAAGAGTGGGTCCAACAGTCAAGAAGGCAGTTTCTGCCTGTGCTGCAGAGGAAAGTGAGGGGCAGGTGGGGCTTGTCCACCTGGGAAGGGAGCCCATCTAGGAGAAAGAAAACTGACCTTAAACCTTTGCTGCCTTGCAAGGTATCTTTGGGAGGGGAAAAGGCTAAGGAGCAAACCCGACACAAATGTGGAGTGTGGCTCTTTGAATGCCCCCATCAAGCAACTCTTACACTTAAAGGTAAAGGGACCCCTGACCATTAGGTCCAGTCATGGCCGACTCTGGGGTTGTGGCGCTCATCTGGCTTTACTGGCCGAGGGAGCCAGCGTACAGCTTCCAGGTCATGTGGCCAGCATGACCAAGCCACTTCTGGCGAACCAGAGCAGCACACGGAAACACCGTTTACCTTCCCGCCGGAGCGGTACCTATTTATCTACTTGCACTTTGACGTGCTTTTGAACTGCTAGGTTGGCAGGAGCAGGGACTGAGCAACGGGAGCTCACCCCGTTGTGGGGATTCGAACCGCCGACCTTCTGATCAGCAAGTCCTAGGCTCTGTGGTTTAACCCACAGCACCACCCGTGTCCCCTCTCTTACACTTAAGCTGGTGCCAAAAGTCTTGCTCTGCTCTCCTTCGGAAGCAGGCTGAGAGTATCATCTGGGCAGCCCAGGACCTCCAGACACACTGCCAGGGTTTGCACCCTGGGGAGGTCACTTTGGCGCTGCTAAAAAGCAATGGCTTGCCTTCTTGAGACAGATGGGTGGCAGCCACGAGGTGGAAAAGGTGCAGAAAAGGGCAACCCAAAGGACAGATTGGATGGACTTGCCTACGAAGAAAGGTTGCAACTTTGGAGACTTTTTCGTTTATAGAGAAAAGGCAAGTCAGAAGCGTCACGACGGAAGCTTATAAAATCACACATGGTGTGGAGGAAAGTTGAATATTGGAAGATGTTGGAAGACAAAGAAAAGTTAAACTATGGGACTCCCCGCCATGGGAGGCAGTGATGGCCACCGACTTGGATGGCTTGAAAAGAGGACCGGGCAAATTCATGGAGGAGGAAGAGAGGGCTGTCAATGTCTTCTAGCCAGGATGGCTCCAAAGTTTCCCATCCGAGGCATCTGAGAGCAGGATGCTGGACTCAATGGACCACTGGCCTGATCCAGCAGCCTCTTCTTGTGCTGTTATGATCACTCAAAATGAAACATGTCCACAAGTCTCTCTGAGAGGCTGCTACGGATGCAGCCACTGCAGCGGGGGAAGGGAGCTGCAGAGGGCACAATTATTTGGTGAAGATTGGATGCGTCCCCTCGACAATTGGGAAGGGACAAAGCTGGGCCAGGAGATGACAATCAAAACCTTTCACAAATTGGAGGTGTTAATAAGAGGTTAGCAGCCTTCAGATGTCTCAGCGACTGACCTCTCCCCTCCCCCAACCACCACCAAGATCATCAGGAAAGCAAGATGTTGTTTAATTGCCTGCCTAGATGTCAGTCCAGCACAACAGGCTTGCAACTTCCTTCTCCTTCCCCTTCTCAGTCCCAAGAACTGGGCGTGCAGGACATTTAACCCTACCTAAAAGAAAGCAAAAAATGCAAATGTGCAGCCTCCCACGGCCTTCCCTACAGATGTTATCAGACTACAACTCCCATCGCTGCTGACCTCTAGCCATGTTGGCTGGGCTCAACATGAATCTGTCAATTTCAGTTTCTTGTTTTTCTAATATTAAATTCAGCTTTCCACATTTCCACAAACAAAAAATAAGAAATCCTCATGAAATTTCATCAGCATTTAATTGTGAATTTCACCTAATAAACACTATTTTTTAGATGCACCTTTGATGAACTTGAAACATTCCTGCAATCAGTTTCCTCTAACATAATGCATTTTTATATCTAATTTCACTAATGCATGCCTTTTTAGGCACACTTCCTCCTAATGTATGCATTCTTGTACACACTGGATGGGGAACTGCATTACTTAATTCAGAGAAGTACGAATTTTGAAAGATAATTGTGTTTCAGCTCACTTGGAATCACAGGTTTGTAGGGCTGGAAGGGACCCCAAGGGTCATCCAGTCCAACCCCCTGCAATGCAGGAATCTCAGCTAAAGAATCCATGACTGATGGCCACCCAACTTCTGCTTAAAAACCTCCAAGGAGAGTCGGCCACCTTCTGAGGAAATCTGTTCCACTGTTGGATAGCTCTTACTGTCAGAAAGTTCTTCCCTAATGTTTAGGCTGAGTCTCCTTTCTGTTAACTTGAATCTGATAGTTTGGTCCCTACTGTCTGGAGCAGCTTGCTCTATCTTCCAGTGACCCTTCCGCTATCTGAATATGGCCACCTCAGTCTCCTCTTCTCCAGTCTAAACACCGCCATATCCCTCAGACATTCATTTTAAGTCTGGGTTGCAAGAACCTTTATCTTTGGTCCCTTTCCTCTGACCCCATTCCAGCTCCTCAAAATCCTTCTTCAGGATATTGTATTGGTTCAAGTTGTGTGGACTGGGTACTTTTCCATCAAAATGCAGACGAAATATCACCTCTCCCTTATAGTTAATGGGAGTGGAGATTCCCCCTATTCCAAGGGAAACGGGTGCTTTCTTTTGGGTTTAGCTCAACCAGATTCAAAAACCATCCACATAAGTTAAGCACAAACTCCACAGCAGAAAGGATGTCCCCACCTGCCCCAGCCCAAAATCTATAGGCAAACCAACAAAATGAGCCCATCCAGATGGAGCCGTAAATGTATCATAACTTTCAGTTTTAGTATCAGATAATATTGCTGTTGTTGTTCCTGTAGACACATTGCTATAAGAAGCGGGGGTACATTATTAATACTGTTTTTTAATTGTTCTGGTGTATTTTGCTATTTTGCTGGGAAAGCTATGGTTTTCCCAGTAGTGACGTATGGAAGTGAGAGCTGGACCATAAAGAAGGCTGATCGCCGAAGAATTGATGCTTTTGAATTATGCTGCTGGAGGAGACTCTTGAGAGTCCCATGGACTGCAAGGAGATCCAACCGATCCATTCTGAAGGAAATCAGCCCTGAGTGCTCACTGGAAGGACAGATCCTGAAGCTGAGGCTCCAAGACTTTGGCCACCTCATGAGAAGAGAAGACTCCCTGGGAAAGACCCTGATTCTGGGAAAGATGGAGGGCACAAGGAGAAGGGGACGACAGAGGACGAGATGGTGGGACAGTGTTCTCGAAGCTACCAGCATGAGTTTGACCAAACTGCGGGAGGCAGTGGAAGACAGGAGGGCCTGGCATGCTCTGGTCCAGGGGGCCACGAAGAGGCGGACATGACTAAACGACTTAAGAAGTGAATGTTCCGGTTTTCGAATGTTCTTTGGAAGCCGAACGTCCGACGCGGCTTCTGCGGTTTCTGATTGAGTGCAGGAAGCTCTTGCAGCCAATCAGAAGTCGTGCCTTGGTTGTCGAGCATTTTCAGAAGTTGAGCGGACCCCCTGAACAGATTCCGTTCAACAACCAAGGTACGACTGTAATGCAATGCTATGTTGCATAAACAGAAGTCTAGTGTCCCGATCATTGGGAGTCATAGTATTGCTCTATTCTGCCTTGGACAGATCCCTCCTGGAGTCTTGTGTCCAGTTCTGGGTGCCACAATTTAAGAAGGAGGTTGACAAGTTGAAATGTGTGCAGGGGAGGGTGACCAAGAAGATCAAAGGTCTCAAAACCAGTGCTATTTTTCTAGAAAAAGAGGTGCCGCAACTCACCCTGAACGCCTCTATTGTTCTCTTATAATGGCAATGGTGCCCACCTGAGAGGTGCAGGAACTAAGTTCTGGTGAGTTCCATGGGGGGGGGGAGCTCTGTTCACAATCAAGACTGATGATGAAAGCTTGAAGGATTGGGGGATGTTTAGCCTGGAGAAGAAAAGACTAAGAGGTGATGGGATAGCTGTCTTCAAATATATGAAGGCTTGTCACTTGGCAGATGAAGCAATCTGGTTTTCTGCTGCTCTGATGGGTGGGACCCGAACCAATGGATTCAACTTTTTTAAAAATGGGGTTCCAACAAAACACTAGGAAGAACTTCCTAACAGTAAGAACTTCCCAACAGTGGACTAGACTACCTGGGAAGGTGGTGGTGGACTCTCCTTCTTTGAAGGTTCTTAAGCAGAGTTGGGTTTGGCCATCTGTCCTGGATGTTTTAGCTGAGATTCCTGCTTTGCAGGGGGTTGGACTGGATGACTCTGAGGGTCTCTTCCAACTCTGCAGTTCTATGATTCTATGAAGATAATTACAGCCAAGAGCAGCCATGGCCCTCCTTTGCAGACCCTCCCACTACAGACTCTCCAATGAGCTTTCAAAGTATTTATCAGACACAGGAGAGCCCCAGGAAAGAAGGTTTCCATCAGGCAACTAGCCACAGATCTCAAAAGCAAACAAAGTTCCAAAACTGGTCATGATGGTATCAGTAGAGATGTAAAATTTCCAGAAATTTTGATGCCATGAGGAAAAAATGTTTCCCCCCTGTTTTTTCCCAGAAAAAAAATAGAAATCTTGGAAAAAATGAAAAAATGTTCAGTGTGGAGTAGTTTTACAAATTGCGTGAAATGCAATGTATATGAAAGTATTATGCTTGCAATAAAACAGGTTACCACCCCCTTTCCCTCAAAAGCAACAAAAAAAGCAAGGAACCATCAACATAAAAATAATCAGATTTGCCCCTTAGCACCAACAGCAAATAAAGTTAAGGTCCACCTCAATATTTAAGCTCCATAGAAGGTCTACTCTTTGAGTAGAGCTTAAAAAATGAAAACAAACAGAAGACACAACATATACATGCAGTTCCTTCTATCTCATTTTCTGAACTACTGCTGTCATTTCCATTTCTTCTTCACCTTCCTATTTGTCATTTTTCTCATGGACTTCTAAAAAACAGCTTTCAATTTTTCTGCATGCCAGGCCCAGAAGTGACCAACATCCAGTTACTGGATAGTATGTTGCACTAAGGCTCAAACTCTCTTTGAAAGGAAAAGGAGTGTTTTTTAATTGGATTTGTTATTATATATTATAAACCGCATGATGGTAAGAGAGCTTCTAAACAGTTAACAAAGATATACAAGAGAACATTAAAACGATTGATAAGACACAGTTAAAAGCAGGCATTTAAGAGTAATCAAAAGGTGATTAAAGTCAGCAGTGATTAAAAGGAAGCAGATCGCATGCAGCTTCTACGCGATCAGATGTTTACAACAGCCCTAATGAAAATGTTTTGAGCCGTTGCTGGAACGAGTACAGTGAGAGCACCTGCCTGGTGTCAGTTGGCAGGGAGCTCTAAAGGGGGGGGGTGCTGGAAGGCCGGGGGGGGGGACAGAAAAATTGGGGGGGCAGGCTTTTTTTCTGTTTTTTTCCAAAGCCGTTTTTTTCAAGAAATTTTTTTTTTAAAATGTGTGGAATATTCAAACTATATCAAACTATTTAAAAAAAAAAAAATCTGGGGGAAAAGGGCTGTGGGGGGATATGGAAAAAACCTGGGGGGGGTCAATTTTCCTGGGATTTCCAGGCCTTCCCATCTCTAGGTATCAGGGTGGTTATAGGTTATCCCACTTTCGGGACAGTTTGCCCCTGCAAAAGTTTCACGGAGCACAACTGGTGCATGTTCCTGCTGAAATCTTGTGATATTTCATACCAGAAATGTGATGGCTATTGTGTGGAGTGGTGGGCTGGGGCATCTTTTCGTTCAGCATCCGTTACACAAGAGTTGCTCCTCCAGGTAATAATAGCACAATAACACTGCAGAACAACTAATAAAGCAGAATGATATTGGGACAGTCCGGTGCAACTCCACCACGAACGCGCTATTATTGCGTCAGTGAAACGCTGCAAAATAGAACCCACACACATTATTGCGTCAGTGAAACGCTGCAAAATAGAACCCAAACGCTGCAAAATAGAACCCACACACAAATAGAGGGCCCAGACACCGCAATTGTCCAATCTATCCGCAGGAGGGGGTCTTTGCTTCCACCACCAAGGCGCGTTCCTGCCCACTCCAATTATTTCAGAGTCACTTTGGCAAAACATTTCCCCTCTCGCACAGTTTGAACACAAAACCACGCCCCCCCCCCGTGTCGACTCATCAATTCACAGCACTGATCACTTGCACAGTACTAATATCTTCAAATGTTTTATCATTTATCATTATTATTATTATTATTATTAGCATTAGCATTAAAAAGGTAAAGGTGAAGGGACCCCTGACCATTAGGTCCAGTTGTGGCCGACTCTGGGGTTGCGGCACTCATCTCACTTTATTGGCCAAGGAAGCCGGCGTACAGCTTCTGGGTCATGTGGCCAGCAGGACTAAGCCGCTTCTGGCGAACCAGAGCAGCGCACGGAAACGCCATTTACCTTCCCGCTAGAGCGCTACCTATTTATCTACTTGCACTTTGACGTGCTTTCAAACTGCTAGGTGGGCAGGAGCAGGGACCGAGCAACAGGAGTTCACCCCGTTGCGGGGATTCGAACTGCCGACCTTCTGATCGACAAGTCTAGGCTCTGGGGTGCCACCTGCGTCCCATATTATTAGCATTAGCATTTATATCCCAGCTTTCCCCCCAAGGAGCTCAAAGTGGTCTACATGGTTTTCTCCCCTTCCTCATTCAATTCCCACAACAACCTGTGAGGTGGGTTGGGCTGAGAGAGGCAGTGAATGGACCACGGTCACACCCGGTGAGCTTCATGGTAGCCAGTTTCGGATTTGAACCCTGGCCTCTCCCAGGTCTTAGTCTGACACTCTTAATGACTACACCACGCTGGTTCTTTCTTGTAGCCAGCCTCAGATCTCTCCATCCACACCCTACTGGGCATTCAAATCACGAGACCTCAGCCCAGACCAAGCCCCAGCGCCCATCCGGTCAGGTCCCCATTGCTTGGAGCCACCCTCAAGCCTCCCATCGCCAGGAGAAATCCATCTCTATATAATTTATTAAATTATAGGTTGTCAGTGGAAGAGGACAGAAGAGCCCAAACCCAGGACAACCCCAAGAGCAATCTATTCCACCTCCCTGCCCAGACACTCCATCCCCGCAAATCTTCCTTCAAGCCTTGACACATCTCATCTCAGCTCACTTAAGAGAGGGTATTTATGGGTATCAGCTCTGACCTCTCCCCCCGCCCCCACCTATCGGCTTGCCTGCCCTCGCCACACACCTCCCTCCATAAACAAGAAACCGCCTCCCCGCCCCCCGCCCAAATCTCCCCTGGCCTGGCCGGTTATTAGTCTTGCCTCTCGAAGGCCAGCGGAGCCTGTAACTCTCCGGCGCCTGACACACCAGGAACAGCAGCACATCACTCTTGCCCGCAGATTGGCAGGCGAGGCTCTCGTTTGTCAGAGTCGGACTGACAGAATTACTAGCCCTTAAATGAAACGATATATCTGGGAGGTTAAATCTGATTTCAATCTGGCTGCCCTGGGAGAAGGCGGGTGGGGTGGGGGGTGAGGGGCAGAATATTGCACTGGGAACTGGTGTCAAGAGGCCAATTAGCCCAGTGGCAACGCAGCCGGTCCCCTCGGCCTTCTGCGCAATTATGTACGGAAAGGGGTTGGGGAGGCTGGAGGGTTCTGACACACTGGCACCGTTTGGTGCCATTGCAGAGTTCGGGGGCTGCTGCAGTCCCTGAAGGAAAGGAGCAGTTTGGGAGGGGTTACAAAGGGCACCCTGGCTTCAAACTCAGGGTCTGGAAGGGCTGGCCAGGAGGACATTCACAAGAACACCAGCGTCTGCTGGATGAGGCCAGTGGCCCACCTTGTCCAATATCTCACAGTGACCCACCAGATGCCCTCTCTGGGAAACCTGCGAAGGACATGAACCCAAGAGCCAGTGGCGGAGGAAGGGGGTGCAGTGGGGGCAGCCCACCCAGGTGTCACCACTGAGGGGGTGACAAAATGCCGGGCGGCACTCACCACGGGTCTGCAGCGCACCCAAGCCACGCATCCCGCCTGGAAGGGACTTGGTGCTTGGGTGCGTGCAGGCTCCGCTCTGCCCAAACGGTCCACCCACTACCTCCCCCCCCCCCAGCTGCAAGGCAAGGCGGCTGAGTGGGAGGAGGCAGGCAGACTCCAGAGGCCCCACGGTGTGCCCTGCCCCTGGCTGTACTGCCCCAGGCGCCCAAGCGGCCTCCTCCGCCGCTGCCAAGAGCATCTCTCTCCCCTCCTGCAATTTCCAGCAACTGGTTTTCAGCAGCATTGTTGCCTCTGCGTGTGGGAGGCAAAGCACAGCCTTCAGGGCTAGGAGCCGTAAGAACGCAGAAAGAGCCTGCTGGATCAGGCCCGTCATCCCAAGGGGAAACCAGGACTATTTAAAGTGGTGTAAGAGAACTTTCAGTCTATAGTGTGGGTCTGGCCGCCAGCTGGGAGAACAGCGCACGGCTAGAGAATGGCTTGGTCCCAATCCAGACATCCAGTCTTCTTTGGGCTGTGACTTCTGCAGCACATCAGTCTGCCCTTGCCCTGGCTAAGTTTCTGACTGTAGCGCCACTTTGGGAACTGAAGTACCTGAGAGGGCGAGGGCGCACCTAATGCCTCTTGGCACCCTTAAAAACTACAACTCCCAGAATTCTCGGGGGAAGCCAAGGCTATTTAAAGTGGTGTAAGAGGACTTTATAGTGTGGGTCTGGCCACTAACTCTGAGCAAGGATGTAGGGCACCAGGCTGCTCCACTTACTCTCATCAGAGCTGGAGCAAGATTGGAGCAACGGTTCTGCGAGACAAAGCATTAACCACCAAGTTGTCTGTTCCCCCCCCCCCCCCCCAATTAAAGCTGTAAATTTCAATGTAAATAAATTGCCGTGTTTGAGGGCACTGTACTGAAAATGCTGTAAAGGGACGTTTACCTTAGGCAAGAGGTTCCACTCCAGCAAAAGCATCAGCGGAGGCTGGTATTTTTCCATTTCAGTACCTGATGACTCACCTCTGGAAACATGAGCTGGAAGCTGAAATTTGGGAAGCCACGCGTGTGCCTGCTGCAGATGGCTAGGAGCAGCTGTTGTTGCAGAAGTTCTGCACTGATGACCCAACATAGGATCTCCCTCCAGGATCAGAGAGAGGGAAGTCCATTGAACTACATAAAGGACTGAAGCCCACCTCTTGCTTGCAATGTCTTTCTTTGATATTCTGCAGTGTTTGTCTTAGTGTGGCTAGTACTGAGATAAGTTCTGAAGCTCATTATTGTGGTGGAGAGACTTCATTTCTACACAAAGTCCAGATCAGGGACTAATACCTCCCCCTCACCGTGTTCAAGCCCCCATTTCTGGGGAGAGGGGGCTGTGTCTTTGAAGGCAGAGACTGTGATGTCTACATCACAGTAAAGGGAGATTAGCAATAGTTGGGGAATGACTTTTGTCCTAGAACAAGATTAGCCTTCCTGTCCACTCCCAGAGGATTTGGGGCTTGCAGGCCAGCAACCCATTTCCCAGATGCCCCTGGGACATTTGCAGGGTGTTGGGGTGTTAGCAGTTCTCTCCCACTGCTGAGCCCCAGGTAACTAGTATTCACTCTGGAGGTGCCATCGTGACTAGTAGCCACCGTTCACCTTACGCCCCACGCATTTGCCTAACCCCCCTTTTCCTGTTATATTACATTTGCTGTTATATTACATTTTTCGCTCTATAAGACACACCCAACCATAAGATGCACCTAGTTTTAGAGGAGGAGAACAAGAAAAAAAATGTTCTCTCCCTCTCTGCTCAGCGCCTCTCCAGCAAAGCAGGAGGAGAAACGGAGCCCCTTCCATTTCTCCTCCCGCTTCACTGAAGGGGCGCTGCGCAGAGAGGGAAAACTGTGCAGCGCCTCTCCAGCGAAGCGAAGCCAGGAGAGCAAGAGGGATCGATCCCTCTTGCTCTCCTGGCTTCAGCGAAAGCTGCGCAGCCTGCATTCGCTCTATAAGACGCACACACATTTCCCCTTACTTTTTAGGAGGGGAAAAGTGCATCTTATAGAGCGAAAAATCTGGTATATTCCACCTTGGCCTCCATGGTCCCCCTTCGCTCCCCTCTATTTTATTCTCAAAACTACCCTGTGAGGTACACACTGGTGTTAAGTTCGTCATAATTTCAGGACAAACTGCCTAGAGAATTTTGCTCCCAATCTACTGTTAACTTTTTCCTAGTCTGACACTCTAACCATTACACCGTGCTGTCCCAAGTTGGTGAGCACTGGTATTGAAAACAAGTGTTGGAGATCACCTCCCCCCACCCCAGTCAGGAGAACCCTCTGAAGCCGTCATGGTTGCAGTTTTGAACAAGGCCTGAAGGAGCTTGCTAAGTGGCCTTGGTCCAGTCACTTTCCCTAAATGACAGGGTTGCTGTGAGAATAAAGAGGGTAGGAAGAGAACTGTGTGTAACAGCTTGAGCTCTTTGGAGGGAAAAGTGGGCTATAAATGTAAAAACAAACAAACAAATAATAAACTATTTCCTTCGCTCACACGGCATGGAATCCCGGCCCCTTCTGTTTCAACGTTCACATACCTGCTAAATTCTTTTCTATCCCATAAGGCTTATGCAGGCAATTAAGAACACACCTTTCCACAGCCTTTAGCTGATTAATAATGTTAACTTTAGGGACGCGGGTGGCGTTGTGGGTTAAACCACAGAGCCTAGGACTTGCCGATCAGAAGGTTGGCAGTTCGATTCCCCACGACGGGCTGAGCTCCCGTTGCTCGGTCCCTGCTCCTGCCCACCTAGCAGTTCGAAAGCACGTCAAAGTGCAAGCAGATAAATAGGTACCACTCTGGCGGGAAACTAAACAGCATTTCCGTGCGCTGCTCTGGTTCGCCAGAAGCGGCTTAGTCCTGCTGGCCACATGACCCGGAAGTTGTATGCCGGCTCCCTCGGCCAGTAAAGCGAGATGAGCGCCGCAACCCCAGAGTCGGTCACAACTGGACCTCATGGTCAGGGGTCCCTTTACCTTTACTTTAATGTTAACTTTGTTATATAGCTTTTCTTGTATGGTTTTATGCACAATTGTTGTGATGTGCTCTGAGATTTTATTTATACATCCAAGCAATGGCCTTCCAATGGCAGACCTGTTTCGTGCAGAAGATCTTAAACCCAGATCTAAAAAGCGAAGTTGCAATCGGAGAGCAGTTTGTTGCCTGCCTGGAGTGAGGAGAGAGGGCTACAGAGATCCACCGGCCTTGGAGGAAGGCAGGCAGTGAGAGCCCAGGGACCCTGGCGGTGCCTCTGGCTCCTTAACAGAGGAATCTTCTGGAGCCCCATTTGCCAGCTGAGCCCTCTTCCTCCCACACTGGCCAGGCCTCAAATGAGTTATGCCCATCAATTGCCTGGCCAGTGGGGTTTTTAAAACTCCAATAGCAGTTTTAGTGGGACACTATAAAGGCACGCTGGGGAGAGTTCATTTAGCTGTTTGAAATGTGAAAGCCCCGTCATTGCTAATGAAAGAAGCTGCCCTGAACACATGAATTTTCATTCATTTGAAAGCATTTCTACACCGGCTATTGCTTTGGTCTTATTTATTGTAGCCATTTCCTCAAGGGCTTGTACAGTGCAGGTTGCTGATCCACTGAGGAGTCCTGGGTGCAAATCTCACACCACCACAGATTCACACTGAATGACACTTTCAAAGGGGGGGGCAGCTCTCTGCCACTCATAATGCATTTTTCCCAAGTGGTGAATAAGCCCACCATTTAGGAAAGAGATTCCGTGCGCTGCTCTGGTTCGCCAGAAGTGGCTTAGTCCTTCTGGCCACATACCCGGAAGCTGTCTGCGGACAAACACCGGCTCCCTCGGCCTATAGAGATGGAGTGCGCAACCCCAGAGTCGTCCGCGACTGGACCTAATGGTCAGGAGTCCCTTTACCTTTCGGGAAGGGATTCGAACTCGGATTCCCCGGGCCCAAGTGAGGTCCCGGATCCACTCTCAGCTGAGGGCTGAGCACAGAAGGGGCCTCTCCCCACTCTCACGCGCACACCTGCCCTTCTGTAAGGTTCGGGAGGGAGACGGTCCATGTGGGTCTGCTGTTCCGCCTGGGACCCCAAAATATAAGATGAAGCAGATCCCTTCTGCACAGGCTAAGGGGAGGCCATGCCTCAATATCCGCACGCACACCCCTTTCCAAGCATTGAGGGATGCAGCAGCCATGCCTGAAATCATACACACACTTACCTGGGAGTAAGCCCCATTGCACTCTATGGGGCTTACTTTTAAGACACCTCTGGCCAATGAGGCACCTGTGGGCCCACCAGCCTCTGCTCGCTCTCAGCAGCCTCCCCATTCTCATTTACAACCTGTCCAGGGGGTGGGCCTGGCAGCTGCCCCATCAGCCCAAATGGACACCAGTAACCAACTGGCATAGTGGGCAGGACAGTCTTTTAGGTTGTCCCTGAGCAACTCTGAGCTGAAGGCCCTGAAAGGGTGGCTGTTGGGCTCAGCAATCAACCAACTGCCTTTGGCCAAGGCTTCCCAGGTGCCCACCACGGCTCGCCCACAGGGCCTGGGGAGGAAGGCAAGGGGCGGCCTCGACCTCTGCAGAGAGAACTGGGCACCAGCAGCCCTTTCTTGTGGCAGCCCCTGGGCCAGGTGGGCACCTCAAAGAGGGTTCCCAAGATAAATTACTGAGTGCAGGTGAAGCTGAGGGAGTCCTTACCTGGCAGAAGACTTACCCTGTGTTCGCTGCCGGCGCTCTGCACGTGCTCAAAGCAGGCCTTGCTCCACCCACACTTCAACCTTCCTCCTCACCACCCAACCCCACCCCCGGGACCAAACAAAGCAACCTCTGGAAACATGCCCAAGTCAGGGAGATGTAGGTCGTGGGAAGCCATTTCCTCTGGGGGTTCGTCCCCTGCCCAGCAAAAAGCAACAACCCGCCCGCCCCCCACTCACCTCCAGCTCTTTGAAGAAGATGCAGCTGCGCGCCCACTCCACGATGGCGAAGAGGGTCTGATCCGCCATCTTACACATGATGCCAAAGGCGTTGAGCTTCTCGTGGCGGGCCTTGCTCTGCTCCTCCTGCAGGCAGGCCAGGATGCGGGCCTTGAGTTGCGCCTCGTCGGGCTCCTGCTGCAGCAACTTCAGGATCACGTCGGGCAAGTCGCCCCCAGTGGCTGCGGAGCCGCCATTGGGGTAGACCTCCGGGTAGGGGTACGGCGGGGCTGCCTCGTTTGGATGCATCGCGTATGGGTCCGGGAACTCGGACTTGATGGCCCGGTTGGCGAAGGGCTGGTAGTGGTAACCCGAGAGCGGCCCGTGACCCGAGGGCACCGGCATGGCCAGCGCGGGCGTCCCGTAGGAGCTGCGCTCGTAGTCGACGGGCGCCATGGCGGTGGAGCTGCTTATCCCGCTGCCACCGCCACCGCTGCCGGAACTGCTGGAGCTACTGCTGCTGCTGCTGCTGCTGCTGCCACTGCCGGGCGGGGGCAGCGCCTTTGCCACCCCAGACTGGTGGTGGTGGTGGCTTAGGCCGTGCAGCGAGGCCGACAGCCCGCCGTACTCCGCCGCCGCCTGCACCGGGGACACGATGGGCGGCTGGGCGGTCTCCAGTTTGAAGCTGTTGGCGCGGATCAGCGCCTTCTTCTGCTGTTTCATGGCTCGGTCCCGCTTGTACATGGGCCCGAACTTGTTCCGGCCACCCCGCATGCGGTCGGCGCGCACGGCTGGAGGGAGGAGGGAGGGAGGGAGGAGAAGAAGGGGGAAAGGGAGAGAAAGCGGGGAAAAGGCGTCAGACAAAATCCGACCAGGAAGGCCCAGGCTGCGTTCAAACGACTGCACGCGGGGTGGGGGAACGCCACGAATCTGGCCCCTGCTCCGCCCCGCTTTGGCGACACTGCAGGTCGCGTGCACACTGTAACTTTGAAACACGTTTGAATTTAAGCAGGGCGTGCTGGCTAGACCTTTAATGCACATCTGAACACTGTGTGGATGTTAGACCCTCGGGGCATCAGGGGGAAGAGGATGCCTGCAGGATGGTCCTGGCGAGGGGGACGGAGAGCGTGGTCCTAGGCGTAAAGGCCCCTTTCCCAAGCTAGCTGTTGTTATTTCGCGCCACTGCCCGCGCCACGACCCTCGAGCAGAGCGCAAGAATGTGTCACGGTTGTGAAACCCGCGCAGGTGCTTCTCTGCTGGCCTCCCCCGGCCTCCATCCCCGATGCCGACACTCTTCCCCAAAGCGCAGCAGCTGCCTTGGAAGCGCGCCCTGGAAGCGAGCGCTCTCCTCCCCCGCTTCCAAAAGAAGAAACTCGCCCCATATCCTACCTCCCGCCCTAGTCCCTGAGAAGAGGGGAAGCGGGAGGGAGAAGCCAGGAGAGGCTCCCAGCCGCCAAAAGCGACTCCCACGAACCCGGGAGAAGAGGAGGCCCGGCCATCCCGCGGTGTCCGTTGGCAGAGGATGCGTCTTCGCCTCCCACCTTCCTCCGGAGCAAGGAAGGAAGGCAGGCGGCGGCGGCGGCCGCTGGCCACGGAAATGCCTCTGCCAAAGCTGCTCCTGGGGCAAAGGCCATTCGGGGCTAGTAAGCCCGAGCTACTATTAAAAGTTGAAGCCAACTTGAAAAGCAGGAACGACATGCTCAGGTGTTAGGTTTCCGGAGGTCCTTGTTCCTACTTTGGAGGGGGAACAACCCGCCCCATCTGTGCGCCCCAGCGGTCTGCGCATGAGCTAGAAGCCAGCGGCCCAGCCAGCAGCTGACATTTGGAGGTCCAACCAAAGACCTCGGTGGTCCGAGATGCTTTTCTGGCGCTGCCCATCCTCCAGGTGCATCTTGGAAGCAGGCTGCTGGCGCAACAGCCCTCCCCAAGCTCGGGGCGCTGGGATGAGGGCCCTGCGGCTCTCCAGAGGCTGCTGGAGCCTGGGGACCACATCTGGAGAACTGCGGGCTCCTCGTCTCCGCTGGAGCGGAAGAGGCGCGCCAAAACTCAACTCCTCACCTCGGTCTGGTTCCTACTTCAGCGAGAACTTCTTGGTTTATGCTGTGTAATTTATTGGCTTCTGCATTCGAAAATGGTGAGCCGCCTTGGCTTCCTTGGCCAGAAAGGCAGCGCGTTACAAATTAAATCATTCAGAAAGCTGGGGAAGGGACCTCCCAGCAAAGTCCCACCAATTCCTGCAAGCCGGTCGACGGGAAATGAGAATGGGGAGTTCAGGTGGGGTCGACCCCCCGTGGCCCGTCGCTCGCCGGACTGGCAGCCAACATGGCCGTGGGCTCCCCATCTCCGCCACGTTGGGAAGTCCTCGGTGCCGCTAGCAAAGATGTCTGCGCGCACCCCTGCGCAATTACGCGCAATGCCAATGATGCCCTGATTCCTCGCGTCACTCCTGCTCCCGCGCACATCCTTCCTCTTCTCCTATCTGGGGGCGGTTTTTGAGCCCTTTAAGAGCGGCTGGTGTCAGCGCCCCCTCCCTTTCCTCTAGTCCTCCCAAATCAGTACACTTTTATGTTGCCTTTTGGCCTCCATTGTTGAAGGATCTCTTTTTAAGAGATCCGGGGTGGCATAGTGATTAGCTTGTCAGACTAGGACCTGGGAGAGACCTGGGTTCAAATCCTCCCACTCGGCCTCGAAGCTCCCTGCGTGTGGCATTAGAGGCCAGTCCATAGAAGCCAACTCCTAGGGGTCGAGGTCCCTTTGCCCACCCCCTAACAAAATATTGGAGGGGAACAGTCCCCACCCCGGTTGATGGGCACTGCTACTCAAGTGATGTGTGCGCCCTGTCTTGTGATCGATTATGCGGGAAGGGGCTTAGCTCTCCCACAATATTTCATACAAATTTGCTCCCTGGGCCAGTCACTGCTTGTCACTCTAGCCTACCTCACAGGGTTGTCGTTGGGATTAGATTGCGCCACTCTGGACGCCACGTGGATGCCACATTGAGCTCCTCCGAGGAAAAGAGGTCATTAAATGCAATTAATGAATGAATGGATAGCATTCTCTTTCGTTCCCTTCTTCGTGCGTCCATTTGCTCCACGCAGAATAACAGAAGAACATAAGAACGTGGGGCGGTTGCCTTTTGCCAAGTCAGAGACTCCTGGTCTATAGAGCTCGGAATTGTCTACACTGACTGGCAGCGCCTCCTCATAGTCTTCTCCCAGCCCTGCTTGCTGGAGATGTCCCTGCGGACTAAGCCTGGGACCTTCTGAACTATAGCCCTTCTCCGCCCCTCGCGGCGACCCCTGGCGGATAAAGCCACGCGAAGCCCACCTGACGCGGGCAAGGCTAAGGCCAGTCGCAAGGCATCAAAAGGTATGGGCACTCTGCGTGCACTCAAGGGCACTGCAGTGGTATTGCTAGATGGGATTAAACAGGGGAGAACCCTGTACCTCTGCCACCTTAAGCTCCTCGGAGAACGAGGTGGGATATAAATGCAAACAAATATTTTCGACTACAACTCCCATCAGCTGGGGCTGACGGGAACTGTAGCTCAGAAACCTCCGGGATGAGGCCCAAGGTTTCACCTGCTCCGCCAAGGCACAGAACAGAAGAATCTTGCGGACACTGGTGTCCATCTAACCCACCGGTATTGTCTGCTGTGCTGGCAGCAGCTCTCCGGCCAAGGGTCCTTTTAAGGGGGGGTGTGCCAGGGATTGAACCTGGAGCCTTTGGCATGCAAAGTGGGGGCACTTCACCACCGAGCAGATCTCTCCCCCCCCCCATGGTGCCTGCTGTCAGAGGGGGCTCCGGCCAGGCAGGTTCTGCGCAATGGGCGTGGCCAAGGGACTCCAGTGAGGCCCGCATCCCAGTCCCCTGCTTGGCTGGACACTCAGTACTGCTCAGGATAGGAGGCTATTTCCTTGCAACAGTAGAAAAAGCTGAGCACCCGCCGGAATAAATGTCCGGACTGCTGGGATTTAAACAAAAAAACAAATCTGAATGCAGTATTATTTTTATTCCTTTCCCCTGGGATCTCTGGAAAGGGAAGTGTCCGCTAGGGTTATAACTTTTTTACAACCTCATGTTCCTGTAGCTTAGTTAGATGAACTTTTGCCTAAAAACAAAGGAACGAACTGTCATTTCCAAACCTTTTGAAAAAAGGTCACCCCGAAATCAATACATCGATTTTGGTAGATGTAACTGTATAATGTATTATGCATGGCATGTATACAGGAAAAATGGAGCTTGCAAATTTTCTAATACATGTACAATATTTTATACATGGTCCATCACTTCTTATTGCTGAGAATAAATTGAGGATCTTGTGCGACATTGTAATGATTATGATTATATTTATACCCTGCCCATCCAACTGGGTTTCTCCAGCCACAATTGTATATTGCCACAGAAATAAATATTAAAAATTAAGAAGTTTAGTTGTTTGTCCAGAAATCTTTCCATATAGACCAATATCTGGATTCTTCTTGAACATTCTCAGCAGTTTAAGGAAGTTCCAGGCAGCTGTAAAAGTTATAAACAGTTCCATGAAGTTTTTAAAAGTGCTAATAGTTATGAGTAGTAACTTTACATATACAATGTTTCCAACTTTTCATTTCAGGGCAAGCTTTTTCAATAACTGAGAACAATTAGTCCCTTTTTCAGTGTTTTTAAGCAAAAGCGCATCCCTTTATGATACAGGAAACCGTTATACCCCTAGTGCCCAAACACACAGACTCCCCTTCTTGCCACTGCCTGCTTTCATCCACATGCCTTGGGATATGTGTAGAGGGTGCTTCTGAGCATGCACAAAGTATCTCCCACACATGTACACGAAAACCCTATCACCACTGGCTTATCACACAGTTCACCCATGAGTATGCCTGAGTTTGTATGTGCAACTGGAGATGGTGAGGAGTGTGTAAAAAAACCATTCACGCCTTAACAAAATTTGAAAATTACAATGGGTAGAGGAGGGAAAGGATTAGATTTTAATTATACTCTATATTGCTTAATGTAGGTTATCAATGGATCTATGGAACCCCCTCAAAAAGATATGGGAACTAGATATTTGCACACAAATTATTCCCAAGGATGGGAATAAAATTTGGGGATCACAGCCCTGAAAAATCTGCTTCCAGATTTCTTTGGGGAAAGTCCTTGAAATTACTGCACAGATGGTATTGCACTCCTTTGCAAATGTCGAAAATGTTTCCTTCTTTATCACCTACTAGTTGGAGGGACTGCAATAAACTTTGTACATATTACCATTTACTGTAATTTGTTGCAAGATTTTTGGAATTTATTCTTGACATGAATGATAAATATTGCTATTTATAGAAACTATTGTTCGTTGCCCAAACTTAATGTTACTGAATATTTTTGATGATGCAAATGTAAATATATTGTCAAAAGAATTGGTCTTATATATGACCTTGGCAGCATGAACAAGACAGTTTGAGCATATAATGCCAACTGTGGCCCAAGTGGCTGCCACTTAGGCCTCAGGCCGCGTTCAGTGCTGGTTTTGACCTACAAAGCCTTAAATGGCGCAGGAGCCCCACTCCTCAAGGACCGCTTCTGTCCAGAAGCTCTGAGGCCCTTCTTCATGTGGCCCCTCCACGAGAGGTCCAGAGGGCGGCAAGATGAGAAGGGGCCTTTTCTGTGGTGGCTCCCCACTTGTGGGATACTCTCCCCATGGGGGGCTAGCCTGGTGCCATCTCTACATATCTTTAAGTGCCAGGAAAAAACATTCCTCTTCAGCCAGTTTTTAGATATGCTGTAAGCCACCCAAAGTGGCTGGGGAAACCAAACCAGAAGGGTGAGGTATAATAATAATCATCATCATCATCTGTGGCCTTTTAAACTGTGGGGGGATATTGTTTTTCAGTTGTTGCTAAGGAATGTGTTCTTTGTGATTTTATATTGTAAAGTGCCCTGTGATCCTCAGACGAAGGGCAGTCTAGAAATGTAATTAATTTATTAATTAATATTAATAATAATTGCAGCTCAGTGGGAAACAGCCCAAAATCTTACACTGGACACTTTGTACCATACACTCTGGGATACAGCTTTAATGGAGAGAAACGCACATATTTGAGATTTTGACAACGAGTAGAACCTCGGGACACTTTATATGATTTGGCATTGCTTTATGACATAGGCAACAGAACCATCCTGTTCAAGACAACCCTCCCCGCAAGCCTGGCAACTATGGAACTAGCCTTCATGATCTGATAAAATTGGTAGCCTTTACTTGGGCTTTGTTGAAAGGGCTCCCCAAGGGTCATCTAGTCCAACCCCTGGAATCACAACTACGGAACCCCTGACAGGTGGCTCTCCAGCCTCCGAGGAAGCAGAGACCACCACCTCCCGCGGGAGACCCTTCCGCCGTCGAACAGCTTTGGCCGTCAGAAATTTCTTCCTGGTGCTGAGCCTAAATGAATCTCCTGCCTTGTCTCTTGAAACCATGAGTTCGGGTCCTGCCCTCCGGAGCAGGAAAAAACAAGCATGGTCCATTTTCCATGCGACAGCCCTTTAGGTATTTGAAGATGGCTCTCACGTGACCTCTCTGTGTGTTTATTTTTATCCTATTTTTATTATTTGAAACCCCAATTGGTTCCCGGAGACACGTGTCCTTCCAGACCTAGACTACTATGCTGTGGAGCAGTCTCCCCCGGGACCCGCGCCCAGCCTCGCCCCCTCCTTTCCACCCCATGGAGGAATTTGCTTTCACTTTATGTCGCTCAAAGCCTGCTTTCCAGGCAAGCCTCCGCTCTGCTCTCTAAGGCAGGAAAGTCCCGGAACAGGACAGCAACGCGCAGCGGAAACGGAGCTGGGAAGTCGGGTTTTAAACTGGGAGTACCAGCAAATAGTGTGCATTGAATCGGTACTGCGGCCTTTTAATTGCTAGACTCTAAATGGGAAATATACCAATCTTCAGATCACTCAGTGGAAACGGAGCTCGGGCTTTAAAAGCAATATAAAAATAAATGCGGGGTTTTTCCAGGACTTCTCCAGCAAAGCGAGCCGAGCATCAGGAATTGGGCCTGGTCAACGAGACGGGGGCGGACTGGACTCCCGCCAGATTTAATTATCGCCCTAGCTCTTAAAGAGTCAGCATTATGACGCGGGGGGGGGAGACGCTCTTTGGACATAAGAGCGTCAGAAGAGGCTGCACAGGCATTTTGCCTCAAGAACATAAGAGGAACCCAAGGGGGGGGGATCCAGTCCCGCATCCTGTTCTCACAGTGGCCACCCAGATACCCCCATGGGAAACACGCGAGCAGGATCTGAGCACGTCTGAAAGCATTGCTGCCACGGATAGCCTTATAATCCTGCATGGATTCGTCCCGCCCTCTTTTAAAGCCTTCCAGGTTGGTCACTGAGGAACCACGAGAATACTGTCATCATTATCCGACTTTCCCGATGATAACGGCCTCAGGGGACCTCCGCTCAAATGGAACACGGAATTAATAGTAATAAGGATATTGTGGCTTGCAACTAAGCTTGACAGCATACACAGAAAAAGCACTCAGCTCCTTTACATTTTACATGGTCTCACTTCCAAGAGTCCTTGCAGGGTAAGGTCCCTGCCCTTCTTCTAGAGACCCACACGGGACACATGGAAACCCAGCAGAAGGAGAAGGGGGGGATTACTAGGGGACGGGGTGGGTAGAGGGGAAAGAGGCTAAAGATATAAAGGAAGCAGATCTAGAACATCTCAAAAAGTCTCTTTTAAACCACCTGGCACTGTTGTTTGGGTGGACGCTGTGCGTGAAGGCGCGCTCTTTTCAAAAACGCGCCTCCTGGCCAGGGAAGGTGTTGCATTCTCACGACCTAGGCAGGAAATGCATGTATACCTATATGTTTTGCTTCCTCGCTCCCTCAGAGGTAGAAAAGCAACGGGGGTTAAGGGGGGGGGGGGACGAGGAAGAAAATTGGCCGGTAGGGGTCAAGTCGCCGGTCCTTCCACGCACTCCCGCCCACGTCAAGTCCCACGTCCCCACGTCCTGTTTGGGCCGGAGCAAAAGCCCTCCTGGCCGCGGTCACCTCAGAGGCAGCAGCATCCAGGACTTAGGCTGGATGTCGGGATCCCTCCCCGCCCCCTTGGCAGAAGGCGCTTTCGCGTCCGCACCTACCTTCCGTGTTGCAAAGACTCGCCCCCCGCCCGCCCGCCCGCCCGCCCACGACTCTGCCCACGGGAGTCACCTTCGAGTTTCATGCCCACCACGAGGCACTTCTGGAAGCGGCAATAGGGACACCTCTTGCGCTGCGTCTTGTCGATCTTGCAGTTCTGGTTCTCCGTACACGTGTAGTGCTTGCTGTTCTGCACGGTTCTCTTGAAGAAGCCCTGAGGACAAGATATGCGGGGGGGGGGGGATTGTGAGAAGTTCAAGGAGTCTGGCAGCGCGAAGAATTCCCCACGAACGGGGGGGGGGGGTCACAGGTGGGTCCCACACCCCTCGCCTTGCAAGCCCCGCTCTGCCCAAAGCAGCTGTCACTTGGGAGGAGGATTCAAACATGCGCTCTGAGTATGCCCAGTGGAACTCTCGCTTTAGTGAATATGCCAGACCTTCCAGAGCACAGCCTATGATTCTGAGGAATTACGGTGAACCCCGAAACAGATGAAGCTCGCGTGCAGGCGGGAGAAGACTATATCACCTGAGACCCTTCTTCTTCTTGTCAGCCGATTAACATTCTGTGTCCTTTTAAAGGTGTTTCTGGGAGAGGAGTTTGTTTGTTTGTTTGTTTATGTTTTATTATGTATTTGTGCCCCCATTTTGTGTTTTTTCTGTTGTGAACCGCCCTGGGATCTTTGGATGAAGAGCAGTATACAAGTTTAATAAATAATGCTGCTTCTGCTTCTGGTTTAGATAGCTAGCTCTGCTCCTTCTCTCAAAACCCAGTTCCCTCTGGCGCTCTTTGGGGGAAAGGGGGGGGGCAACTGGGAAAGCGGCAGGGTGGAATCGGGAGACCTGCATGCCTGTGAGAGTGTACCCCACGACACGTGTACCAAAGCATTATGATCATCAACTCTGCTCTGGGAAGGGCGACAGTAACCATTTCTGCATCCTTTATCACGGGTATCTGAAGGACTGTTCAAGGAACAGCAACACTGCAAAGGGGAGACCGACCTGACCCCATCCGTGGGCCAGTCAGGAAGCAACTGCTCCAACACTTGCTTTCCTCTGCCTTCCTCGTTGTTTATTTCTTTTGTGCCATGTCTCTCTGATGGTGAGTCTGTGGGCATAGACTGTTTTTGTCTTTACTTTATACTTTGGGGCCCTTTGTAAGATGATAGTGATACTATTAATAATCATAAATCCATTTAATTTCCCTCTGATTTCACACTTAACGTCCTCTCTGTCTTTCAATGGTTTTATCTGTGTGCTGCCTTTCCAAAGTTAAAACCATATTCAAGACAGTTTACAACATGTAAAAAACAACAACACAATTACAAACATTACAAAAGTAGTCGTAAACAATAAACAACAACAATCTCTAAACAATACCACAACCCAAGAGTCATGTCCCCATATGCATCTGATGAAGAAGATTATACCATGTTAATTTTTTTGCTCTTAGCAGTTCAGGAAAATGGAAATCTGCCGCATACCTAGGCAGAACTTTGGTTCACCTGGCTCAACGCTGCCTGTATGGACTGGCAGCAGAGCTCACGGATTTTTGGCAGGGGACAGTCCCAGCCCTACTGGGGATCGAACATGTGGCTTTTAAAATAAAATAATAGTTTCCATGTTTGGATGTTTGCTTATGATAAAGTACCTGTTCTAAATTATCACAGTTTGGAACTACATGCAGAAGACCACACATTGCACCAGGAATGATTGTAATGTAATGTAATGTAATGTAATGTAATGATCACACATGAGACAGCTCGGGAATGGAAGAGGAAGACTTTTGAGCAAAGCAGAGATGGAGCAACGTGAGAGGAGGGGAAAATGCGGAGCAACCGGGGAGAGTTTCAGGGCTGAGCGGGGACAATAACCGCGGCACCGCGGACCCAAGCACTTGATAGCAAAGGGTACGACTCCCATGACCCCTAACCAGTCCGGTGGCCATGCTGGCTGGAGCAGAGGAGAACTGGGAGGCCAGGGACCCCTTTGGAGACCACAGCTACAATAATAATTAGCGTCTAATCAAGCTGTCCCATTCTGGCCCCCACCATCGCCACCTCCCTGACTCCTATCAAGGAGGGGCGACAAGAACCCAGAACTCTGAGGTCCAGCACCGAGGGCCTTCTGGTGGTTCCCTCACTGCGAGAAGCGAAGCTACAGGGAACCAGGCAGAGGGCCTTCTCGGTGGTGGCGCCCGCCCTGTGGAACACCCTCCCATCAGAAGATCAGTAATTATATAACATTTAGGAAACATCTGAAGGCAGCCCTGTATAGGGAAGCTCTATAAGGTGTAATGTTTTACTGTGTTTTACTATGTTTTTATATATACTGGAAGCCACCCACAGAGTGGCTAGGGCAACCCAATTAAATGGGCTGTGTAAAAATAATTTATTATTATTATTATTATTATTATTCCATCACCACCTCCACATAAGGAGGAGAATCACATTATATTGCGATTATTTAAAATAAAGCACATTTCAGCAAGTCATTTTGTCTTGTGAACTTCTGCAAGCCGCCGGTGACGTCACAACCTCAGGCAATTAAATAAAAAGATCTTCGACTCAGAATAAGGTGGGCGGCTCAGCTCCGGGGATGAATCCCTAGAAGAGGTGGTCTCACCCTGGAGAAAGGGAGCCTCAGGAGCGCGTCTCCTCTCAGAAGGCAAGACGCGCACGGTTCCTCGGTTGGCTCCACCGCCCCGGCCCCCTCGCTTCAGCCCGACACCTGTCTGCAGATACCCCAGGCCCTGTCATATTCTGCCTCCTGGAATCTAACCTTCAGCCAGGATGTTAAACTGCAAGAACCACGCGGGAGGAGGGGGAGGCAGTGCCGGCTTACCACACAATTGCTAATTCTGAATTTCAGATTGCTGTAAGCCGTCCTGGGACCTACTGGTGAAGAGTGAGCAATACCTTTAATAATTCTAATTATAATTCTGGAGTGTAAGTGAAGGAATACACTTTTTCCAGCCAGAGACTGAGACAGGGTGGCAGATGTTTCTTAAGACTAGAGTCTCTCTCAGGACCTAACTGGCAACCCCCCACCCCACCCCCGCAAGGCGCTTAGGGCATTGTCAGTCCCCCAGGGAAAGCGCATCTCCCTTTCGCTGGTGGTGAGGTGGGGGCGATCGCATAGTTCAAGCTGGAGCTGCCGATTCTCCCCCCCCCCCACAGACACACCTCCAGAAGCTTGAAGAGACTCCATGGATCTTGGCCTTCCTTTGTGGGGGCCTCACGACAAATGTGACAGACATACCCCGAGACGCATCCTGGTAAACTGAGGCTCCCGTCTCTGGGTCTCTCCCTCCCCCACCTTCCTCGGTCCCACCATTAAGGCAGGAATCTCAAAAACACCGTCTCAAAACAAGCAAGCAAGCAAGCAAGCAAAAACACCGTTAGAGACAGCAAGGGAGGACGCGGGAAACGGAAAGAAACTAAACCGAACTGAACGAAGAAAAACAGAAGAACGTCAGGCAAATAAATAAATCCACAAAGCAGAAAAATGACCAAGAACAGACATTTAAAGGGATGGTGTTGCCGGGTGTCATCATCCGGCAGGGGGTGGAGGGCAACATTCAATATTCGCCTCACCCCCCACCCCAATTTCTCCTTAACCCTTCCCGCACCCGCCGCTTGCAAAGCGGCCCTTCCCTGCAGGGGCTCCGCCGAGCACCGTCCTCTGGCGGCCTCCGGAGACCCCTCTCCGTTCCTGGAGAGAAGGACGGAGCGGGCCAGCCGGGTCTGGTCCTGAGCACCGCCAGGCCTTTTGCACAGAGGGGCCGAGGGCAGCGCTCCGGGGCTCCATTCGGTTCCCCCCGCTCGGCTCCAGGGAAAGAGGCGCGCAGGGTCCCCGCGCGTCTTTCGCGCAGCCATATATTTCCCCGCGCCTAAAAATCTACAATTTCTTGGAAAATAATTGCCGTCACATCCACACCCTGAGGTGCCCACGCTGCTCACCGGAAAGTGTCCCCAGATCCCCAAAGGCGCCCGCGGGTTCAGTTTTCGGTAGGCGCTTAATAATATTTACTGCTAAGACTTGCGGTTCCCTAAAAGACGAATCTCCTTCTTTGAATCACCTTTTGAGAACTCCAGACCGGGATGCATTTTCCCGGACACATTTCCTGATCGAGTCGCCCTCAGATCAGTCGATTTCGTTTATTCCGGAAGCATTTTATTCATTCTCAGAAAAGATTTCCAAAGAATTCCTACCGCGCATTTTTCGAAAAGAGTTTTAGGGACGAAAAGGCCGCGCACGGGAAGCATTTGCCCCCCCGGCCCCCACCCCCTCCCCGGAACAGACTTCGCTCCTGAACGGGAATGGCATCAAATCGGCGTTACATGCGATTTTTGGCTCCGGATCACGGACTCCTTAAAACTCGCCATCCGTAAAATTGGGGTTCGAGAAGAAGTGATAAACATTCGCAGTCCTCTAAAATATCACAAATGATCGAAAACAGAAACCCCAAAGGAACTGAGACCGTATTGTGGGTTCTACAGGGCGAGCGCTGTGGGGCTGCGCTACAGACATGGGCCCCAGAAAATTAAGACGAGTGAAGCTTCTACAGGTCGGAATATGTACCGGGATTTTCAACAGAATATGGTAAGATTCTGGGATTAATGAAATACTGCTCGGAAGCTCCGGGTAATCCAGAGTTCGATGAGGATGGCTTGGTGCTTAAGAAAAATATGTTTAACAATAATTTTGGAGCTATTTTAATCAATATAATTATTTGCGTTTATGTTGCTCATATTAGTAGCATGGCTTTATTTTAATGATTAACTTTAATAATAATGAAGCAGTTACCACTATTTCATATAACAATGAGGCAGTGATAGCGATAATAATTCAAATTTTGTTTGCGTCCTAATTATTTTCATTTCAATCCCGTTCTCGCCGTTTTGCCCTGCAAATATTTGTAAACCCCGTCCCTAGCGGAGAGACGAACCTCTTTTGAATACGCACGTCCAGCGTCATGTATTAAAATACGCCACCATAATTTTCTGCACCGACGGTTTTGCTCTGGGGTGTTTTAGGGCGCTGCAGTTAAGACGCCCCGGGCGATATCCCATTTTCAATGCGGCATTTATTATGATAATCCCACCCGGGGGTCATTATTCAGTCGGCGGGTGGAGCGGAGTTCGTTGGGGAAGGGGGAGCCCGCAATTTTTTTTAGAAGGGCATCGGACCCCACAAGCCCACCCTGCTGCCCTGAAACATTTTTGGGGGTCCAAATTTGGGGATCCCTGATCTCAACGCTCTCCCCTCTCTCCTTCCTAAGAAGACGACCACTAAGCCCCTTTCTCCGCTGCGGGAGGCAGTCCCGAGCGGGTCGCTGTCCCTCGACGGCCGGCCCTTACCTTGCAGCTCTCGCAGGTGAGCAGCCCGTAGTGATAGCCGGATACCTTGTCTCCGCAGACTGGGCAAAGCTCGTCCAGATCATCGTCGTAGGAGTAATCCATCATCTCTGGGAAAGTAGGAGAGCCGGGCAGCGTCTGAGCCTTAACCGGCGGTGATGGCGGCGGCGGGACCTGGACCTAAGGGAAGACTGGCAGCGGGACCGACGACCGACCGATGGGCAAGGGAGGGCAGCCGAGGAAGCTGTGATTGCCCAGTCTCCTCCGCCGCCTATTGAGGCTTCGGGGGGTGGAGGTGGGATGGGGGTGGGCGGGAGTAAGAAGCGCCCAGCCGAGGAAGGAGGGCGCTGAGGAGTGGAGAGTTAGGGCTCCACTATACCCGCGGGGTGGGGCGTCGGGAGTCAGAACCCCCACCCACCCAGTGGGGGCAGGGCTTCCCCCCACCGCGGCCTTTGAGCAGATCTCCACTTGCCCCGCCTCCCCGCGCAGCCCGAAGACGAAACGTCCCGTCCTCATCAGCCCTGCTCGGGACTGGCTTCCATGGACTTGTGGCCCCGACGGGGCGCACCGGCTACTCAGGAGCAGCGGCAGAGGCAAAAGACCTACACTGGCTCCCAGGACGTTTCCAAGCACAATTCAAAGTGTTGGTGCTGACCTTTAAAGCCCTAAACGGCCTCGGTCCTGTATACCTGAAGGAGCGTCTCCACCGCCATCATTCAGCCCAGACACTGAGATCCAGCGCCGAGGGCCTTCTGGCGGTTCCCTCATTGCGAGAAGCCAAGTTACAGGGAACCAGGCAGAGAGCCTTCTCCGTAGTGGCACCGGCCCTGTGGAACGCCCTCCCACCAGATGTCAAGGAAATAAACAACTACCAGACTTTTAGAAGACATCTGAAGGCAGCCTGTTCAGGGAAGCTTTGAATGTTTAATAGACTATTGTATTTTAATATTGTGTTGGAAGCTACCCAGAGTGGCTGGGGAAACCCAGCCAGATGGGCGGGTATAAATATTGTTGTTGTTGTTGCTGCTGCTGTTGTCGTTGTTGTTGCTGTTGCTGTTACTACTATTACTATTACTACTACTACTACTACTACAACTATTATTATTATTACAAGAAGGGAAGAAAGGACTGAGAAGGACAAAGGGCGTGCGGAAGGGCCCTTGGGGGCTGGTTTCCACCCACCCACCCACCCAACGCGGGAGAGTAGTTGCCACGGAACACCCCCCCCATCCCTCCTTCCCTAGCAAGCTCTCCCCCCCCCCCAAGCAGCCCCCAAGCAGCTAGGGCCCCGGTGCTGTCCTGTCCCCCCCCCCCACTCCAGACTGAAGCGACCGAAACTCTGTGCTCCATGGGGCGGGGGCATGGGGGGAGTATTCAGCGGCCTTCTCCTCTTGGGGAGTCTCCCTCCGGGTTTGTTTTTCCTCACCCTGGATGGTTGTGTGGGTGCACGCGCGCGTGACGTCGACCGGGCCTCCCCAGTGGCGCGCTTCGCTCCTCACGGTCAGCCCGGGGAACTGGCCAGCAGCCCAAAGCGCGCAGACTGAGGCGCCGCGGAGATTCAGCCGGGCCGGTTCGCCTCCGCCAGGAGACTTCCTGGATTTTAGGGGAGTCCGGGACCGAGCAAAAGACACCAAGTCAGTCAATGCTGCTTAATTTGAGAATGGGGGAGGGAGGAGGGAAAATTAACCCCCCCCCCCATTCAAAAAGTGTAATTCATCCTTTCGGAGGGACTTGATAAAATGTTTCGGATTTTTTTCAGAAAAAAAACAAACAAGACTCGTTAGCATCTTTTCTTTGCCTGCGTTGAAAGAGAACACGCGTCAGCCGGAGAACTTCGTGCCTCTACCGCCGGTGGAAAGAAAACGGGGGCGGCGGTTTTTATTTGTTTTCCCCGCGCCCAGCCTCATGTGCCGTTTTTATTTTCTTCCAGCCGCTCAGCAAATCACGCTCCAAATTATTAGAGAGATTTGGGTAATTCGGAAGGCGGGGAGAAATATCAATGTTACTGTTATACCATAACATTATATACTTAAATATACTATATTGCAATTCATAGCATGCTTGTAATACATTATCAATTATAATGTTAGCATAAATTATAATGTATTATAATTATGTAATAATATATTGAGGGCGGAAGACATATAAATATTATAGTTGTTATGCAATATTGTGTTATATAATTTATAACACACTTTGTAAGATATCATAGTAATGTTAATACGAAAAAATATCATAAAATATTTATATATTACTATTATTATTATATATTCAGGGGGTACATTAAAATTATTGTTGTTATACTATGTTTGTATACTATGCATTTTATATAATATTATAATTTGTACTTTGTAACATATTATAAACGGTAATTATGATAAAATATTGTAATGTGTTAATTTTATTATGGTGTAATAATAATATGGTAAGCCACCAGCGCGTTATGCTCTCGGGCAGCAACCGCAGCACACGCGCATCGCTAATAGATGCACTAAACATGATCATCATGACAAAAGAAGCGCAGGAGGACGGAGGGTCGGCGCGGCAGGGGCGGAGGAACGTGCCAAACAAACGTCCCATAGCGAGCCCGGAAAAGGATTCCGAACCACCTTCAAACGAGGGGATGAGCACTTTAAAATAACGTATTCCTAGTATTTTGTATTTTTTAACGCGGTGTTGGGGAAATCCACGCAAGAAAAGAGAGTGGCCAGCGCAGCCCCTCTTTCTGCAGCGGTTCTCCCTTTTACACAAGAGTATTCCCCCCAACCAGGTCTCCTCTGGGGGCTGCTGATGCGCTACGGGGCGCAGAGGAGAAGGACCAACGCGGTTCAGTGGCGGAGCGTCCGCCTGGCGTTCAGGACGTCCATCCCGCTCAGCATATCCAAGCGGGACTGAGAAAGACTCTCCTTGCCTTGGAGAGCCTCTGAGGCGCTGAGCAAGGCGGACCCAGGTGTTTGGTTCGGGTTCTGCAGGCCTCCAGCATCCCCGGGAACATCCACCGACAGACTGAAGCGCTCCCGTCTGGCTGCGCTCTTCCCCTGCGCTCTTCCTCGGCGTGCGCGCCGCTCTCCGGCAGGGCCAGCTGCGGGTCAAACTCGCAACGTCCCTGGCCATTGACCGTGCTTCCCCATGGGAGTCGGAGTCCCACCAGGCCAAAAGGCCAAGAGATCCTCGTCAGAGGCCGGGAAGAAACCCCTGAAGGCGCTCGGCGCAGCCTCCCCGCAACTCACACGCACACCAACACGCGCGCAGGGCTGGCGCTCATCAGGCCGCCTAGGGCGCAGACCTCAGGGGGGCCCCGTAGAGAACTCTGAGAGGCGCAGTTTTATTCAAATTAGTTTTTGTTATACCTTATACATTCCTAATCATAGTTTACTTTTATTTTATATTTTGAAGAAGGCAATCAGTTTTCAAGTAGTACATACATTGGAATTCTTTTTTATGTATAAATGAAACAGATAGGCCGTAGAGTTGCTAGGTAGTTATGTCACACACACACACACACACACACACACACAAAAAGTGAAAATGCACTTCATTTTAAATTTTACACCTACAGCTTAATCTTATGCAGTGGTACCTCGGGTTACAGACGCTTCAGGTTACAGACGCTTCAGATTACAGACTCCACTAACCCAGAAATAGCACCTCGGATTAAGAACTTTGCTTCAGGTTGAGAACAGAAATCGTGGCAGCAGGAGGCCCCATTAGCTAAAGTGGTGCTTCAGGTTAAGAACAGTTTCAGGTTAAGAATGGACCTCCGGAACGAGTTAAGTTCTTAACCCGAGGTACCACTGTATAGAAAATGTATTCATCTTTTCAGTGAGTTACAGCTGATAGAGAACAACCAGATGGACCGCAGCACCATAAACAAAAGGCCGAAAAGGCTAAGGAGCAAGCAAAGGAAGAGTTCTTCCTGAAATACCTTTGTGCACAATTGAAAAAGGAGCCCTGAGGGAGCTGAATGCAGTGATCCTCCTACAAAGGATTATAACCCATGGGGAGGCAAACTAAGGCCCGGGGGCCGGATCCGGCCCAAACACCTTCTAAATCCGGCCCATGGACAGTACGGGAATCAGCGTCTTTTTACATGAGTTGAATGTGGGCTTTTATTTAAAGCAATATTTGTGGGGCATAGGCATTCATTCATTTTTTAATTTTTTATTTCAAAATATAGTCCGCCGCCCCCCCCCCCATAAGGTCTGGGGGACAGTGGAAAAAGTTTGCTGACCCTGATAGCAGGAGTTTGCTGACTCTATAGCAGGAGAAAAATCAGAGGAAGGAGAGGAAATGGACACCCCCCAAGGCTTAGGTGAGTTGGAAGAAGGTGAGCCTTTGGTGCGCCCCACAAATTGTGTGCCCCACCTTAACCCCAAGTGCCTCCTCAGTGTCCAGGTTGCTGCACCCAAAAACCAACCCCCTTTTCCCTGGCTGGTGATTGGCCCATTTTAGGGAACGCCTGAAGGGGACAGGCTGCACCCTTCCACTTTAACAAATTGTTAAACTGTGGAACTCACTCCCACAAGAGGCACTAACTTGGATGGTTTTAAAAGAGGATCAGGCAAATTAATGGAAGAGGAGACGGCTATCAATAGCTACAAACCCGGATGGCTGTGCTCTGCTTTCATGGTTTGAAGTTGTTGCTGGAGACAGCAGGAGCGGGGCGGGCTCTTAGGCTTGAGTCCTGCTTGCTGGTTTCTCAGAGGAAACTGTTTATCCACTGTGAGAAATGAATGTTGGAATAGATGGGCCTGTTGGTGAGGACCAGGTCCAAGATGAGTGATCCCCTTGTTGTTTCTTCCACCTTCTGGGAAATGAAATTGTCAACAAGGCAATGGAGGAATTTGTTGGACCTTACACTCTAGGCAAAGTGTATCTTGATTTTGACAAAGTCCCCCATGATATTCTTGCAAGGAAGCTGGTGGAATGTGGGTTGAACAAGGAAACTGTTAGGCGGGTGGCGCTGTGGGTTAAACCACAGAGCCCAGGACTTGCCGATCAGAAGGTCGGCGGTTCGAATCCCTGTGACGGAGTGAGCTCCCGTTGCTCTGTCCCTGCTCCTGCCAACCTAGCAGTTCCAAAGCACCTCAGAGTGCAAGTAGATAAATAGGTACCGCTCCGGCGGGAAGGTAAACGGCGTTTCCGTGCGCTGCTCTGGTTCGCCAGAAGCATCTTAGTCATGTGGCCACATGACCCGGAAGCTGTCTGCGGCCAAATGCCGGCTCCCTTGGCTCATAGAGCGAGATGAGCACAGCAACCCCAGAGTTTGGTGCTGACCTCCCTAACCCTAAACCCTAATCCTAACCCTACCCTAACCCTAACCCTAACCCTAACCCTAACCCAGACCAGCGCAGTGCCATGCCAGAAATTCCCTCT